CACATTGGGACTCAGGTTGAGTTCCTTGCTTCAGGCATCAACCTGGCCCAGTCCTGGCTGATGCTGGCTTTTGAAGAACATATCAGTAAATGGAAGTGCTTTCTCTCTTCCCCCACCAACCCCGTCGTTCAAATAAAATAAGAACAAATAAAAAAACTAAGGGGAAAAAAAAACCTCTCAGAAGGCCCCAGACCTGCGAGTTGGGACATTGATCCATAACTCAAAAATCAACCTTACTAACAAGGCATTTTTTTCCTGAGGTAGTCCCCAGATTCATTTTTTTCCATGAAAATGAAATACTAGATCTTCTTAACTGTATAGAGTTTCAGTTCACATGAATGGTAAGAGTATGAGCAATGTCAAAGGAGGAAGAGCTTGTTGATTGCTTTTCTCCAAGAAATCCAAGATTTTTCAAACAGGACACAAAGCATGGTGTAAGATTATTTGATATGTTGAGAAATAGTAAATGGAAAAATGTATAATGGTTTGTCATTAGTTCATCAAACATTTCCTGTTATTATAGTGTTGGCCATAAATGTATTGCTGAAGTGAGAAGGTAAGGCTTACATCAATGCCTAGAGTTAAAATCCATGGAAAAAAGACTGTGCACCTGAGCTTTCTCTACTGACAGATTCCAGACTCGGCCAACAGGACAGAGCGTAGAGTTGGAGTTTAAACATCTGTATGGGTTTGGCTTATAGACAGACCATATTAATAGACATATAACTTATTTTCAAATAAAGTGAAATAAAAGAGGGTTTTGGGAAACTGAATTGAGTAATTTTCAAACCTGGGTGTGGTATAAGTCTTCAAGTCTATTTGTGGAAACTGCTGCTTCTTTCACGTGTGGAGAACATGTCATCCGGTGGCCTTTCCACAGAAGCAGAACATCTAAAACACTCATTTAAGTGTTGGCTGTGTGTTCAGACATACTGAGCCAAGTTGTCTCAATCAGCCGAAGAAGACAACATATTGTAATCAAACGGATGATCTCCTGGGATTCTTGGTCCTCTGCTGACATTCATCCTTCTTCCTTCTGTCTCAGGATTGTTGTGTGGCCATAAAGCTCAGGAAGAGAAGACTTCTTCCAGCTATGACTAGTAGCACCTCACTCGCTGAGCTGTAGTAACCATAAAATTGGGCAAAATACATGTGGGACAAATCCTTTTAGACATTGGACAGCATGTGGCATACGAGATCTGGGAAACTCAAGAGGTAAGTCCTGTGAATACCTTAGTCACAATGCTTAATGATGTTCTCCTGACTTCCAGAATGAGCTCCTGTCCAGGCAAACTGCATGTTCCCATTGAGCTGAGGAAGCAAAGCCAGTTTTGGAGGATCAATGGCTGGAGTCTATAGGGTGGGTCAACGGAAAAAAGAAAGAAAGGGAGTATTTCGGACTTATGGGGCTTTTTTTTTCTTCATCATAATTCTAATCGAAAATTACATTGCGGGCCCGGCGTGATGGCGCAGTGGTTAAGGTCCTCGCCTTGCACACCCGGGATCCCATATGGGCGCCGGCTCTAATCAAGGCGGTCCCGTTTCCCATCCAGCTCCCTGCCTGTTACCTGGGAAAACAGTTGAGGACGGCCCAAAGCTTTGGGACCCTGCACCCACGTGGGAGACTCGGAAGAGGCTCCTGGCTTTGGATTGGCATAGCATCGGCCATTGCGCTCACTTGGGGAGTGAATCATCAGATGGAAGATCTTCCTCTCTGTCTCTTCTTTCTGTATATCCGCCTTTCCAATAAAGATAAAATAAATCTTAAAAGAAAATTACATTGCTCCCCAACTCATCGGATATATCTATTTTCATTTTATCTGAGAAGCAGAGAGAGTTGGACAGAGACATCTTCCATCCACTGATTCACTCCTCACAACAGCAAGAAACAGATCCGGTGAGAGCTAGGTGGCTAACGTAAGTACTTGAGCCATTATTGTTGCCTCCCAATGTGTGCCTTAGTGGGAAGCTGGATGTGAATTGGAGTAGCCAGGACTGGACACAGGCACTCCAGTATGGGATGCAAACATCCCAAATGGCATCCTACTTACTGAACCAAATGCCTCCCTCTCATACAGAAGTTTAAACTCCAAGTCTTAAGTTAATGCTGCTCAGAGCTGCTCCACTAGAAGGTGGAGTTTGCCCTGTAAGATAGAAGTGACAGAGGACTAATCTGTTTCCTAACTCAAAAGACCTTTCATTTCCCTATGCTCTAGACCGTTGCCTTCTCCTTAACAAACCTGACATCTTGCCTAAAGTCCTGGTAGGACTTCCCTATGAAGCCTTGCCTGGGAAACAAGCTGCTTGGCTTAGCTGCAGGACTCTAATAGGTGCTCCCAGGTTGTGAGGACAGGGATTCTAAAGGTTGAGCTGAGAGGCCGGTGGAGAGCCAGTGTAGCCACATTGTAGCACCAACACCTCATCAATACTCCAGGAGGGCCTGTCTTTGTATTAAAATTTTGCTGTACAATAAGGTCTTGAAAGCCTAATGCCAAACCCAGAAAATATCTACAGAAAAGATATTTTGAAAGTTATCTTCTACCAATTTAGAGAGATTTGGGATATACATTAGACTAATATGATTATTCTAAAAAAAAAAAAAAAGAAAGAAAAGAATACCTTTTCAGGCTGCCTAACAGAATCAAGAGTTTATTACGTTTTATCTGGCATATACTGTATGCAGTGGAAAATTAGTAAACATATGAAATTGTAACCCAGGATCCAGAAAAAAAAAGGATTCAGTAGAAACCAACAATGAAATTCCCTAAATGATGATTTTTTCTTAACAAAGATTTATTTTTATTTGAAAGGCAGATTTACAAAGATAAAAGTAGAGGCTGATCTTCCATTCACTCCTCAGGTGGCTTGCAATGGCCAGAGCTGGACCAGTTTGAAGACAGGAGTTTTTTCTGGGTCTCCCAAGTGGGCACAGGGTCCCAAAGACTTGGGCCGTCTTACACTGCTACCCCAGGCACATTACTGCAGAACCGAATCTGGAACAGAGCAGCCAGAACTTGAACTGGCGCTCAGCGTGTCAACAATGCAGGTGGAGGTTAGCCCCAAGGCTTGCGCTCCCCTGCGTTTTCATGGTAGTGGTGATCTTTTAGGTTTTAATGTGAACTCCCCTAAACATTTTTTGTCAACCTGTGTAATGGTTGTAAATTCCTTGCAATTGTGCTTGTCATAAAAATTATTTACTTCTGCATCACTCCCGAAGGATAGCTTTGCTGGATACTAGTATTCTTGGTCAGCAATTTTTGAGGACATTGAACATTTCAACCTGTTCTCTCCCGGCCTATAGGGTTGCAACGTTAATTTAATATGGCTTTCCTTACAGATGTCTTGATACTTTGCTTTTACTGCTCTCAGAATTCCCTGTCTTGGATTCTGTTTGATTTTACTTGTTAGACTTGTCTTGGAGAGTTCATTAGCATTCCTTTGGGCTGCCTAGCCACTGATTTTTTTCAGGATTTTGCAGTTCCATATGCTTTTCCCTTCTTCTAGAACACCCATGCGTGCTTGATGGCGTCTTATAAATGTTAAATGTTTTCCTCATTTTTTTTTAGCCTGAATAGAAAAACAAATAGTCTTTAAGTTCTGAAGCCTGCTCATTTCTGCTAATGAGGCTCTGAAATGTATTTTAGTTTCATTCACTCAATGGTTTAGCTTTAAGATTTCAGGTTAAATTTTTTTTATGATCTCTTTGGTAAATTTCTCATTGCTATCATAAACTGTCTTCCTAATGCTGTTGAATTATTATTTATCTTATTGTTTCCTTAAAAATTTTTGGAGAGTGTGGGCATTGCGGTGCAGATTAAGCTGCTAGAATGGAATGTTAACTTCTCATTTTGAAGTGCAGTTTGAGTCCTGGCTGCTTCACTTTCAATCCGGCTCCTTGCTATCCTTCTTGGAAGCAGTGGGCAATGGCTGCAGTGCTTTATTTTCCGCTGCCCACTTGGGAGACTGAGGAGTTCGTGTCTCCTCACTTAGCCTGGTCCTGCCCTGGCTACTGTGGCCACTTGGGGGGTGAGCCAGCACATGGAAGCACTTTCAATTAAATGCATAAATGAATCTTTTTTTGAAATTTATTTTTGTGGGAAAGTCAGACATACAGACAGGAGAGACCGAGAAGATCTTCCGTCTGTTGATTCACCCCCACAGGCAGTCGCAATGGCCAGAACTGTGCTGATCCAAAGGCAGGAACCCAGGGCTGCCTCTGAGTTTCCCACAGGGGTGCAGGGTCCCAAGGTTTTGGGCCGTCCTCAACTGCTTTCCCAGGGAGAAAGCAGGGAGCTGGATGGGAAGCGGAGCTGCTGGGATTAGAGCCGGCACCCATATAGGATACTGGTGTGTACAAGGCAAAGACTTTAGCTGCTAGGCTACCGCACTGGGGCCATAAATTAATCTTTAAAAAAATATTCTTGTCTGGTGATTCATCAATCTCAATTTCTTTGTCATCTGTTGCTCAGGTTATTTTGTTGGTGACATGTTTACTTTTCCTTCATGTTTCCTGTATCCCTATTTTTTTTTGTATATGTTAATTGGGTTGTGAGTCACTTCATTAAAAATAGCAAACATCAAATTGTACATCTTGAATATGGCGTGTCAAAACATGTTGTATGGCTTGTGTAATACAAAAGAAAATTTAAATTCTTTAAAGCCAAGAGTAAAATAAGGAAATGCTTGGGTCAGTGAAATCAGACATTTTAATACTTATGCTACAAGAAATTTTAATGTTCTTTAAGCTGAAGGAAAATATTATATAGAAATTGACAGGAAAAAGCAGTGGAAATGACTTGCTCCAACAGCTGAAGTTTTACACATTAATGGGAGAACAGTTACAAAGAAGACCTTTTGTTAAACTAGTTTAGTTGTGGTAAGTATAACGGATGATGTGAAAGTATAAAATATCAAGTATACAACACTGACTCATTACAATCAGGTTCATCCAGTCAAGGCTGGCTCTCAAAACTCAATGTAACAAAAAAGGAGGCAAAAAATAAGGTTTTCATTAAAAGTAGTTTATTATGTAAGTTCTTCCTGAAAGGTATATATGTTTTAAACTACATCTAAAGACAAGTCAAAGAATATAATATTTATAGTTAACTTTTCCTTTTTCCAAGTAGTTGGAATTGTTGGGCCGTGTGTATTATCCTCCATGCAGTCACAGGGCGTTGGCTGGCAGGTCGTTTTGCTTCCTGCGCTGCTGCTCCCCAGGTCACGTTCCTGAGGCCCTGGCCTGTCTTCAGGAATGCTGGCCAGCGCTCACAGGTCCAGCGGCCAGTGCACAGAGGGACTCTTCTCCTCCACGCTGGCCACCATGTCCTCGATGGCGTTCCAGTCGAGCTTGCTCAGGATGCTGCCCGTGCTCTCGGACACGCTGTCCACGCCCCTCACCCCAAAGGGCAGCTTTAACTCTTCACCTTCGGTTGCTGACAAATCCTAGGAGATGGGGAGAACAGTCAGTTGTGGTCTTATTTTAGATAGTCCTGGAGGGAAAAAACTATGAATTAAGGTTTCCGAAGGTTCTAGAGTTGCTTGTTTCTTAAGGGAAGGAAGCTGGCAGTGGTCAGCCATGTGTGGACTGAACACTGAACAGCATCTGACATAATCAGAGGGCACAGATGGGATTTTGGTACTGGTAATGATGTTACTATGGTTTCCTTGTCTTTTTAGTTTAAAAGCACAAATTAATGGGAGATTCGTGTGTGTCCTTAACTTTCTATTTAAATTTAACTTGGATAATTTTTCTCTGCTTTTCATCTGCTGGTTCACTTCTCAGATGCCTTCACCAGCTGCTGATGGCCCAGCCGAAGCCAGGAGCCTGGAATTCCTTCCAGGACATACTTGAGCCATCTGCTGCCTCCCAGAATGTGCACCAGCAGGCTACTGGCTGGGAAGCAGAGCTGAGACTCGAGTGCAGACACCCCGAAACGGGATGGGGTATCCAGAGCAGCATCCTCACGGCCACCCCCAAGGCAAGGATTCCAAAAGGTAGGTGCTTCAGTATGAATCCAGAAGCTGGACACCTTAATCAAACTGATCTGATTATTTGGCATTTCCACATTTCTTTCCCGCCAGAACAAAACGTCAGCTGTAACACCAGAAAGTGCGGCCTAGACCGGTGCTTACCGGGGACAGGGAGCTGTGCCTCCGCTGAAGGATCGCCTGGACTTCGGAAGGTAACGTCCAGGGACTCAGCACAGCCTCCTCTCTCTCACACTCCACACGTGCCTCCTGCGTTCGCGGGTCAAGCCCAGCACCTCCTTGTTTTATTGTATGTTGCCGACTATGACGTGCAATATGGGAACCTGAATTCAAGGGAAGAGAACAAAGCATAAATGGAGACTGACATTAATTTGTTAATTTCTTTCATCATTAAACAAAGTCACCTTTTACCTACAATCTGAGCTGTGCGTTCTGGATACAGTCCATTTAGAGATCTCAGTCCCGTCTGGCAGTGTGTGGAAACTGAATTCTGGCTACCTCTTTTTATTTGAAATAATGACAAGGAAGTTGAGGCAGGAAAAGGCAGAATTGGGGAGGTAGGAGTGGAGAATTTTTCATCTCCTGGTTCACTCACCAAATGGCTCTAATAGCAAGAGCTGAGCCAGGCCCAAGCAAGGAGCTTTAGCCAGGTCTAATACAGGGGTGCAGGGCCCAAGGATGGGGGCCATCATCTGCTGCTTCCCCAGGTGCACTGGAAGGGAGCTGCCAGGACTCAAACCAGCCTCCATATGGGATGCCAGCACTGCAGGTGGAGGCTTTACCTACACAACACCAGCCCCTCCATTTTTTTCTGTCCGTGTCAACTGGTCATTTGTCTTTCAGCCTACTACTATGTGGAATCACACTGACTGATTTGTGTGTAACAACCTGCCTTGTATGCTGGGGATGAACCCTGCTTGATTAAACATTGGAAAGATGATACACGCTAATCAGTAAACTTTCCAAAAGTTTAATTAACTTTGCAGTGGCTGTGTCAGGTACAGTTTTTAAAAATAATGCTGGAATCCCCAAATGAGTTCAGAGTATCCCCTTCAGCTCTATTTTTGGGGAGAGCTTAAAAATTATTGAGTTGGGGGGTTAGTGCCATGGCACAGTAAGCCTCAGTCTGCAATGCCAACATCCCATATGGGCATCAGTTCAACTCCCGATACTTCACTTCCAATCCAGTTCTATGATAATGGGAAAGCAGCAAAGGACGGCCCAAGTGCTAGAAGACCAGAGGCAGCTCCTGGCTGATGGCTTCACACCAGCCCAGTCCCGGCTGCCGAGGGCGCTTGGGGAGTGAACCGCTGGATGGGAAATAATTACACAGCGATTTCATAAACTATCAGTTCTGAATTTACATGTTTAAGTTCATCTAAGATCAGTTTTTACTGTCTCAAAATCTAGGTCTATGGGTATTTTCTATGGCTTCTCCGTTCTCTAGCATTCTTCTATCCTCCTGCTATCTGAGTTTTTTCCCTGTGTCGTTCAGGCACAGTGTTAGTCCATCTGGGGGTGGAGCAGTGGAGGGGAGAAGGCGACTGACCCTCCATCCACTGGGCTGCTCTCCCAGTGACCAGGACAGCCAGTATAGCCAGGCCGAAGCCAGGGGGTCAGAACTTCATCTGTTTTTCAGCAAGAAGGTGGACAAGAACCAATGCAGGCCCCACTGTGGGATGAGATGTCCCCAGTGGCAGGTGAGTGGCAGAGTGTCACAGAACTGCAGCCTGCCTGCTGTCTTGAATACAGAATTTACCTCTGTTGGCTTCCCTCATGGAAATTTGCAGCATGGGCCCGGCGCGGTAGCCTAGTAGCTAAATCCTTACCTTGCATCTGCCACGATCCCACATCCTAGTTGTTCTACTTCCCTTCTGGCTCAGCAAAGCAGTCAAGGATGGCCCAAACCCTTCGGACCTTGCACCTGTCTGGGAGACCCAAAAGAAGCTCCTGGTTTTGGATCGGCTCAGCTCTGGGCATTGCAGCCACTTGAGGAGTGAGCCAGGTGACAGAGTCTTTCTTTTAACTCTTGTCTCTGTAGATCTGCAGAGTCCCAAAGCCTGGGCCATCCTCTACTGCTTTCCCAGGCCGCGAGGTGGCAGCTCTCAATGGAATTGGAGCAGCCAGGATACTAGCTGGTGCCCAGATGGGATCCAAGTGATCGCAAGATAAAAATTTAGCCACTAGGCTATTGGGCCAGGTTCCTTCTTGCATTTTTTCACTTATTTTATTTCAACTTAAACATTATTCAGGGTAGCTTTTAAGATATACTAAGAAAGATATGTATTCTTTTGAAGTTGGATGGAGAGCTCTGTATATTAACTGTTCGGTCCGTTTTTGCCTATAGTAGAGTTTAACTCCTTAGTAATTTTCTGTTTGGTTGTCTATTGTTCAAAGTTTAATTATTAAAAAATTAAGTTTACGTGAGATTTGCCCAAGGTTACAGAGTGGGTGGTGAAGTGGGACTCCAGATGAAGTAACTGCTAAGTCACTTCTCTACATCGCTGCGCGACACAGCCGCCCTGCTTCTAGAATCTGTTTGAAATTTTTTATTTTTATGATTTTAAGGTTAGCACCAAATTTTTTTAAAAGATTATTTTATGCTTACCTCTTTGGAGGGTGACTGGGGACCTCGCAGGCTTTCTTCCTGCAGATCTGGCACTGCCCGCTCTTTCTTGCACGGTCCAGGTGGCGGATCCTGCAAAGACACACTTCTACAGCCCTACGTGCAAACAGGCCTTTCCACAGAACATACTGGCAAGGCCTTGCGAACAGAAGCCTGACCCTCTCTGTGCCCAGGCCCTGCTCCCAGCAGGAGCCATAACTGGTGCTTGATCTGAACCAAAGAAGCCAAGCCAAGTGAATCCTAGAGTATGAAGGCTGGCATCCTTTGTCAAACTGTTGGACATCACTGGCGACTGGACAGCCAGGGCCGGAAGAAACCTAGGAGCAGGGAACACATAGGTCAGTCCTCGGGTAAATTTTATCAAGAGAATAATTAAGGATTCTTAAAATCCTCAGCAACCACTTACTACCTATGTTATAGAGAATATTTTATTTGTACTCCTTAATAGCTATGAGGTCTTTGAAGGTTTCTGTTTATTTGCCAGGTGGAGGACGGTATCTGTCGACAGGGAGAAAGACGCCTGCATGTGCTGCTCATGTTCCCAGAGGCTTCCTCCGGGTCACGCAGGTGCAGGGTCCCAAAGTTCGGGGCCATTCTCTACTTCCTTCCCAAGCTGTAAGCAGGGAGCTGGATGGGAAGCAGAGCAGCTGGAACACGAACCAGTGCCCATGTGGGATCCTGGTGTGTGTAAGGCAAGGATTTAGCCACTGAACTTTCATGCCAGGCCTGGTTTTCTGTTTTTTTTAAAGGTCTTGGGCCGTCCTTGACCGCTCTCCCAGGCCACAAGCAGGGAGCTGGAAGGGAAGCAGGGCCAGTGGAATAAGAACCGGCACTTAAATGGGTTCCTGGGCACATGCAAGGTGAGGACTTTAGCTGCAAGGCTACCGCACAAGGCCCCTCTCATCTTTAAAATAATACAACAGTACCTATTTCATAGTGTTATAGTTGAAGAGTTTAAAAAGAACTTGGCTCATAAGTTAGCTGTTATGAATTTTAGCTCTATCTATTTTGAATGTGTAATGATTTTATAAATACATTGTACTTTAGTGATCAAACCCCAAATACGGGAAAATTTGTTAAAGGCAGGCTGAGGGACTAGCATTGTGGCATAGTGGGCAAAGCCACTTCCTGTAAGGCCAACATGTCAAATAGGTGACATTTTGACTACTGGATGCTCGACCTTTTTTTTTTAAGGAGTTCATATTCAAAAAAAATTTTATCGCAAAGTCAGATAAATTGGAATAGAGACAGAGATCTGTCCACTGGCTTACTCCCTATGTAGCTACCAGAGCTGAAGCTGAGCTGATCTGAAGCCAGGAGCCTCCTCTGGGTCTCCCACATATGTGCAGGGTCCCAAGGCTTTGGGCCGTCATTACTGCTATCCCAGGCCACAAGCAGGGAGCTGGATGGGAAGTGGAGCAGCTGGGACACGAACCAACAGATTTCAGTACTTGCAACCTGAGGATTTAACCATTGAGCCATTGTGCCGGGCTCTCCCTCTATTTTTCAAATACAGTTTTAAAAGGATTCCTAGGGCCTGCTTATTCCAAAGCCAGGACACAAAATCTTCCTCTAGCTATGTCTATTGATCTCTTACTCTGTATTGAAATCAGAGTTCCTTTTTTGCTAAGATTCACAGCCTTTCTTGATGACAACACATCTTTATAGACAAGAAGGAAGTGATCCAAATTACACAAGATAAAAAAGTCTTACCATGTGCCCAAGGTGAACTCTGAAGTTGCCCAAAAGGTTTCTTCTTATTGGTGCAACTTGGTTTCCTTGTGTATCTGCATTTTCCAGGTCGGTTTACTGGACAGTTGTGACCGTGCTGATTCTCCCTAAAGTAGAGATTGCCATATTGCTAGAAGCTGATATCAGCTACACTTCCACATTTAACAAGCCCATGCACTTGGTACTGCTTATTCTGTGCCTCAGTGACAAAGTTTAAAACCCTCAACCAATGATCCTTTTGTCCTTACACCTCAAACTCATTCCCTTTCTCAAGAAGTTTTTAGTACTCTTTCCCTATTTCAGATCTTTATGTATTTGGCAGTTACTCATGTGCAGGATCCCCCAGTGCATTCTAGAAAAGGCTCAAAGGAGGTCTCCGGTATTCAGAGTCCATTCCAAGCGACACATGAGTGATGACGCAGCTGTGTTAGTGGCATTTCCTCTAGCCACTCAAGTTATACAAGTATTAATTCTAATGCATTTTTGTCAAAGGAAGCAATTTTTAACACTATGTACTCCCTAACTCATGTTCATCTTATCACAAGACATAATTCGTAAGAATTCCTCCAATTTTTATTTTAAAAAAATGACACAATTATGTATGTATTAATCACTTATGCACACAAATTCCTGCCTAATGACTCCAAACTTGCTGCAGGCGAAATTACACATGCATAGTAATATCTATGCTTCCAGTGAGAATGACAGCAGAGTGGGAAGGGAATCAGAAAGAGAACTGGTTAGCTCGTGGGGACTTGCTGGTTCTATGAGCGACAATGACAAGAAAAAAATAGTAGCAAAATTACGGAAGCAAATTTTAACAAAACAGGCAGACCGAAGTGCTTTATTAAATCTTAGAAAATTAATACCATTTTTTGCCCATTTCCTTAATTCTACAAACTTCATGCTAAAAAGCTTCATGTTTGTGTAGCTATTATTTTCTTTGCCATCTTAACTCTAGGTAGATGGAAATAAACAGGACCTATGTCACAAACTGTCACATTTCTCATCAGGGCAGTGCACAGCCAGATGGACAGGCTGACCTTGTCTTACCTTCTTGGAGAAGGGCAATGGTGGCCTCTGGGGGCCTGGGCCGGGCTGGGTTTGGGGGGCGCTGGTCTGTGAGTGGCTCCCGGGAGCCGAGCTGAGTCAGACAGCAGTTCATTCATTAAAGTGTATGCTTGTGAGATGCGACGACTGTAGTGGTCACGCAGCAGCAACCTTCGGGCAAATAATGAAGTATCATTTACTTTCCACTCGTGTTTCTTGAGGACACATAGCACTTCACGAGGAACTAGCATTTGCTCTTTTACTTCCTCAATGTTTTCAAAGTCTCTTGTTCATCAGACTTCTCGAAGCCAGTCTCCAGTAAGGTGCGTCACTGACAGTACCTGTACTTTGGACCCTTGGACAATCCCCGAAAGCATAGCACTGGGGTTAGAATGGGGACAGCAAACTTAAGTCATAACAACTGTTGGGAAGAAATATTTGAAAGCAAATTCTAGAAATGGCTGGAAGTGAGTCAAATGGTTTTCCTTGTACTGATATCTCCCACAGTTTTCTGTTTATCAACAAAAGAGAATATTCTGGAAAACAGAATTTTTCAGGCATTTTCTAAGCTGAGGGAGAATGGGCTCCGGGAAATGCTCAGGGTGCAGCTACCAAACTCACCTGTCTTTTTCGTGCTTCATCTTTTGTCTCAGTCTGATTTCCCTTGAGGTCATATAAAACTGCCAAGAAATAACCCGTTAGTGCCTTCCTGTTCAGTCCTCGTCACTGAATCACTAGGCGGAATTCTGCTCTTAGGAAACCGTGTAAACATTTGATGAAGTCCCCTAACCTAGCTAGCACAAAACATGAAAATACTAAAATTTGTAAGTTTAAAGTAAAACCAAGCCCCCCAAAAAATACAAGGAAAAAACAGAATGTCAAAGCCTCTAGCCCTTGACCCTTCACACCCTAATCAAATATGAAAACAGTACCAAAAAATAAAATTTATACAACTAGCAAAAAAGTAAAATCCCAACTTAATAAATGTAATGCAGTTTGTTTTACTAGCTATTGCATTATTGCAAAAGGGGAGCGAGTTGTTACCTGTATTAAAATCAGAAAAAAAGGAGTATTGTATGAATGGAAATTCTTATGTTATACTCAGTCTGAGTGGTCTGACCAAGAACTTGGATGAACAAAAGAAATGAGTCAGACATCTGCAATCACCCTTTTGGGATCCGGCATCATGGCAGGCCTGTAGCTGAATTGCAGGCAACCGACACGGGTGCTAGTTTGAGTCTTGCTTGCTCCACTTCCAGTCCCACTCCCTGCTGGTGGCCTGGGGAGAACTAAAGGAAGCTCCTGGCTTCCGGCTTCAGAATGGCCCAGCTCTTTCTCCTTCTCTCTGTACATCTGCCTTTCCAACAAAAAGAACTAAATCTTTAAAGAAATTGGTCCAGGAGTTCGGGTACCTGCACGTACATGGGAGATACAGATGGAGTTAGCAGTGGTAGGTTGCAGCCTGGCCCAGCCCTGGCTATTGGGGCTAGTTGCAAGATGAACTAGAGGGGAGAAGAACTCTGCATCAGTTTATCTTTCAAAAAATAAAAGCAATCTTTTCAAAAACTTATTTAAGGCAGAGTTCCAACACAGAGATAACGACGGACAGTGAGATCCTCCATCCACTGCTTCTCTCCTAGGGGTACAGGGGCCCAGGCTCATAGGTCATCCTCCACTGCTTCCCCAGGCACATCAGTAGGTAGCTGGACTCCAAGTGGAGCAGCAGGGACTCAGAACTGATACTCATTGCACTGGTCCCTTAAAGGAAAGTTTTTGAAAGGGTTGGAGAGACTCAGAGACCTTCCATCCATTGGTTCACTTCCCAAAAGGCTGCGATGGCCAGAGCAAAGCTAGTAGGAAGCCAGGAGCTTCTTCGGGGTCTCCCACATGGATGCAGGGTCCCCACATTGAGCCTTCCTCCACTGCTTTCCTAGGTCACCAGCAGGGAGATGGATCAGAAGTGGAGCATCTGGGACTCGAATCGGTGCCCTATGGGATGCCACCACCACAGATGGAAGATTAGCTTGTGTACCAGTCCCTGAAACAAAACTTTATAAAGTAACCTCCCCAACACACACACACACACACTCAGAGTCACTATTCTGCAGGTACATGTTTGAACAATGTTACTTTTTAAATTCTTTGTAGATAACTAATGCAGAATGTTTGAAACATGGTTTATACACACACAGTCATCCAGCTGTTACTGACTCTCACCAAAACTATAAAACCAACTCTGACTGGCTCCCCACCCACTCGGCCTCCATGAGTGCTGCAATCAGGAGACTGGGCAAACAAGCAAGTACTGGAGCTAGGTTAAGCAAGAGCATGGTTTGTACAAAATCCTGCTACACTTTTCTGACTAAAGAATAAAATACTGACTTTCTGATTAAAAAAATTCACCCAAATTACACAATCCCTTTTCTTGAGTATCTGACAGGAACAACCAGACACAGCTTCTGGGATTTGGCACCAAAACAAAAACTCCAGGCACGTTCCATGCTGACCCAGCGTCCGTGCTGACCCGCTGACCCACCGACCCACCGTCCCGACGCGCAGACTCACTGGGTCGCTGCGGGAACAGAAGGGCTCATGCTCTTGCCCTCGCTTCTCTGCCAGCTCGTTCAGGTACTCTGCCATCCTTTCCTTCCGCTTTCTTTTCATCCACACTTGGATCTCTCTCCTCTCCTTCTCAGTTCTTTGTGGACGTTTGCCAGAAGAACGCTGAATCCTGCGATGTAGAAAAAACAAGGTTTCACTGACTCCTAAATTTTCTTTTTTTTTTTAAAGATTTATTTTTATTATTTTTTTTATTGGAAAGGCAGACATACAGAGAGGAAAGACAGAGAGGAAGATCTTTCGTCCGATGATTCACTCCCCAAGTGAGCGCAACGGCCGATGCTATGCCGATCCGAAGCCAGGAGCCTCTTCGGGTCTCCCACACGGAAGGAAAGCGGGGCTGCCGGGATTAGAACCGGCGCCCATATGGGATCCCGGGAGTGCAAGGCGAGGACCTTAACCACTGCGCCACCGCGCCGGGCCCAGACTCCTAAATTTTCACGGACACAGTAGATAGCACGACTAACCAGCATTTAGTTTGAGAGTCTGCCCCTCCTGGAAAGCAGTCACAGACCTGCACGTCAGTTAGTCCCTGAAACTCGCTGAAAAAGGGGTTCACAGAAAGACCAATACCTGCTTTCAGTTCCACCCTCTTCAAACCCTATGAGTGGATCCTTTAAAAGGTTTACTTATTTACTTGTTTAAAAGGCAGAGTGAGGGGCCTGGGCACAGCAGCCTAGTGGCTAAACCTCAGCCTTGCACATGCCAGGATTCTGTATGAGCTAATCCCAGAAACCCTGCTTCCCATCCAGCTCTCTGCCTGTGGCCTGGGAAAGCAGTCAAGGACGCCCAAAGCCTTGGGACCCTGAACTTCTGTGGGAGACCTGGAAGAAGCTCCTGGCTCCTGGACTCAGACTGGCACAGCTGCAGTCGTTACGGCCACTTGGGGATTGAATCAGTGGATTGAAGATCTTCCCAACTCTTCTCTCCATATTTGACTTTGCAATAAAAAATAAATCTTCAAAAAAAAAAAAAAGTGACAGAGGTGCAGGGAGAGAGGACTTCCATTTGCTAGTTCGATTCCTGAATGGCTACAATAGGTGGTGCTGGGCCAGGCTGAGGCCATGAGTCAGGAACTCTGGGCCTCCCACACAGGGGCAGGGCACAAGCACTTGGGCCATTGCTGCTTTCCCAGGCAAGCAGCAGAGAGCTGGCTCAGAAGCAGGGTGGCTGGGACTGAACCACAATGCTTGGACCCCTTGCTTGGGTCTCAACTCTGAAAACACAAGCGGCCTCCCACCTTGGCTCCTTGCTCTGCCCTGCCTTTCACTCTCTGATCTCCGTTTTGGACTCTGATCTTTTATGTCCCAGACCCCCTCACTTCCTGCGGTACAGAGACTGTTGCAAGCAGCAGCTCTTCTGGGTCTCTCCAGCTCCTTGTGGTAACACGGAGTCTGGCCACACCAGGGACTACCCCTGGCAGGAGTGTTTGGGGTGGCCCATTCTGCAGGACACAGGGGACTCATGGGGAGGGTGTGAGCACTGCTTGTTAAGCAGAGAGGGAAGAGAGGAGGCTGGTGCTGGCCAGAACTACAGGCAGCGCTGGAAAGGTGGTGGTCAGACCTGATCCCGAGTCCCCATGAGTCCCCCGTGTCCTGCAGAATGGACCAACTGCATTCTCAGGCAGCCAGCTAGCTCAGTGGCTGAGTCACTGCTTGGGACACCCTCCCACCACACTGCAGTGCCATGGGTTCAAGTCCTAACTCTGTTCCCAATCCTATTTCGTGCTAATGCCCACCCCTGGGGGTGGCACATGATGGCTCAATTATTTGTCTTCTGTCAAGTAGCTGAAAAAAGTCAGGATTAGGTCAAAGAGGTGAAAGTGACAACGTTTCCACTTTGCTAAAAGACGGATCACCACGAACTCAGCTTTTCCAGGTAGAAAAGCCGTCATTCTCACTGCCTGCCAGTGTTTACTCAAACCTGCACCCTGCACTCTGCTCTGTTGTATCCCCGCAGCAGCTCCTCTGCTGGCTTCAGTTCAACGTGAAAGCCCTCAGCTGACCCGAGCCCAGCACCTGCAGCAAGAACTCGGGGCTTCGGTCCTCACAGCCAGCCTCTCCGGCACACAGTGCAGCCCCGTCTGACTGTCCCCTTCCCTGCTCCTCACGTCTCACTCCCAGACTGTCCCTTGCAACTCAGTCACACATTTCTGTTGATCTTTCTGGATGCAGCACAAACACAGAAACTGGCAATATTTTTAATAGGCTGAAAGTGAGTTCCTGGAGGTGAGCATTTAACTACCGAGAGCAGGCCACATCTCACACCAGTGCCTCCGGCTGGTTCCTGGCTCAAGGGCCGGACTCCAGGATCCTTTCTCCCTGTGGGAGATGTGGACAGAGCCTGTCTCTCAGCTGCTGCCAATCTAGCCACGGGCATTTGGAGAATGACGTAATACACGTGAGAACCCCCGCATACCTCCTCGCTCTCTGTTTATCTGTCACCCTCTCTCTGCCTTTCAAAAGAAAGAAGTGAATGCTCCCAAGTTTACCTGGAGATGCTCTTAGCTTGCTGTTCTGTAAGGCCAAGCTCCTCACTGGAAACTCCACCTCCGGTTAGAAGATCATCAATAATGTCTGCGATGTCCGTCAGCCCAGCCGCCTGGAGCGCATCTGCGGAAAGGCTGAGCGGCCTGCGCAATTGGAGAAACAAAGCAGCATCCACAACATGACTACATTACAAAAGCACGCACAGACCGCGCCCTGGGACGGACCCTTACCACACTTACCTGTCAGGGAACTCCTCACTGTTATTTGTACCTTGAAAAAAAGAAATGTTATCAGTTAAAAATCTCAGGTCTTCTTTGTTTTAAAGCATTAATCTATTTCCACAATGAGAATTTTACACATTTTTAACCTCAAAATTGGTTAAAAGACACATGTATGTCACTAGTAGTGAATATGCTCTTTGGTAGTCAACACAGCCTACATGTTAGGATTGCTGCTTTTCCATGCTGCGTTCTGTACAATAGCTTTGGGGTGCAGCCCTTCTGTAGTATCTAGGCTTTGCTTGTATGCATGGTGGTCACGGAGGCTCACACCCAGGAGAGCCTGCAGTGCTGAGCTGTGTCCGGCGCACTGCAGTCGGCCAGGCCATGTCTATCTGCAGGACACAGAGCGCAGCACTGGGACGCAGCTGACTTTCCAACAGCACAAGAGCCACAAAGCCCCTCCAGGAGTGACACTTGGGAAAATACCTAATTTAAATCCAAGGTTTACTTCAAACAGAAAGGAATGATTTTTTAAAACCTGTTCAGTATCAAGTATGTGTCTTTAAAGCAGACAATTTATTAAACCTTCCTAGGTTAACCTGGGAAAATGTGTTAATACAGAGGGGAAAAAGGCACAGATATCACCTCTCAAAAATGGGGGGGTGGGGAGCATGTGAGGGTTTTTTTTTTTTTCAGATTATTTTTATTACAAAGTCAGATATACAAAGAGAAAGAAAAAGAGAGTAAGACCTTCCATCCAATGATTCACTCCCCAAGCAGCTGCAACGACCAGTGCTGTGCCGATCCAAAGCCAGGAGCCAGTAACTTCCTCCCGATTTCCTACACAGGTGCAGGGTCCCAAGGCTTTGGGCCGCCCTCTACTGCTTTCCCAGGCCACAAGCAGGGAGCTGGATGGGAAGTGGGGCCACCGGGATTAGAACCAGCGCCCACATGGGATCCCAGCATGTTGAAGGTGAGGATTTTAACCACTACGCTGTCTTGCCAGACCCGACATCTACTTGACATTACACTGAAAGCCCCTACAACTCCTTCCTCATTGCTGGAGGTGTTAGCCTCTCACTTCTTGCAGATTTCCACCAAACCCAACTCGCCCATCTCACCCGGGATCTCCTCTGGCTCTCTAACAGGTAATATTTCACAGGATGCGGTCCTGGCGTTTCCCCTTTTTCCTTCTTGCTTGCAAAGAACAGAGACACTTGGGTCTGAACAGGCTATTAGATGACAGCTCTTTCACATGGTCCTTCAGACCTTCACTTCCATCCACATCCGTCTCTTCATCTGAAGCTGCCGCCTACTCGTGTGGTAATGCGGCCACGCCCCTCAGCTGGGATCACCCTCACCTGTCAGACTGGCCTTCAGAACGCTCCCGAGGCGGACATCGCAGTTGCTCACTGGCTCCTACCATCTGGCAATGCTGAACAGGTAGTGAACCTCCTCCTTAACCTTTTAGTCGCTGCCTACCTCCAGCTATATTTTAGAATGTCTTGTTTCTTCTGTTTCCCACAGTGCTTTGCAGGACCTCATTCTTTCAAAGGTCAGCCGAGTCCAGACCTGCCAGCTGCCCTGTGTCCCGCACTTCCCCAGCATTCTCCACGAACGCTGAAGTAAAGGACAGCGTGTAACACCCTCAGATGCACCCAGCACTACGCTCCCCCAGCACGAGTCCTGTGGAACCTGGGCTGTCGGTCCTTCCCCAGGGAGGAAAGAGGAAAGCCGTCAGAGACCGGGACACACAGACAGGAAGCGGACGCCCAGCAAGGGGCTTTGCCCTGGACGAGCAGTCACACACAGCTTAGGCAAGAGGAAACTATTATTGCCCTGTGGAGGACTTACAAAAGTCCTAAGTTTTTAAAGTCATCCTGTTAATACTTTATTTTTTAAGCAACAGCAACGCATTTAAAAATAGTATTATTGGGCCCGGTACATAACCTAGCAGCTAAAGTCTTCAGCTTACACACACCGGGACCCCAAATGGGCGCCGGTTCTAATCCCAGCAGCCCCACTTCCCATCCAGCTCCCTGCTTGTGGCCTGGGAAAGCAACTGAGGACAGCCCAGCATGGAGTCCCAGAAGCAGCTCCTGGCCTCGGATCGGCTCAGCTCCGGCTGTTGTGGCTACCTGAGGAGTGAACCAGCAGACAGAGGACTTTTTTTCTCTCCTCTCTGTAAATCTGACTTTCCAATAAAAATAAATCTTTTAAAAAATTTAAAGAGGGTATTCTTACTGCTCATGTTACTTTATTAATGGTGATAACATGCTTTAAACACTCAGTAAAATAATTTATATTGACCATCAGAATCAGAATTAAGGAAAAAATTTAAGCTACTCTGAGATTGAAAGGCTGCATTTGCTATATCCTGTTAGTCATGACAAAATACGCCAAGTAAACAAAAGCATATCAGTTGCCATTGTCCCTTCTGTGTGAAACAGAACCAAAAGTAGCACTGAATCTACATTTCAACATTCTCCACCCTAAGACAGAGATAACAAACGTATGCCACAGGTCCAGCTTCCACCAGGATCGTGTCTGTCAAGGGACGTCTAACCTGGCAGAGCCTCACGGACCGATGCATTGTGCATTCCAGTTCTGCATGCTGTGTGTGTCAGCTTTAACCTCCCACGTCGACGGGCCCAGGCAGCACAGCTCGGGAACCCTGACGGAGAGTGAGCAGGGCGAGCAGGGACGAGGCACAGTACCGGGAAAAGGCGTGTCCTGGCCACTGGAGGGGCTGGCCGCTGCATCACCAGGAAGCACGCGGGGCTGCTGAGGACACAGAGGCTCTGCTCTGGACAGCTGGGCTGAAGTCTCCTCCGGGTCACTCTGATCTTCCTCATCCACAGGAGCCAGGACTCGCACTGAGTGAGAGTATAAACTACACTTAACAGAAAATAGACCCAGACCCCCCAAATCACGCTAATACCTTCACAGGCAACAAAGATAGGTCAGAAGGTTTAATATAGTCTTCTGATGCATTTCTACAGAATACAGAAATATGAAACTTAAAATCCCCTTATAATAATAAAATTTTAAGAAAGCACAGAAACCATAAAAGAATGGAATAGGACATTAAAAGAGCTAGATTTGAAAAAAAAAAGTAGAACTTTTAAATTAAACATGTAGATGCAGAAAACAAAGTCATAGGGAATGAACGGGTGAAGCAGCTGAGAGGAGCGCAGGGAGACTCGTAACTAGATGGAGAGCTCCCAGACCTGCCAGCTACTCCACCGAGACAGAAGAGGCGGAAATGAACAGTGCCCAGAACAGCTAAGGAACAGAGCGAGCTCTAAGCTCGTTTTCAGAGGGAACAACAGGGGGCGCAGGCCTCCCGAGCACGCTACAAGAAAACGGCCCAGTGGGAAACCATCCAACTGAAGCAGCACTGCTACTCATGGGAAGATGAAGAGCCGCACATACTGCAGCAAAACAGCAGGAGAAACTTAAGCCATGTTAGGGCATTTGGAGATAAAAGGGCATGCAATTAAGACTGCCAGCACACAGGTGGTCAGTAGATAGCCACTTGGCCAAATGCCTGGTCCTAAGATGCCAGTGAAGACACGCACATCCAAGACGGAGAGCACCTGGGCCTCACATCCGCCTGCACTCCCAACTCCAAAATCCAAGTGCTGTGAATCCTGGGGTAACTGGGACCCCCCACTCAGAGACCAATTGGGCACAGGGAGCCCAGGGACTTGAGCCATGCTCCCCTGCTTTCCTGGGCACATCGGCACGGAGCATGATTGGAAGTGGAGCAACTGGGACTTGAACCAGTACCCATCTGAGATGCAGGCACCTCTATGATTGTGCGAAGTACCACAGTGGCAGCTCCCTCAATTCTTTTTGAAGGGAAACCACAGTACATATCTTCAAAGTGGTGTGAGAAACCAATGATCATCCTAGAGTTTTGCTTTAAATAAGCTATCACATAAAAAATTATAGCACAGTAAGTTATTAAAAAAAAAAAACCAGGAAAATTTGCCACTCTCAGACTCTACATAATGAAATTAAAATCTTTTAAGCAGTGGCTATATAGGCCCAGCACCACGGCAGAGTATGTAAAGCAGCTGTGTGCAGTGCTGACATCCTGTAAGAACACCAGTTGGGGTCCTAGCTGCTCCACTTCTGATCCAGCTCCCCTTCTCTGGGCCTGGGAAAGACCTGGAAGAGCCTCCTGCCTCCTGGCTTCAGATCAGCTCAGCTCCAGCCCACTGCGGCCATTTGGGTAGAGAATGAACCAGAGGGTGGGAGAACTCTCTCCACTCTGTCTCTTCATCTCTCTAACTCTGCCTTTCAAAGAAGAACAACATCTTTTTTTTTTTTAATTAAAACCACAGGGTAGACCTAAGATACTAGAAAACAACATCAGAAGGGATGGTTTTTTTTTTTGCCAGACTGTATGAGAAAGTAAGCGCAGGTATAAACAAGTAAACATCACCACACCTTTCAGAAACAAGCACAATCCTTGCCTGGCCCTTGAACCAGAACGCAGACGGCAAGCTGGCATGACGATCACCAAGCCACAGCCACGCCAGCAGCAGCCCTGGCAACCCTCGGCTGCGTGGAGCCAGGAACGTGGGACCCAGGGAGACCCCGCTCAGCCTGCCCCACCCCGGGGTCCACACTGGAGGACACGACCAGCCCCTCAGGACACAGAATAGGGCCTGAGGGGGCAGCCAAGAACATTATTATAAAAATAATCCCCAACTAAAAACTCGGAGGTTGAAGGGTTAGGCTTCCACTGGAGAACTCTCGGTTCTCCTAGGCCAGGGAACAGTGCTCTTTGAACCAGCGAGGTGTCCGCCCAGGCCCTGCCACCCGCGACAACAAACCTTCTTCAGAGACGCTAATGGTTTTGGAAGGGAATGGTTTTTCAAATTCAAAGCCAGCAGACAATTCACCGTGGTTCACCTGTCCAAACTGGAGGAAACACAGAGCAACAGTTACAGATTTAACACTGATATTCAAAATATCAAATGTTTTTAATGTAAGTTTTACACTTATTAATGCAACAAAAGAAAATGCGATTTCAGCGCACACTGGACTTTCCCAGAGATCAATCCAGAAGAGGTGTTGCCTCGCACCTTCACTGAGCCGACCTTTCTCGAGCGTCACGCACTGAGAACCAGGACCAGATGGTCAGCGGCTGTGATTTTTTTTTTTAGAAAATATTATATTTTTTACTTTATAATTATTCTTGTTTTCTTGATATGGGAATAGAGATATAAACTTTAAAGCTTTTACTTCAGGTGTACTGGAAAAAATGAAGACATTTAGGTAGCCTATGCATGGCAAAATGCTTACTTATTACTTTGTTTTGTAACACTTTATAATTCCACAGGTAGAATAAATACTGCAAGCTACAAGTCATTATACATCATATTTGTTTCTTTCTAATTCTGACTTTCAAATAAAAATAAGTCTTAGAGAAAAGAGTAAGAAAAGAAGAAATCAAGTGCCTCAAATTGCATCATACTAGAACTCTAACAACTCAGTTACAAAACTAAAGGCCAGACTCTACCTTGGAACTGTGGCGATCCAGCACTTCGGGCCCGGGGAAGTCCTGCTCTATGCTTTGGGCAATGTTCTGCACCGCCAGCAGCTGCTCGTCAATCTCCCGGAGCTTGGCGGTGAGGCGTTGGAGGCAGCGGGCCGCGGGGCTGGGAGTGGGCCGAGGTGCAGGGGTCTCCCGCGGCCGGCTCTGCAGCAGCTCCCCTTCCGCACGGGCGGCTTCCGTGCTCCATGCTCTGAGCTCCGGCTTGGCTGCATCTACACAGCAACACAAGACCAGCACTGACCACAGGAATGGCACCAGCACCGTCTGGGTGGCCCACTTCCTGCATCGGAGTGCGGGCGCAGAGTCTAGACTGTTCCCAATTCCATCTCCCTGCCAGTGCACATCCTGGAAGCCACAAGCTGATGGCTCAAGTTAAAGGGACCCTGCCACCTCCGTGGGAGACAAAGTTCCTGGCTCTCACCTTCATCCGGGCCCAGCCTGGGCTGCTGCGGGCATCTGGAAAATGAACTCGTGGACAGAAGATCTTTTCTAGTCTCTGCCTGTTCTTCTCTGGCTCTTCCTTTCAAACAAAATAAAATACAGAAAAAAATCTGAGACCCCACCAATGTGCTGCTCCTTCTCTGCCCGGGCCCCTCAGAGCAGCCCCGGTACCCCAGGATCCTGCTAACAGCCCAGATGCCTCAACAGGGTAAAAGACACACACAAGCTTTCCTGCCGACCTCTCCAGGAGCAGCGCATACCATTTCATTAAACAAACATTCCATTTCAATCAACTTTAATTTTCTCAAATTCAGCAGACTCTATCAAAGCTCTGAGTCTAATTCATATTTCCCTTTAATATTTCTTGGATGCTTTTAATTTTCTAGAGTTGGCTGGTATAAAAATGTTGGGGTTGTGCCTTGGCACAGTACGTTTAAGCCCTGGCTGCTCCACTTCTGAGCAAGCTCCTTGCTAATGTGCCAGGGAAAGCAGCAAAAACGGCACAGGGCCTCAGGCCCCTGTACCCATTTAGGAGACCCAGAAGAAGCTCCTAGCTCCTGGCCTCAAATCAGCTGAGCTCTGGCCATTAAGGCCATTTGGGAAATCAACTGGCAGATGGAAGACCTTTTCTCTCTGTCTCTCCTATCTCTATAAATCTGCCTTCTAAAGGAAAAAAAAAAATCGTAAAAAGTAAATAACTCGAGCCTAGTGCTGTAGCCTAGCAGCTGAAGTCCTTGCCTTGCATGTGCTGGGATCCTATATGGACGCCGGTTCTAATCCCAGCAAGCCCAGCTTCCCATCTAGTTTCCTGCTTGTGGCCTGGGAAAGTAATTGAGGATGGCTCAAATCCTCGGGACCCTGCACCCATGCTGTCGCGGCCACTTGGGGAGTGAATCAGCAGACGGAAGATCTTCTCTGTATATCTGACTTTCCAATAAAAATAAATATTTTTTAAAAAGTAATTTCTAAAAATAAAAGGAAACTGATGAGACACTTCAGTGGCCAGAGACATGGCTGCAGATACCTTGCAGTAGTCCTGAGAGACCTGAGTCCCACAGGGACAGAAGAGAGATTCGGGTAATTATGTGTTAGAAGTCTCTAAATTATTAGGTGATAGAAGTGGGTCTGAAATCCCAGTTTGTTCTCACCTCCACTTCACTCCACACTTCCCCAGCCTGAAGGATCGCTGGCTGCGCTCTCTTCCCCCATCACCCATGGACGCTGTTTTTTTTCTATATCCTGTTCTATGGCTGCCAAAGTTTCAAAATCTAAAATACTGGCAACTCAGGGTCAGAACAGGAAGACGGGCTGCCCCCTGCAAAGCCAGCGTCTCACGAGCCCTTGGAGTGCTGCTTGCTCCACTTCCAACTCGGCTCTCTGCTTCCGCGCCTGGGAAAGCACGAGAAGATGGCCCAAGCGCTCAGGCCTCCATTACCCACCCTGGAAATCCAGACACAGCTCCAGGCTCCTAGCTTTTTCCTGCCCCAATCCCAGTAACTGCGGCCGTCTGAGGCAGCTGCGCCCTCGCCCACACTTCTCCGTGACAAATCCTTGGCATGTGTGTGCCGTAACACATCAAGTGAAGGGCTCCCACCCATTCTTTCCGGGCTCCGAGTGCCCACTGACCACAGCCAAGTCACAGGCAGTGCCACATACCCTAGCCATGAAAAGACAGGACAGAACAAGTTAGTCAACCACCTCAGCTATATGTTGGCAGTGAAAAACTGGGCAAATGGAGACTGCATGAAGGCCTAAGTCAATCAGTGGATTCTTCAACGACCTCATCGTGCTTGGAGTGGCGAGAATGGCAGCGATTCCTAACTGGTGAACTACCAAAGCCACTTGAGCAAGACCCTCGGAGCATGCCCCACATCAGGGACCTGGGGTGGGTGGGAGACTGGGTGGGGCTTCTCCCTTAAAATCCCCCTTTACCTCAGATATATGAAGGAAACAATATGGAAATAATAGTCTTGCCCACTTTTCTGAACCCCTTGAACCTTTGTACCCTATTAACTATGTAAAGATTGTCAAAAATATAAAAAAATGGAAAAATAATAAATCTTTAAAAACAGAAAGTACTACTGGCCACCATGCCTCTCTCTGGCTGACGTGCCAATTAAGGATTTCCTCCTTAAAAAGAAGAATGGCTATTTTCAATCTTAAGGTTTAACTTATTTTTTTACTTTATTTGAAAGGCAGAGATTGACAAACAAAATGGAGATCTTTCCACATGCTGCTCACTCTGAATGCTCACGCCAGCTACAGCCAGGCCACAGCCAGCAGCCCAGGCCTCAACCTTGAATCTGGGTCTGCAGACGCAGGAATCTGAATCGGAAACTCGAGTCCTGGCACTGCACTGAGTCCCAGCGCATCTCGAGCACCGTGCCAAGCACTTGCCCCAGAGCTCCTCTAACGTTAAGACAGTGAATTCCCACAGTGTATTTATTCTTAGCCTAATTAGAAAAAAATGCTCTGCTCGGTAGCCTCCTTGAAGACCACCCGTAAGTGTGAGCCTTCCAGCGATTTCTCCCCCTGATCTACCTGCCCATTCCTTAGCAAAGGATCAGCTGCTCGGGCATTAACTGTAGTTACCCCCGGCGCTTGCTTCTTTTCATGTTCTAAAGATTTCTTTCTGTTTGAAAGGCAGAGAGATGCAGACGGACAAAGGTGGGGGCGTAGGGTGGCGCCGCACAGGAGCGGTGAGATAGACGGAGAAGGGGTGTGGGGACCAGCGGCGCAGCGGGAGTGAGCTGCACTGCAGGTGGGCCGGCCGCTTGGGACGCCCACGTTGTGGTGGAGCGCACAGCGCGGCCCCTAACCCGGGGCAGGAGGGCTGTCTCGCCATTCACCTCCGTCCTGCTGCCTGGCTGGTGGAGCAGCTGAGCAGAAGCTGGGCTCCTTCGCTTCGGTAACAGCCGCTCTCCAGCTTATTCCTTCCAGAAGTCCTGGAGTCTCTTCTGCAGGTCTCAGTAAACCCAGAGCCGAACTGGCACAGTCTGTTAGGGGCAATCAAAGTCACACAAGCATTCAAACAAGGATTAACCCAACATTTCCCACCGTGAACATCAACATGCGAAAGTACTGTGGGGACCTAGCTGCAAGTAGGGTAAAAAAGCCTTAAATAATTTTTCAAAAGGTACTTATTTAGGAAGGAGGGGACAACCCTGACCTTGACTGTTAAACCTGTGTGGAGGAACAGCATTGGTAACTGAGGCGGCCAGGTAGTGCAGCTCGGCACCCGACGGGGCTGGCACGGGCACGCTGGCACAGGAAGGCCCTTCGGTGTCGGCCAGCTCCTGCAGCAGCTCATCAGCCTGAATGTCCATCACAGCCAGGTAAGCATGGCCCGCCTGCGTCAAAACACGGAGTAATGTCAGAGAGGCGGACTCTGCTTTCTTCGCCATGGCTACTCTGCAAAGCAAGGCTGACCTTTTCATTCTCCTGAGGCCAGCAGAGCTGCGTGTGCTGCCTTAGCGAAAGCGCTAGCAAGTACACGCTCGGCCTTAGCATCGGATGTTTTCCCTTCCGCCAAAGCCACTCATTTCACCCAGTTACATGATGTCTAGAAGACCAGTACCCATGTTAGCACAAAGCCAAATTAAAGTTCTTGAATAAAGCACAAACCGAATTTGTTGTCATATTAAATGCTGAAGGTGACGAAGCCCTCTCTGGCACTTCCAAGGAAAATTCGGGGTTTAGACACACATCTGGAACCAACTGCTGAGGAATCTGCAAAGGTTCATGCTCTAGGGGTTAAATAATAAAGAGAAGACCAGAAATATCAAGTTAGTACCACGTTTTGTAAAATACTGGGAAATCTAAATAAAAGCTCCATGTTCATAAGGTAAAAACTTATCTCAAAAAATGTACTTATTCTCACTCAACAGCAAATAGGCTCACTGTGGTTGGTTAGCAGCTGAACTTTGTGCCCTTGGTTCTAGGACTCTGATCTTCTGAGAATTTTGCCTACTTTTATTTGGAAGACAGTCAGATCTCTTGACTGCTGGTTCATGCCCCAAATGCTGCCTCAGTGGCCGAAGATGAGCCAGGCTGAAGCCAAGAACCAAGTACCCAATCTGGGTCCCTCTGGCAATGACCGAGACGAGCAAGCGACCAACCACCTTGTCCTAGGGTTTGCACCAGTAGCAGGCTGAACTGGGAACACAGGCTGGGCTCAAACCCAGCTACTCAGATGCTGATACCCCAAGCGGCATCTGGATGCTGCACCAACCACCAGTCATGAGCATTTTATCTTTAAGAAAGCATTACCTCCACATGTCATATTGCAACTCACTGTCAAATTAAATACTAGAAACTTACCAACAAGCTTGAGTTTAAAGCATAAACTGATAAAAAAAAATTTACAAACATAAAATGAAAGCATTTATGTGACACTGTCTCTAACCCAGTTGCTGGTTATTTCTCAAGGGCGATGCGGACTCGTGCACCAGCAGCACACGTACACACATCATCTTTAATCAGGCAACTGTTCTCAGGAGAAAAGACAAGCTGTACCTGAAGTAGAAGGGATGATGTGTCGATTTTCTCCACATTCAGAAGCAAGTGCTGCAGGAGCTGCTTCCTCGTTTTCTAACACATTAGGTGCTTTGTGGGCATAAGGAAAAACAAAGGATTTTTGCAAACACAAGAAGAAATTAAATATATGAACACAGATAATCACATATTCTACATAAACAGAGGAAGAGAGGTATACTTACAACCTAAAATAGTAGGAAAAAAAAGGTTTTGTTTCTATTTACTTCCTGGGCTTTGACCTAGATGAACAATCAACTATTACTAAGTAGCTGTCCAAACCGACAAGCTGAGCCAGGGTCAAGACAAAGAACCTGTCAGGCTCCAAGACACACGCAGACAAAAGCAGTGCTTTTGTTCACATGAAAAACATCTCATACACGGTTCAACTTCATCCAGATTAAAAAAAAAAAAACCACAAGTTAAAATAATGCTGCTTTTTGATCCACCCAATTGACAAAGCAAAAAAAAAAAGTGAGCTAAATCAGTCTCTAACCAAGGCTCTTAGGCAAGAGCATGGTCCCCGCGGCATTACTCATGAAACAAAATGGGAACTACTGAATGCACTCCACAAGCAACCAGGGAATGCAGAAGTGCTTCAAAGTATCTGCTCAAAACACACAAAAATTAGACAAGTTTAGTTTGGTGTCAAAAAGTTTTGAAATTCATACATATGAAAGGCTTTTAAAAACTTCATGGGTGGGCCCCAAATGATAGCCTCGTGGCTAAATCCTTGCCTTGCATCTGCTGGGATCCCATACAAGTGCCAGTTCGTGTCCCAGCTACTCCACTTCCCATCCAGCTCCCTGCTTGTGGTCTGGGAAAGCAGTCGAGGAAGGCCCAAGACCTTGGGATCCTACTCCTGCATGGGAGACCCAGAAGAATCCTGGCTCCTGGCTTCAATTCGACTTAGCTCCAGCTATTGCGGCCACTTGGGGAGTGAAGCAGCGGATGGAAGATCTTCTGTCTCTCCTTCTTTCTATAAATCTGCCTTTCTGATTGGGATCATTTGAATGTATACATTGCTTTTGGTAATATGGACATTTTGATGATGCTGACTCTGTCCATCCAAGAGCATGGTATGTTTCTCAACTTTTTGAAGTCTTCTATTTCTTGTCTTAATGTTTTGTAGTTTTCCTCATATAGGTCTTCCACATCCTTTGTTAGGTTTATTCCTTGGTATTTCGTTTTCTGCTCTGTAATTCTGAACGGCACCATGATGGTTAGCTCTTCAGCCTTGGGGTTGTTTACACATACTATGGCTGTTGATGTGTTTTCATTATCTCGTATCCTGTGACTTTGCTGAACTCTCATATAAGTTGTAACAGACTCTTTATTGAGTCTCCTGGTTCTCCTATGTACAGAATCACGTCATCTGCAAACAGATATCTTGACTTCCTTGTTTCCCGTTTGAATTCCTGCGATTTCCTTTTCTTGTCTAATAGCATTTGTGAGTTCCAGTACTGTGTTAAATAGCAGTGGTGGTAGCGAACATCCTTGTCTGGTTCCAGAGCTTAGCGGGGAGGCTTCTAATCTTTCCCCATTCAATATGACATTGGCGTTGGGTTTTTCATACATTGCTTTTATTACGTTGTGGATTGTCCCTTCTGTGCCTACTTTATTTAGTGTTTTTCGCATGAAGTCGTGCTGGATTTTATCGAAAGCTTTTTCTGCAGCTATTGAATCCCAGCTGTTCAGCTTGATCCAGTTCCTTGCTAATGTCCTGGGAAAGCAGAAGATGGCCCTGCCACATATGTGGCAAGATTTGGATGCTGTCTCAGGCTTCTGGCTCCCACTTGGACCAGTCCCAGATGTTTTAATCCTTTAGGGGCATGAACCAGCAGATGGGAGATAGCTGTTGCTCCTTCTCCATCTTCTTTAAGATTCATTTTATTATTACAGGCAGAGAGAATCCAATTCAAAGCATTATTCCTACTGACTTAGGTTGGAGTCCATTTCAGTTCTGAATAACTATCTGTTTTCTTTTTTTTTTTAACTCAAGTTAACAGCAAATCAAAATGTATACCGTATACCTGGGAAGGGCAGAATGACTAAAAATTCCTTTACATCATAGCCTTAAAGACAGTGCCTTAAGTTTACATATGTTAAATATGATGAAACGTATACATTTTTAAACAAGGAAACACAGCACTTTACCTGGGTCTGTGTTTGTACTTGCATCCTGGCTTCCTGCAGCTTTCTTCCTTACAGAAGCCATGAAATGCAGTCCAGCTGAAGAACTAATGTCATCTTGCAGCATTTCTAAAACACAACAAAATATCAGAAGCCATCTGTGAAAGTCCAAAAGATTATTCTAGAAGCCCAGAAACAATGTACTGAGCTCAAGAGGTGAGCTTGGAGTCTTCCGATGTTACAAAAATGGACTTTCTGAAGGAGGTGGGACCAAAACCGAACTGCAGAGAAAAGTGTACATCCAGGCCAGAGACAGAGATGGGCTTCTGCCTAAAGCAGGTTGGGAGCAGTGAGCTGAAGAAATAGTGTGGTCAGGCTACTGTTATGGAAAAGTTCGTCCTCCTCAACCCTCTGAGTCCATAAAACTGAAGGCAATCACTCAGATGAGGCTGCGGGCCAGCACCATGGCACAGCATGCTAGCAGCTGCCTCCTGAACACCAGTATCCCACACTGGAGTGCCGGCTGAAGTCCCAGATATTCCAATTCTGATCCAGCTCCTAATGGGAGCTGGAAGGTGGAAGAAGGTGGCAGAAGGTGGCCCAAGTACTTGGCCCCTCCAATCCAAATAGGGAACCAGAGGGAGTTCCTGGCTCCCGGCTTTGGCACGGCCCGTCTCTGGCCAGGGCAGCCACTTGGTGAATGACAGATGGGAGAGTCTTTGTCAGTCTGCCTTTTGAGAAAATGTATGTGAAAGAAAAGGAGGCTGTTACAGCAGATGGAGTAAGTACCTAGGCGTGGTGAAGGATGGAGGACAGAGGAGAGACTACGAGTTACAGTACAGATATGTTACTCTGAGACTAGATTGGAGAAGGGGAGTGTAGGAGAAAATAATTAGGTGGAGGGGGAGGGGATGATGGATTCGAATCAGCTATGGTGACAGAATAAAAGGTAAGCTGTATTTAGCCTGTGACCTTAGTTTGTGACACTTTCTTAGATTCTTGGGATTTCCTGAGCGGTAGCAATTCTTTCGTCATTCATGGTAGCAGACATGCAGGTGACCGGGGTCACTACGTGCAGCTGGCTCCTACGCAGAGCACTCTTGCAGGAGTGAGCACTGCAGCTGCGGCACCTGCGCTCACTGCAGGCAGGCAGCATCAGAGCAGGCAAATACAGCAGGACACCAGTTAGTGCCAGGGAACTGCAGAGTTACAACGCGCAGCCACAGAAGCACTATACAGTCCCTAAAAAAGGTGACATTCTCCCTATTCTTCTCTGTCACTTTGCCTTTCATGTAAAAATTTAAAAAAAATTTAAAGTGAGGGGGCAGTGCCATGGCATTGCCTCTGGCACTGTCATCCCATACAGGCACTAGTTCAAGTCCCAGCTATTCCACTTCTGACCCAGTTCCCTGTTAATATGCCTAGGAAAGCAGCAGAGGATGGCCCAAGTCCTTGGGCCCTGCCCCGACAGGGGAGATCTGGAGGAGGCTCCCGATTCCTGGTTTCTGACTGTTGAGGCCATTTTGGGGAGTAAACCAGCAGATCCAAGATCTCTCTATATCCCCTACTCTGTCACTCTATCTTTGAAATAAATAATTAAATCTTTAAAAATTAAAAAAAGAAAACATTATAGAAGCATACTTAGTGTTTTGGAAAATTTAACTTAATGCTGGTACATAAAACCGTGTCAGTTACACATAAATGTAGACACATACATATGCAGGTTAATACCGGTTAACACGAGACAAGATGTGTGCTTTTAATATTCTTACACTTAGTTGTTAAATTTTCTCCTGTAAGTATGTAATACCTTTGTAAAAACGAAATTTAGTTCACAGCAAATTAATTGATTAAACAAATAAAAGGGAGAGAACAAAATGAGGAAGAAAGAACCCCCATCATTTAAAAGCTAAATGAATGCAGGGGAGTGGAGCTGACGGATAAATCAAGGGTGAATTTCAAAGGAAAAATTGGGGTCAGTCAATACAATGGTGGTATCATTAACAGGAAGATGCCACTTTAAAACCTGCACAAACTGAATTTAAGGAACAAGTACAAAACAAAGATGAGAGACTACACAAAAACAGTGCAAAGCTTTAGGCACAGGAACAAATAGCCTGCAAGCACAAGCGAGCACACCAGCAAGCGGGAATAAGTCAGTGAGCATTCTGTTATGTGTAGGAGTTACTGAGAAGGCGTTAAGGACTACACTTATCTAGAAACACAATGACAATTTAAGAAAAAGAACAATTCAATATCCATAAAATCAGTTATTTTTCCTTAAGTGGTTTTTCTATATTTAATGTGAATCTATTTTCTATAATGAATTCAATCCCAGACATTGCCATAACTGATTTCCATTCAGAGCTCATATATCTTATTTAAGATTCTAAGTAACTGGGGCCAGCGCTGGCGTGTAGCATGCTAATCCTCCACCCTGTGGCTCCAGCATCCCCTGTGGGTGCCTGTTGAGTTCTGGCCACTCCACTTCCCACTCAGCTCCCTGGCCTGGAAAGCAGCAAAGGATGGCCCAGCCTTGGGCACCTTACGCCCATGTGGGAGACCCAGAAGAAGCTCCGGCTTCTGATCAACTCAATTCTGGGCGTTAGGGGAGTCAATCAACAAATGGAAGACTTCTCCTTCCCTTTTTGTAAAAATCCACCTTTCAAGTAAAATTAAATAAATATTTAAAAAAATACGGAAATAGAGAAAGAGAAATCTTAAGTAACTACACTGTTCCCCTGCCAGGGTCAGGAAGTGTTTTCTGTCATGGGCCAGATCAGAAATAGTTCAGACTCAAAGGACGACACGGTGTCCAGTGGTAACCACTCTATCCAGCTGGACTGTGCAGTCACTGCAGACGCGAGTGAGCGAATAGACTAGATTATATTCCAACAAATATTCATTTGCAAAAACCAAGTAGTTCAGACCTAGCCTCTAGGCCACACCCTGTCCAGCACAGCTTTAGTAAATAAGAAATCCACACACACACAAGAGCAGGCATCTGGCCTCGTGGTGGAAGACGCCCACGTCCCTCACAGGAGACCTGGGTTCGTTTCCCAGCTCTGACCCCCAGTTCTGGGTTCCTGCAGCACACGGCCTGGAGGCCCAGGCTGTCACTTGTCAGACACAGGGAGCCCTGGGCCAAGCTCCCTACTCCCTGCTCCCACTTCAGTGACTGCCAGCATCTGAGGGCTGAACCAGAAGATGAGAGCGCTCCTGCTCCGTGGGACTGTGCGTCTCTTGGCCTCCCAAAATAATTACATGAGCAGAACTGAAACACACACACCCTATGCCTTGCCGAAGATAATAAACACATTCTGGTACACAATTCTAGAGGCTGATTTTTAACTCTAAACTTAGGTATTAATGCTAATCACGTGTATACATACCAAAGGGAATATCAAACCCATCCGCAGGCTGGGAAGCGTGACGCTCCTGCTCTTCCTAAATGAACATCCAATAAACAAACTATGGTTAACTCGAAGAAATCTATTATTTTGGAAAAAAACATTCAATAGCTAGGAAGATTGCAGAATCCTTAATTAGAGGCTCAGTTTCTTTCATTCTGAGCATCATTATCTGTCCCATCAAGTTATGTGCCATAAAACAACTTTGGAAAAGAGTTCATGAAATTCATGAGTCAACCAATTCAGTGTGAAGTTGCTAAGTTATGTGTGACTGTAACAACTGCAATCCCATGGGCCTAGTGTCAACCACTTGGCTTTCCACCCAGCTCGCTGCTAATCCAACTGGGAAGGCGGAAGTCGGCCCAAGTCCTTGGGCCCCTGACACCCACGGGCGAGAACAGGACGCAGCCGCACCTCCTGCCCCCGGCTTGGCCCCGCTGCGTGACCTTCTGGGGAGACGCTCAGCACCTGGGGATCTCTGGGTTCTGGCTCTCCCTCTCCTTGTGCCACCTTGACTTTTAAATAATAAAATCTTGAAAAGTTAGAACAATGGAATCTGTGACTACATGACTCTATACACACTCTTGGGGCAGGCCTTAAAAAAAATCCATGAGTGTTTAAGATCGGACTTAAAATACAGGCTAAATAGCGTACGTTTCCCAAATCTGTATTTGGGGACTCCCAGAGGCATCTCAGAGATCCGGACTGTAACAGGAGCCCTGGTGACATGCCACACACACCGGGGTGCCACAGAAGACAAAGCAGGATGACTGAGAACACAGGGAAAAGACACACAGGTTCTTCCCTGCAGTTCCAGCCTTCCCTTCAGCTGCTTCTCACACCCCTGACCAAGCGCCTGACGGTTTAGGGAGGAAAGCAGCAGGGACCTACGCACGGAGCGACTTCAGGGTTGTCCTGGTCACAGTCCAAGGCCGACAGCCATCACATGAAATAAATCGCAAACACAAGCCAAACAGGAAAGAACCTGGCTGTGTAATACCTGGGGTTTCACAGCCGCTTGGGGATGAGCGCTCTTGGTGACTGAATCCTCCGGTTGTGAAGTGACAGTTGGGTGTCTTTTCAGTTTCTCGGAGCTTTTTGCTTGCAGCTCTTTGAGGGCTCGACGCTTTTGCCTGTTAACCAAAACAGTACAGCATGAAGCACACTCACGCTCACCACAGTATCAGCAGTTTTATGTCTGTATCACAACATGGGAACAATGAGCAGTATTATGCTAAGTTACATTTAGTAGCATTTAATTATATGAGCAACATTTTCTAATGAAAGAAAAACATAAGGAAGGGGAAAAAAAAAATCAAAGAAATGTGAAATTTACATTAACTTCCTCCATTACTGTATTGCTGGATCCAGTGCAGTAGCCTAGTGGCTGAAGCCCTCGCCTTGCATGCACCTGGATCCCATATGGGTGTAGGTTTGTGTCCCAGCTGCTTAACTTCCCATCCAGCTCCCTGCCTGTGGCCTGAGAAAGCAGTCGAGGACGGCCCAAAGCCTTGGGATCCTGTACCTGTGTGTGCGACTCAGAAGAGGCCCCCGACTCCTAGCCTTGGAATGCCTGAGCTTCGGCCATTGCAGCCACTTCAGGAGTAAATTAGTGGACAGAATATCTTTCTGTCTTTCCTTCTCTCTGTATATCTGACTTTCCAATAAAAATAAAGAAATCTTTCAAAGAAATAGCATGTATTACTAATGGAAATCTTAGGATAGGCTATATCTTTCATTGTATTTATTGTGTTAGAACCATTATGGCATTTTCCAACTCTATTTACTGTGGGTTCAAAACTGGTGGCAGAAATCCTACCAGATGACTGCAGGTCCCTATTTGAGGTTCCACTGGAGGGGAACCAGATACCCAAACAGTAAAGGGACAGCTTCAGGACGGAGTATCTGGAAAAGATGGGAGGAACGAACCATTTCTAGAAATAGCATGTATGAAACTTTAAATTCTTTTCTAAGGGCAGCAGAATGGCTCAACTGGCTAATCCTCTGCCTCACTGAGTTGGGATCCCATCTGGGTGACAGTTGGTGTCCTGACTGCTTCACCTCCCATCCAGCTCCCTGCTGATGACCTGGCAAGGCACTCGATGATGGATGCAAGAACCTCTGATCGGCTCAGTTCTGCCGCCTTTGGGGGAGAGCATCAATGGATGGAAGATCTCTCTCTCTCCTTCCCTCTGTAAATCTGATCTGCCTTTCCAATAAAATAAATCTTTTAAAAATTATTTCCTAGACTCATTAATACTTTATGTAAGCAGTGAACACCCAGGGTAAGTAAAATGCTGCATTAAGTGCTCTGCAGACTTTGTGTTAATGATTTGAGGAGAATCTAGAAAGCTGTAGTTTGCTGCTTCATTCCCTATCTGCCTGCAGTGGCCACAACTAAGCTGGAAACTCAGCCTGGGTCTCCCGTGGAGGCAGCAAGAGCTCAGACTCTCAGCCATTCTGCTGCCTGTCAGGGCGTACACTGGCAGGAAGCCGGCCTCAGGGGCCAGCCATCCCATCCTTGTACTTCAGTGGGGGATGCTAGGGCCCTAACTGCGTCACCAAAAGCCTGTCACAGCTTCGTTTGCTCTCATGCACTTTTCACAGTATCTTGAAACTATTTTCTTCATAAATGCTACTGTTTCATTTCAGAATCTTCATTTAAGAGAATATAAAATGATGAACAGACCAGCACTGTGGCACACCAGCCTGCGATACCAGTGTCCCATGAGGGTGCCAACTCTCCACTAATGGCATGGAAAAGCAGCAGAAAATGGCCCAAGTACTTAGGCCCAAGACCCAGATGAAGTCCCAGACTCTTTCCTTTGGTCTTGCCAACCGCAGCAGCTGCAGTCATTTAGGGAGTGAGCTATCAGACGGAAGATTTCTCCCTCTCCCTCTAATTTGGTCTTTCAAATAAATAAATCTTAAAAAATAAGGAAACAATACATCTGATAGGTACTGCACCAAATCTAGGACAGCACCGAGACCATCGTATGGTACCAAACATGCATCTTGTTACAGAAAAGAAAAGTACTCCAGCCTATGAACAGGATAAAATTCCTTGAGAAAATGATAGTTTTTGTTTTACAATATAGTATTTTTTTTTTCAAAACAGACTATTATTTGAAAGGTCAAACAGCAAGAGAGAGATCTTCTAGCCACTGCTTCACTCCTCAAGTGACTGGAGCTGAACCCATCTGAAGCCAGGAGCTGAGAGTGTCTTCCAGGATTCCCATGTGGGTGCAGGGACCCAAGGACTTTAGCCAACTTCTGCTGCTTAACCAAGCCATAAGCAGGGAGCTGGGTCAGAAGTGGAGCAACTGGGACTCAAACTGGCTCCTATATGGGATGCCTGTGCTATAGGCAGAAGCCTAGCTTCCTATGTCACTGTGCCAAGCACAACAGTGCAGAAATTTTGCTCATTACAAGATATATTCAAAAATGACACTTGAACAGGGAACTGAGCATGAAACTATATAAAGTGTACAAGGTGAAACCAGATAAACTGCATCTTTATGACAAATGAGTATGAATAATAATGAACTTGATGGCACAAGACACCGAAATGCCATTTAAAACTTGCCTTTTTTTACTGTCCTTTTCTTGTCTTACTTCAGACGATTCAATTTTGGCCTTCAGAAGCTGCAGCTGTGCAGAATCACCTTGTTCAAATAAGTTATGTGTCAGCTTCTGCTGGCGTTGTTTAAACGCAAGGAGGTTTTCAAGTGGGATGAGCTGTGGCTTCTTATACTAGAAGAAACATCAACAAAATAATAAACATAAACTCAATTGTTCCACATATTAAGAAATTGAGAAAAACATTTCAAAGATGATTTCAAAGGGAGGATACAAAAGCCTGGAGATGCAAAACGGTTGAGTAGTGTGCTTACAACTCCTGACGCAAGGTAATAAGAACTTGGGGAGAACTTTAAAAAACAAAACCTGTGTTTAAAAATTCTTCGGGGTATGGTGGGAGGGGGCATTGTGGCATGGTGGGTGAAGCCGCTGCCTATGACACCTGCACCCCACAGGGGCGCCAGTTCAACATCAGACTTCTCCACTTGTGATCCAGCTCCTCGTTGCCATGCCGGAGAAAGCAGCCAGAGACGCCCAAGTACTTAGGCCCCTGCACCCACATGAGAAGCAGGATGGATCCTGACTCCTGGCTTCACCATGGCCCTGCCCTGGCTGTTACAGGCCACGAGCCAGTGAATGAAAGGTGAATCTCTACCTCTGCCTTTCAAATAAGTAAAACTTTAAAAGCTAGTGCGTAAGTAAATCTTTAAAAAAATTTCTACACAGGGTCAGCACTTCAGCGTACTAGATGGAATCTCCTGCAATGCTGGCATCCTATATGGACATCAGCCCAAATTCTTGCTACCCCAATTTCAGCTCATCTCCTTACTAACGCAACTTGGAATGGAACAAAAACAGCCCAATCCTTGGACTCCTGCTTCCACGAGAGACCTGGAAGAAACCCAGGGCTTCTGACGTCAACGTGGACCGAATTCAGCTGTTGGCAGCCACTTAGGGGGTGAACCAACAGAGGGAAGATCTTTCTCTCTGCAATTCTGCTTTTCAAATAAATACTTTTAAAAAATTATTCTCAAAATCTCTTATTCTACCCCTTCAATCCGCTCACCTTCTAGTCATGTGTTCAGACAAAAAGGAGGCATGGTAAATATTTTTTCTTTTTTTTTTTTTTTTTTTTTATTTTTATTATTTTTTATTGGAAAGGCGGATATACAGAGAGGAGAGACAGAGAGGAAGATCTTCCGTCCGATGACTCACTCCCCAAGTGAGCCGCAATGGGCCGATACTATGCCGATCCGAAGCCAGGAGCCTCTTCCGGGTCTCCCACGCGGGTGCAGGGTCCCAAAGCTTTGGGCCGTCCTCGACTGCTTTCCCAGGCCACAGGCAGGGAGCTGGAAGGGAAGCGGGGCTGCCGGGATTAGAACCGGCACCCATATGGGATCCCGGGCGTGCAAGGCGAGGACTTAACCACTTGCGCCACCGCGCCGGGCCCGGTAAATATTTTTTCTAAGGAATAATTGTTATGGGGCCAGACCAATTGGCTAATCCTCAGACTGCAAGTGCTGGCATCCTATATTGGCATTGATTCTTGTAACAGCTGCTCCACTCCCCCTCTAGCTCCCCACCAATGGCCTAGCTAACAGTGGAGGACGGCCCAAAGCCTTAGGATTCTGTACTTGAGTGGGAGACCCAAAAGAAGCTCTTGGCTCCTGGCTGTGGATTGGCTTAGCTCCAGGCATTGGCATCTGCTCCAGCAGATAGAAGATCCTTCTCATTGTAAATCTGCCTTTCCAATAAAAATAAATAAATCTTAAAAATAAGAAAGAGTAACTGCTACTTTTCTACTAGCATGTTCAAAACTTAAAAGGACATGAGAAGAATGAACTAGTAAGATACTACTTACAAGCTGGAACCTAAACAATTTGAATTTTAATAAATCAAGGATTATATCTTTAAAGAGGCAGAGTCATAAAGCTACCATTTTGCTTTAGGTACAGCTAAAACAAACCCTAGGATCACCAAATGATTATAACCGCCAAATGTTTCAAAGAAAACCATATCACAAGAGCTAGGAACCTTGCTCAATATGTGCGCTGGGTCACTACTTCCACACGCACCCCACACAGGAGTCTGATTAGCGGGCAATTTACTGTCCTTTTTTCTTCTCTGAGTAAAACAAATTATTTTGAGTGAGTCTAGTAATGGGCAGGCAAGCAACATGGTGCGGCACATTAACTGCAGCTTGCAACACCTGCTTTCCCAGTCGGTGTTCATTTGGCTCCCAGCTGCTTCACTTCCTAGGCCTGAACCATGCGACAGCCCAAGCACTGCTCCTGCCATCCACGGGGGAGACCCAGATGGAGTTCCAGCCTCCTGCTTTTGGCCTGACCTTGCCCTGGCTGATGAAGGCACTGGGAAGCAATGGAGCAGACGGAAGATCTCTTTCTGCCTTTCAAGTAGCTGAGAATAAACATATTGATAGGCCAGATAAACCAAACACCTTTGAAATATAGTATTATTTAAATTTGGTTTTTATGTTGATTGCCATAAACAGAAGCACCGTCTTTAAAACAGAAATGTGCAAGAGCTCTCCATTGAACATACAGTACTGAGGACATGAAAAATGCCTGCTTTTGCATCATCAATGGACAAGAATTCATTACCGTATTTTCTGGAGATAAGCATGAATGAAGCAATGATAGTCCTGAAAATTTGCTCTCCTCTGCAACAGCTCTGATAGGTACTGCAGGAACTGCAACTGATGCCCTGGAGCTCGCCGAGACCAGTGGAGGAGGAAATTGTAGGTGCAACAAGGGGAGTCCAAGGGAATTCGGAGGAGGAATCTCCAGGGGCCCCACCTTAATATTAGGTATTTTGGGGGGACTTAACATTACTGAAGAATCCTGCTGAGGTGTCACGTTTGCAGGTCCAACATCCCAATCCAAGTTCACCTGCTTCGGGATCTCTCTAGCCACAGTTTGTGCCCGCTTCCCAGCAGCTGTTGAGGCGGCTTCCTCATTATGCTGGCTTCCATCCCAAGGAGATACTGATGGAGGGCACATTACAGTCTGGGTCAGAGGAGGCTGCAAAGAGTCCGAGACTCCCCAAGCCTCTCTTGGTTGGGCCAGAGGCCTGATGGGAACTGCAGGTAAGCAAAGGGGCCTGAACTCCTGCTTAGGCAGAAAATGAAGCAAAGGAAAACCATCGCTAGGACTAAAAGTTTCTGCAGGCGGGAGGAGTCTAGGTGTTTTCGGAAAAACAGAAGGTGTGGACAGAAGGTAGAGGTGAGTACTTCCAGCAGGAGCCACGGCCGACCCTGAGGGTGGCAAGCTTTCAGATGCTGGAGTTGGTTCTCTCTTCTGGGTTTGGCTGCCTAAACGAAGTGAAGGAATACTCTCATGTGGAACATTCTGGAAGAGAAGAGTGATATTGGGTAGGTTTAGCATATGTTACACATTGCTTATTTGGGAGATATTCAATATGTATTAAGGGTGGGGGTGTGCAGTGGAACTACTAGGACATGGATGATATTTTCCTATGCATTACCGGTAAATTCCCATTGCTGTTTTGATCAGCTTGGGTAATTCCTTCTTGGCAGTGAGGGCTGTCCTTGCCAGGTTCTTTGCTGTACCCTCCCATCGAATGTGGCTTAATGAAAGAACTTTCCTTAGGATTTCTGCTGTTCTCTTCAACACAATCATTTCTGTTTGTGGGGTTCGATGCTTGCCTTTCCTGTAAGCGCACAGGCTGAGACGGCTGAAGGAGCTGATGTATATCTGGCAGGTTAGAGAAGGAAGATCCTACTATTTGCATTAAGCTCAAGAAGTTGATCTGTTGCAGCTGAAACAAAACAGAAATCAGAGACGTGTTAAAAATCAATGAAAATATAAAAGCAATGATCATCTGAATATACTGTAACAGGGATACTTCTGTCTCATCTGGCAGATTCAGGAGCGCTCAGCAGGCAGTAAAGCAACACTTCTTTTTATACAATACCAAGGTTTTATTAGACAGAGTCAGGTGGGGTGGAGGTTGTGGGACAGCGAGCTTCTATACCCACAACTGCTAGGATAGGCTAGGCCTGAAGCCAGCAGACACCAAGGCAGATGGCAGAAACCCAGGACCCCGAGTCATCCTGCTGTGTCTCGGCCCTTCAGCAGCAGGAAGCTGGACTCCGCAGCTGTGTAACCCAGACGCTCCTCTCGGGGTTGTGGGAATCTTGACATCTTAACTCTAGGTCAAAGACCCGTTCTGACGCTGCTTTTTATTTTTTTAAGAGAAAACAAGATAGAGCTTCCTCTTGACTGAGAATGAGTATTAACTCATGAATGAGACCTGTGACTTCGACTTTTTATAAACAACCAGAGACTAGAGAAGGATGCAATGCAGTGGAAGCTAATTAAAAGAGTCCCAGAAAGAAGCATTGGGTGCAGCATTTTAAAATGCTGCTTGAAACGCCAATGACAGAATGTGTGGTGTGAGTCCCAGCTCCTCCACCTGTGGTCCAGCTTCCTGCTAATGAGCTCCTGGAAAGCAAAAGATGGCCTTGGCTATTCACGTGGAAGAACAGGACTGAGTTCTGGGCTACTGGCTCTAGTCTGGCCCAACTGTGGCTGTTGCAGGGATGTGAGAAGTGAATTAGTGAAAGATTTTGATCCTTTCTCTTCCTCTCGCTCCGTCTTTCAAATAAGAAGAAAGGCGGGCAGGGAGAGGGAGAGAAGGACATACAGACAACAGAGGGAGGGAGGGAAGAGAGCAGAGAAAGGGGAAAGATGGATGAATGGATTCCTAGAAAGAAGACAGTCACACACAGGTGAAGAGTGAGGGATTGGAGACAGGCTCTGTGTTGCAGCTGGTTAAGCTGCTGCCTGTGAGGCTGGCATCCTTTACGGGCACAGGTTTCAGTCCCAGTTGCTCCACTTCCAACAGAGCTCCTTGCTGATGCTCCAGAGAAAGCAGAGGAAGATGGATCCAGTCCTTGGGCCCATGTCATCTAGGTGGGAGAAATGGACAGAGTTCCAGGCTCCTGGCTCTCTCAGCTGGACTAGCCTCAGCCATCAGGGAGCGAACCAGCAGTTGGAGGATCTCATTCTCTCTGTAACCTACCCTTCAAATAAACAAATACAAGATTTGGAAGGGCTGCCTGGGTGAGAGGCAAAGGCAGCTAAACAGTGATTTCCACATGTTGCTGCACATTTAGAATCATCTCAGCAGCCTGAAGATGCACCTGAGGCCAAGTCACTCAATAACCGCTATATCAGAAAAACAGGGAAAGTAGCCAAGGGCAAACATTAAGATATCCTGGAAACTGAGCCCGGTGCAGTAGCCTAACAGCTCAAGTCCTTACTTTGCACTGCCAGGACCCCATATGGGCATCGGTTCGTGTCCTGGCTGCCCAGTTTCCCATCCAGCTCCCTGTTTGTGGCCTGGGAAAAGCAGTAGAGGACAGCCCAAAGCCTTGGGACCCTGCACCCATGTGGGAGACCCAGAAGAGACTCCTGGCTCCTGACTTCAGATCAGCACAGCTCTGGCCATTGTGGCCACTGGGCTAGTGAATCAATGGATCAAGGATTTTCCTGTTTCTTTCTGTATGTCTGGCTTTCCAATGAAAGTAAAATAAAATATTTTTAAAAACAAAAAAAAGAGATGACCTGGAAATTTTCAAGTGCAAAAAGGCTTCGGACATATTGGCATATACACTAGCTTGCTTCCACCTGCAATGCCAATATCAAATATGGTGCCAGTTCAAATCCCAGCTGCCCCATGGCCAATCCAGCTCCCTGCTAATGGCCTGGGGAAAAAAAAAAAAAACAGAAGACGGCCTAAATACTTGGGTCCCCAATACCCACTTGTGATATTTGCAAGGAGCCGTCAGCTCCTTGCTTCCTTCTGGTCCAGTCCTGGAGCGTTAATCAGCAATGGATGCTCTCTCTGTCACTGTTTTCAAATAAATACATGAATCTTTAAAAAACTGACTCACATAGTATACAAATTTGCACCTGAAATTTAGTGAAGATTTAAAAAGATTTATTTATTTTTATTGAGAAGGCAGACATACAAAATGAAGGAGAGACAGATCTTTCATTAGCTGATTCACTCCCCAAGTGGCTGCAATAGCCAGAGCTAAGCCAAACCAAATCCAGGAGCCAGGAGTTTCTTCCTGGCCTCCCACTCAGGTGCAGAATTCTAAGGCTCTGGGCAATCCTTTACTGCCCTCCCTCACTGCCCTCCCAGGCCACAAGCAGGCAGCTGGATGAGAAATGAAGCAACTGAGACATGAACCGGTGCCTATGTGGGATGCTGACGCACGCAAGGCGATGATTTAGTCAGTGGGCCATCACGGTGGGCCCTTGACGATTTTAAAATAGGAGAGTGGGGGCCAGTTCGTGTAGGAGGCAATAGCCTGTGTCACAACATAAGCCTGACTTTGGAGTAGAGGCCCACAGCTTGATTTCCCCACTCACCACTGTGAGCAGGTGCAGCCCTAAGGGGTCAACAGAACGAAGACGCTTGTGGTGAGAAAGGTGGAGCTTAGCCTAGACTCCAGGCCTTAGGGTAGCAATTTCTGGATGACAAGCAGTGCTCAAAACACAGAAATTGGCTGCAACTTAATTCCATCTTGTATATGTCCACAAGCTTATCAATATTTTAAATTTACATATATACATATATATTATGTAGAACTTATGTACACAACCATATGCTTACCTGAACTAATTTCAGCATTTCATCTTGGAGCAGCTGACTAACAGAACCAGAAGGGTTTGGCGACGGAGCCACGTGCTCGTGGCCCTGCGTCTGCCGAGGAGCTGCAGGCGTTTGTGAAGCCACACTGACTCCACTTGGCACCGGGGGCGGGGCTGGAGGCTCTGCTTCACATGCAGAAATCTGCGCACTACGTGAAAGCATGGAGATGACAAAAAATACATTCATCAACACCACCAATAAAAAACGGGTGTTTGTGATCTGAACATGCCGACACCACTTCAGCTTTCAGAAAACTCTCGGCTGTAAAGCCCGTTTCTCTAGCACCCATCAGTCCCTGAACTTCTGTGACTGGTCATCTCAATGCCTTACTGGGGACCCTGCCTGGTCAGCAATGGTCCCTTCCTATGCCGTTACAACAGTTCACATTTTACCTGTCTGGTGTCTGTAGACATCTGATTTTGAGAAACATCCAATCATTGAAATAAACAGTAAAGACTTCACAGCTCCCTGATGAACCTGAGAAACCTATAGAATAGGGTCCAATGCTTGAGATCTTACCAGGAGGGAGACTTCGAGCAAGCTCCTGCTTCCTGGCTACAATCTGACACAGCCCCAGGCATTTCAGCCAATTTGGGAGTGAGCAAGCAAGTGGAAACTCTCTCTCTGCCTCTCAGGGTAACTCTGATGTTCAAATAACATTTAAAAAATAAATAGAAGCTTGAAAAAGTAAATGAAGAATGCGTTTTAGGGCACAGCACAGTGGCCTAGCAGCTAAAGTCCTTGCCTTGAACATGCCAGGATCCCACATGGGCGCTGTTTCTAATCCTGCCAGCTCCACTTCCCATCCAGCTCCCTATTTGTGGCCTGGGAAAGCAGTGGAGGATGGCCCAATGCTTTGGGACTCTGCATCCACGTGGGAGACCTGGAGGAAGTTCCTGGTCCTGGCTCCTGCTTGGCACAGCACCGGCCATTGTGGTCACTTTGGGAGTGAATCATTAGATGGAAGATCTTCCTCTCTGTCTCTCCTCCCCACCGTATATCTGACTTCTTAATAAAAATAAATCTTTTTTAAAAGGATTTATTTATTTTTATTGGAAAGGCAACTTTAAGAGAGAAAGAGATAATGGAAAGAAAGATCTTTCCACTGGTTCACTCTCCAAGTGTCCACAAAGCCGGAGCTGAGCTGATCCAAAGCCAGGAGATCAGAGCCTCTTCCGGGTCTCCCATGCAGGTGCAGGGTCCCAAGGCTTTGAGCCATCCTCCACTACTTTCCCAGGCCACAAGCAGGGAGCTGGATGGGAAGTGGAGCTGGCGGGATTAGAACTGGTGCCCATATGGGATCCCGGCGCGTTCAAGGCGAGGACTTTAGCTGCTAGGCCACGTCGCCAGGCCCAGGGCACTAAGTCTTTTTTTAAAAGATTTATTTTTATTATGTTTTTATTGGAAAGGCAGATATACAGAGAGGAGAGACACAGAGGAAGATCTTCCATCCAATGATTCACTCCCCAAGTGAGCGCAATGGCCGATACTATGCCGATCCAAAGCCAGGAGCCTCTTCCGGGTCTCCCACGCGGGTGCAGGTTCCCAAAGCTCTGGGCCGTCCTCGACTGTTTTCCCGGGCCACAGGCAGGGAGCTGGAAGGGAAGCGGGGCTGCCGGGATTAGAACCGGCGCCCATATGGGATCCCGGGTGTGCAAGTTGAGGACCTTAACCACTGCTGCCACCGTGCCGGGCCCAGGGCACTAAGTCTTATCTAACACCAGGTACCTCCTTCCTGAGGAGTGCTTTGCCTACGTGACCTGCCAGGTGTACTGCCGGGTGTCACGTAGGCCCTCAGGCCTGGAGTTCACACAACCCCCAGCCAAGAAAGTAAGGCAGAAATCACAAAAGCAGAGAACACTTAGGTTCTTCAGGATCCTGGTGCATGCAAGGTGAGTACTTCAACCACTAAGCTACTGCACTGGGCCCAAAATACTTAATTTTTGCATTAGGAAAATTACTGCAGATGAGGCTCAGCACGGTAGCCTAGTCCTCGCCTTGCATGCACCAGGATCCTGTATGGGCAAATTTTGTCCCAACGGCCTTGCTTCTCATCCAGCTCCCTGCCTGTGGCCTGGGAAAGCAATCAAGGAGGCTTAAAGCCTTGGGCCCCGTACCAGAGTGACAGATCCGGAAGAAGCTCCTGGCCTCTGATCGGCTCAGCTGCAGCTGTTGCAGCCACCTGAGGCGTGCACCAGTGGACGGAAGATCTTCCTCTCTGTCTCTCCTCTCTGTATATCTGCCTTTCCGATTTAAAAAAAAAAAAAAACTTATGCAGATGAAAGAGGCCTTAGTGTCTTTCCCTCTCCTGCAACTCTGCCTTTCAAATGCATCAGTCCAAAAAACCCTCCGTGTTTACCTTAAGAAATGAACATTAAGGTCAAACAAGCGCTGGTTTTTAAATAAGACTTTGGAAGAATGATTCCTTCAACATTAACAGGTGCTCAATATTTTCTAGGTAAATAAATGTCATAAATTAAACAAGGAAGTAGGCAGTTGTATTAAAATAAATCAATAGCTATTTCTAAAATGAAAAGAACATACTAAATTGCATTTAAGTTTATTCACTCATTCAACAGTAATATGTGCCTTTCATCAAGTACCTAATAAACTTAGTAACAAAACTACCTGGCAAATCCACAAAAAGCCAGTATTGTAATTGATCTGCCTATTTTCAGACAACTCTATTGTGCTGTGCTTTCAAAAAGGAGCGAGGAGAATAGTTATGTAAAATTTGAGTAAATTTGTGCTAGGGCCTGGTGGCGTGGCCTAGTGGTAAAGGTCCTCGCTTTGAACGCGCCGGGATCCCGTATGGTTGCCGGTTCTAATCCAGGCAGCTTCACTTCCTCTCTGTCTCTCCTCTTCTCTGTATATCTGACTTTGTATTAAAAAAAAAAAAATCGAGTGAATTTGTGCTAGATTTCTATGATTTTGACAAGATTCAACACTAAGCACTCTGTAACTTCTGTAAAAGTGTGTTTTTTTTTTTTTTAAGATTTTACTTTTAATGAAAAGGTAGATTTACAGAGAGGGAGAGACAGATAAAGATCTTCGATCTGCTGATTCACTCTCCAAACGGCCTCAGTGGACAGAGCTAAGCCAATCCAGAGTAGGAGCCAAGAGCTACGTCCAGGTCTCCAACATGAATGTAGGGTCTCAAGGCTCTGGGCAGTCCTCCACTGCTTTCCCAGGCCACCAGCAGGAAGCTGGAGGGAGGTGAAGCAGCTGGGATTACAACCGGCGCCCATGTGGGATCTGGTGGATACAAGGCAAGGACTTTAGCCGCTAGGCTCTCATGCCGGGCCCTCTGTACAAGTTTAAAAGTCAGAAGTGGATGAACTGTTCCAAGAGAGAAAAGTCTCTCCAACGCAGTTTGAAATGTTACAAGCCAGAAGTAAACATCAATTACGTGTTTCTATAATACAGAAGACACTATTCCTTTTCTTCTATCTGTAGAAAAAAATACTTGATTTATCAGCTGTTTTAACAGTTTCTTGAAAACACAGATGTCAGAAAGAACCCAACATTACCACAGCGTAACAAGGATGTGTCCAGGGCGCTGTCAACACCTCACTGGCTTCCATCTTTTCTTGGTTTTAGTTAAAACAGTAATTATTTCAAAATGGCATAGTATGCATCACTGCATTCCCTCACTTATAAAAACATGGTTATTTCAGATTGGTGCAGAAGGCAAAAATACTTACCTAGACATTTCTGAGTTTGTATCTGCCCTAAAAGAGGGAGAAATGGCATGTTCAGGGTGTTCGAGGGCGTCAATCATTCTGTAAATAAAGATTAGTCATTAGGAAGCAAGATATTGTTTGCATTATCAGAAGTCCAGGTGATGTAATAACTAGCCATCTGAAGTATAAACAGCCTCTCCTCCCACGCAATGCTTAGCTCATAATTACCATCTGTTTACACTGGTCTCCATAGCAATTAGTCACAGATCCAAACAAAAGCTAAGAATAAGTCCGGATGACATAACATGCAACTTAAACCCTCCTGTTTAGTAATGAAAACGGAGTATGAACTAAGAGGACACGAGAGGACTGCCGGGACTGGGCTCCCTCATGACGGGGACAGGCACTGGACTCGGTGTACCCGCGTCTTCTCTCACAACTGACGCTGTACAAATCAGCCTTTTAAATATGTATGTATTGGGGCTAGTGTGAAGGCTCAATTGGCTAATCCTCTGACTTGCAAGTGCCGGGATCTCATCTGGGCACCAGATTGTGTCCCAGCTGCTCCACACTTCCCATCCAGCTCCCTGCTTGTGGCCTGGGAAAGCAGTCGAGGTTGGTCCAAAGCCTTGAGACCCTGCACCCTTGTGGGAGACCAGGAAGAGGTTCCTGGATCCTGGCTTCAGATCAGTTTAGGGGTGATCATTGTATTCACCTGGGAAGTGAACCAGTGGGTAGAAGATCTTTGTCTCTCCTCTTTCTGTATATCTCGCTTTGCAATAACAATAAATAAATCTTAAAAAAAAAAAAGTTACAGACAAGCAGACACAGGTACACAGGGACTGGAGAGAAGATCTTCCACCTTCTGGTTCACTCTTCAAATGACTGCAAAAGCTGGACCAGGCTGAAGCCAGGAGCTTCATCCAGGTCTCCCAGGTAGGTGGCAGGGGCCCAAACACTTGGGCCAGCTTCCACTGGTTTTCCAGGCCATTATCAGAGAGCTGGAAACCGCACAGATGGAAAAATGAACCAGCAGCCATCTGGGATGTCAGCCCTGCAGAAAGCAGCTTTAACCACAACACCACAACACTAGCTCTAAGGTTAGCTTTTACGAACAGTAATATCTAATTAGTTATACAGGTATATGATATTACAGGTTTCTTTTTGGTGAATTATCCATAGTAAAACAAAACTGCACGCTGAAACAGTAAGAAAATTATGCTGCCTCTCCTATCCATGGTAACTCTAAAATTTCTAAAATCCTACAATAAGAAATCACATCCTAACCGCAACACAGAAAAACTGCCAGAAAATGAGCGAGCAGAGGACACGAGCATCACAGCCCTAACGGGCAGTGCGCAGCCGCCAGAGCACAACAGTGAGGGACAGGTGCACAATGCGTGCTCGAGTCCACAAAAAGGCAACTGCGACAACTGTGGTGGTGTGGCAAGTTAAGCCGCTGCTTGGCATGCCATATCCAAGCACTGATTCACGTTCCGGCTACTCCATTTCTGATTCAGATTTCTGCTAATGTACTTGCAAAACAGCTGACGGCTCAGGTACGTGGGCCCTGCCACCCACACCAGACATCCACAAGTTTTTGGCTCCTGGCTTCAACCTGATCCACAAGTGACTGTTGCAGGCACTTGGGAATTAAACTTGTAGAAAAGATCATTCTCTCTTTCAAATAAATAAATGGAAGATATTCTGATGTACCAGACTAAGCCACTGCCTGGGATACCCAAATTCCACACTGGAGTATCAGTTTGAGTTCCAGTACCTTATTTCCAGGCCACCTTCAAGAACTTCTGATATGCCTGGAAAGGTAGTAGATGACAGCCCAAGTACTCGGGTCCCCACCATTCATGTGACAGACCTGAATGGAGTGCCTGGCTCCTGTATTCATTTAAAATCAACCAGATACCGTGGCATAGCACTTAAAGCCACTGCCTGCTACACCAGCATCCCATATAAGCACTGGTTCAAGTCTCCACTGTTCTACTTCTGATCCAGCTCCCTGGTAATATGCCTGGAAAAGCAGTTAAAAAGAAAGAAATTGCCCAAGTATCTGGGCCTCTTCATCCATATGGATGATCGGGACTAAGCTGCTGGTTCCTGGGTTGGACTGGCCCAGCCCCAGCAGCTACAGCCATTTGGGGAGTGAACTAACAAAAAGATGATCTTTCTCTGTCCCTCTAACACTTTTAAATAACAAAGTTAATGTTAAAAATGAAAAATTAAAAATGGAATCAGTAGGCAAAAGTGATTCTGTAAGTAGAAATTGAATATACTCCTGTCTACTAAAGACTATTTTACTTTGACAAGGCTGATAATGAGAGAACAAAAGGCATTCTGGGCATTGCTGTTTATTCCACCATAATACAGCAACATAACAAAAAAACCCAACAACAACAAAATAATTACTGAAAAAAAAAATCACATTTTCACTAAAAAACAATTCTGCCATAAAGTATGTATTATAAATTATGAAGAAAAAGTCAGAAGGAAGCTCCACTGAGGCAAACGAGCCACTTACACAATTCCTGCAGGTTTCACCTTACTTTCCAGTTCAGTCTGCTCTTCCTCCTTACTTGTCTCTGATGGTTCATCCCTGGGGAACTGGAACACTTCTGTGAAATGCTGTTAAAATTAATGGTACCCCAAAATGGAGTGAAACAAAGACACATTACTGTCATGGGTATTCTGAGTTTCACAGAAGCTACTTGCCAAAGTAACTTAAAACAGGTTAAAAGCCAAGTGAGAAACCAAACACTACAGTATACTCCCAGTCCTGCCCTAAGTGGGTGTTTAGACTGTGTGGCGGCCTTTAACCCATCCCGAGTTACTGCACATTCTACGGTACGAGATGACCTGGACCACATCTACACACTTGCACCATTACCTGGTTATTAGCTACCCTTCAAGAACAACTCTAAAATTAAGAAAACGAATCCTTTCAAGAAGAACAGTTATGGTAACTGGAAGTGTCTGTGTCCCATCTGGAAATCCAGGGTACACAGTTTGAGAGAGATGATGCAAGGAAGTTCATGGGGGTGGGTGCTTGGCACAGTTGTGATGCTACTTAGGATGTCTGCTTGCCACACTGGAGTGCCTGGGTCGTGTCCAGCACCTGTGCTTTCAATCCAGCTTCCCGCTAGCTCCCTAGGAGGGTGGCCCGAGTGCTTCACCCTTATCACCCACATGAGAAATCAAGATCAGATTCCTGGCTCCTGGCTTCAGCCTGCCACAGCGTCAGCTGCGGAAGGTATCTGAGGAACAAATTCAGGGGAGAAAGAGCTCATTCAGAAAAAAATTATATTAAAGTATTTTTAAAGTGCACATATATACAAAAGCTATGTTATGACAAGATTGATTTATGCTTTTTAAAATAAAGGACATTTCCACTCTTCTTGGTTACAATAATTGCTAGAACCTTTTGTGGAATGAGAGTTTCACTGCTCAAAATTACTGAACCTGTTACTAAGATTTTCACCCAAAGAAAAATGTTTCAATGTTTAAAAACGAGATAATTTTTTCAATGTACTTTGTCACCATGAATAAAGGCATTAGGGTGTAGTTTAAATATCAGTCACATTAAGAGTTAAATTATTTAGTTTTTAGACACATGCACAGAGAGACAGGCAGACGGAGCTTCTATCTGCGGCTTCATTCCTCCAATGTCCAAAACAGCATGGGCTGGGGGGGGCGGGCCAGAGCCAGGAGCTGTGCACTCGATCTGGATTTGCCAGGTGCGTCAACAGGGACCCAACTGTTGGAAACCCATCTCTGCTGCCTCCAGAGTCTGCAGTAGCAGGCAGCTGGCAACAAGAGCTGGAGCTGTGACTTCTGCCAGACACTGATATGGCATGCAGGCATCCCGAATGTTCCAGTCACCAGGCTAAGCAGCAGCCCCAAGGCACGCAATTGTATTCACTGCTGATTGACTTACTTCTTCCAACTTCTGAGGCGAAGTCAGCTTGCAAAGGGCAACACTGGGACTTTGGAGACTTCCTCCAGTGTCTCCAGCATACTCTAGAAGAAAATAAAAGAGAAAGGAAAAATTAATCACTGAAATAACCATCTACTGAATCTTATATGGTTCAGAGAATATTAACAAGAAACAAGTTATATAACAAATATGCCCCTCACCCAAAAGAAATTTTTTAAAAAATTTTACTTGTACACAAGGTAGAATTAGAGAGGAGAAATATCTTCCACAAAGGCCTAGGTTGCACCAGCTCAAAGCCAGGGGCCAAGAGCTTCTTCCAGGTCTCAGGTGGGCGCAGGGACCCAGTACTTGATTTTCTTCTGCTGACTTCCCATGTGGCAGAGATGGACTGGAAGGGGAGCAGCTGGGACTGCTCCAGTGCTCACATGGGATGCTGGCATTGCAGGTGGAGGCTTTACCTTGCCATACCATGATGCCAGCCCCTCCAAGACTTTTTAATTTAGTTAACTTCAACTACTAGAACGTAGAAAATTAAAGAAAAGGCTAGAGGCACATATACTTTTTATGTGCTGGTTCACTTTCCAGATACCTACAACATCCAGGGCTGGGCTTTGCTAAAGGCAGAAGTCAGGAATTCTATCTACACCTCTCATGTGGATGGCACAGGCTTAAGAACTTGAGCCATCACCTGCTGCCTCCCAGGGTACACATTAGCAGGAAGCCAGAATGGAAAGAGAAGCTGGAGTAGAACCCAAATATTCGCTATGGAATGTGAAGATTCTGGAACAGCATTTTAACTGCTGCCCCAAATGCCACACCTTTTACTAGCATCTTAACTCCTAGACCAAATGCCCTCTCTTGAAAGATAGTGACTATCTTAAGGAAGATGAGCAGGGGAAAGGGTTCATAGAAGTGGTTCACAGAAATTAAGAGAACCATAATATTATGTAAGCAAGGAAAGAAAACCAACAATCGTTTAGAAGAAAAAAGTCAAAAGTTTAAAAATACGTTAGATTGTCCTGCTTTATCAAAACCAAACAATGTAGGGCAGGCTGAGGCACAGCGGACTAAACCTGCATCCCATATTGTATCACCTGGTTTAAGTCCCAGTTGATGTATCTGGGAAGATAGTGGATGATGGTGCAAGGACTTGGCTTCCTGCCACTCACACACGGAAAACCAAATGGTGTTCCCCGACCCTGGTCTGGCCTCAGCTCAGCCTTGGCTCTTGTGAGCAATTAGAGAGAAAATCAGCAGATGCAAGATCTCTCTTTTGTTGCTGACTCCAGTAGATGAAATATTTTAAGAAAGGTTACAAATGAATATGTTCAACATTCATATTTCATACATGCCACATTCTCTAGTTTTCCATTCTGGCTATTGTAAATGAACTACCTTGGCCATTAGACTAGACAAGATTAACTCTGACAATACCATGTAGCAATTTCAAATTAACCAAGTGAACTGACCTTCACAGTCTGATAAGTGCACACCCACTTCCTCCTGTGTAAATGCTTCCACTTCTAACACATCCTCAGTGACACACACACGCTCCTTTTCGGTGTTACGAGAGATGGAAACAATCTCTTCACTGGTTTCTTCTATTTCAGGGGCTTCTGCTTCCATTGGATTTCTACTGATGGAAATGCAACACTGAAAACTGCAACTCACTCTTGGGAGCTACAGGGCTTGCTTTCACTTGACTCATCCTTTTAGATAAAGCTGAAACCTTTTCACACTTACAAACTTTTTCAAACAGACATTTCTAGTACATAGTAGCAGTTCCATAAGAGCTAAGTCCATGAATGCCTAAGCAGTCTCACTTTTACTTACTCAAAATGTTAAGATAACTGACATTTATAATTATCATTTTCACAAAACAATTTTCATGCCGTAAGGACTTTTGTCTTGATGCTCAAGGACATTACGCCTAATACTCCTTTAAAATTACAAATGGGAAATACATACAATAAAGGCATCATTCAGGATGACTCAGTTCCTATTCAAATGACACACAGTAGACCCACAGGCAAGGAAGCTTTACAGTGACAGCTGCTGCACTTCAGAAAGCTCACTTCCTACTTCTCTAGTTCATGCTCATTGCTTTAACTCTCAAGCCCAAACACCATCAAACCAGGTATCTTCTACTGAAAAGCACAGTGTTTATCAGCAACTTACTTGTAGATACTGGAACAAGATTGCTTCTGATTAATTCTTGCCTTAGTTCTATGCGGAGCCGCTGCAGCTGAACAGCCAGCATCTGTTCTGAGCTCCCTCCGAGTACCGAATCCAGTCTGAGACCCAGCAGGATGATTTCCTAGCACCTGCAAAATCATTTACAGTATTTAGTGCTTACTACTGGACCCCTTATTTTTCACCATATTTTAAGACTCCTCATGCTTTGTGCAAACCTTCTGCTGATTGTTTTATTTCTGTATGAAATAATTACATTTGTTCAACTCGACATCCGATGCTAAGACAATTATCAAGTCTTTACTTGCAAAAAGAAAATGACTCCCTAACTATGATTCCACAGAAATCTGTCTTCTAAGTTTTTAAGATATGTTGGCCTGGGTGTTAGGTGTTCCAGGGCCAGCAGCCTCTGTCATCTGAAAGAGCCACCATGCTGGCCAAGCTATCCACCATTCTCATGCCACAGGAATAACATCAGCAAGCAAGAGCACACCATGGGAACATCAGCAAGCCCTACACTGTCCCCTGTATGGGGCGGGCCACTGCATTCTGAGGTGGTGTAGCTCGTTCCTGCACCTGACCCTGAGGCCTCAGTGCCCAAGTAGCTGCTGCAGATGGCTGGCAGAGACAAATCCTGATCCTCAGCCAGGGGCGGCATGGCCACTTTTGATATCATCTCCAAGACCACAGCTTCCTGAACGCCAGTCTCTGGAAAAGGAACACACTGCACCAAGTCCTGCTATTGGGAACTCACTGCCCACCTGGTAAAGACCCAAGCAAGAATGCGCAGAGAACCTATATCTGTGTTACAAGACAGCATTTTCATGTAAGAAAAATGAAGTGAATGAAGCCTGTTTTTTTTAAAAAAAAAAAAAAAGCATCTCGTATGGTAGACTTCACTAATGTTTAAGAATTAAAGGAACTGGGCCCGGTGGCGTGGCCTAATGGCTAAAGTTCTCGCCTTGAACACGCCAGGATCCCATATGGGTGCCGGTTCTAATCCCAGCAGCTCCACTTCCCATCCAGCTCCTGGTTTGTGGCCTGGGAGAGCAGTCAAGGACAGCCCAAAGCTTTGGGACCCTGCACCTGTGTGGGAGACCTAGAAGAAGTTCCTAGATCCTGGCTTCGGATCGGCATAGCATCGGCCATTGCGCTCACTTGGGGAGTGAATCATCAGAGGGAAGATCTTCCTCTCTGTCTCTCCTCCTCTCTGTATATCTGACTTTCCAATAAATAAATAAATCTTTAAAAAAAAAAAAGAATGAAAGGAACCCTTGAAAGAAAAAAGAGGTGGCCCAGCGAGGTGGTGGCCTAGCAGCTAAAGTCCTTGCCTTGTACATGCCAAGATCCCATATGGATGCTGATTCTATTCCCAGCAGCCCCACTTCCCATCCAGCGCCCTGCTTATATCCTGGGAAAGCAGTCGAGAGCGGCCCAAAGCCTTGGGATCCTGCACCCATGTGGGAGACCTGGAACTTGTTCCTGGTTCCTGCTTTGCATCAGCTCAGCTCTGGCTGTTGCGGTCACTTAGGGAGCGAGTCATTGGATGGAAGATCTGACTATTCGTCTCTGTATATCTGATTTTGCGATACAAATAAATTTTTTTAAAGAGGTGATACAAATTACAATGAACATTGCCATTTGCTTCCCACTACCGAGTGATTCTTTAGCAGAAGAATAAAATGAAAAATACAAGGTTTCATTTGTAACTTAACAACTGATGCATATACCTTAATACTGGCACTTCTTGCCTTGTATGTAACAAAATAGGGCTGTTCCAGCAGCCACAGTGAGGTCAGGATGGCGGCTGCAGAGGTCCTTACACGAATCACTGGTCTATACCCACAAGGTGACTGCAGTGTGCCAGGGTCACAGAGCAGTCTCCTGTCAGACCACCTTATCATCCACTCCAGGAGTCGTCCTACACGGCCCAGTGTGTCGCCGAGTGCTGGGGGAAGGTCTTCCCGAGGGCTCATGTCACCCTCCTGAATTGCTCTGAAAACAGATCTCTTGGCTTTGGTGCACGGGGGAGTTCCAGATAGGTCTGATGATCTCAGGATCTGCGGCTTCTCTCGATGATCAGCTTGTACTCTGTAAACTGACTTTTGTTTTAAGCCAAACAATCCATTCCTACCTTCGTTTTCACTGACTTCATTTATACGGTTCTCTAAAAGAGGCCTGATCCCTGGATGAACCGGAACTGAAGATGAAAGTGCCTGCTGTCCCAAGTGGAGGGTGCTTTCCTTGCATAAGGAGGAAGATTTCTCCGAATCCTGACACTCGGGAGAGACGACAAAGCATGAACCAGCTCTGAACACACTCTGGCTCTTGGTCTTGCCCTGGCGTCGTTTCAATGTTGTATGTACATCAAAAAGTAAAGAATTCAGTTCATGTTCTCTAAGCTGTCCAGAAAAGCTGGTGAGCAATGGAATGCCGGGATTCCTGGAATTCTGTAGGTCTCTTTCTAGAACATAACTCAAGAAGAGGTCAAGGAATTTAATATATTCATCATCATCACGTTCAAATTCCCAAACACCTATCACAGGAAGTCCATTTTGTGGTAACTTTCCATGATCTTTCCTTTGAGGGTTTCCTTGTAGGTTCTGATTGCTTCTTTTCTTTTTATCACCAGGCTTGTCAATCAATGTCCAGTCCATAGGATTGGTGGCACTTCTACAACAAAAAGGAAAGAGACAAAATTAAGGACTCTTTAATTACTATCACTAAACTTAGAACTGACATTAAAAATTCTCTCCATTAAGTCACAGATCATTTTTGTGCCTCAATTATCCTTCAAATGAGGAGGCTTGACTAAACAATCTTAAAGTATTTTGAATGGAGGAATATTTTTAAAGCTCAGAAAATGCAGTACAGGATTTGTGTTAAGAGGTTAACATTTGTTCACGGGGCGGTGTTTAGCACTGTGGCTGCACTGCACTGGGAGGCACAGGCCCTAGCTGAGTGCCCGGAGTTCAACCCTGACTTTGCCCCCGATATAGCTTCCTCTGAGCACACAAGGCAGGCAGCAGGCAATGGCTCAAGTACCTGGGTCCCTGTCAACCATGTGGAAGTGAATTCTGGGTTTCTTATTTCTGCCAGGCCCAGCCCTAACTCTAGTGGGGATTTGGAAAACACCAATGGATGAGAAATCTCTCCCTCTTTCTCACCACCTTTTACATAAATACAAAAGGTACTCACAGAAATCTCATTACACAGTAACAAAAGTTTTTTCAGGAGGAACAAAATAGTGCTATAGCACAGCATTTATGAATACAAAGTACAAATTCATAATTAAGAATCACAAGCCATGAATTTCCATCTTAATTTAGGGTTTTGTTTGCTAGTTTTCCTCTTAGGGCCGTCCCTTTCAGGTCTCCTCATCCCAAGTGCGACCAGCAGGACTGCCCTTTTCTGCTGGACCACACAACAGGCGTGGCCTCTCGCAGCGCTTACGAAACCCGTCGGGCAGGTACCTCACTTCAAGCAGTCCTGGGTTCCTTCAATAAGAGAAGGGATGTTACGCACACGGGCTAAAGGCATCACATGTCTCGTCACTGAAAACGTACAATAAGCAAGCGGCACACTATTCCTAGGATAATATTTAAGCATAGTTGCTTTGTGAGGCAAATAATGGCATTTAAAAATGGTTGCTATGATTTAAGCACATATTTACAGTAGATGCGATAATTTTACTCAAGAGGTTAGCTCTAAGTCGTAAGAAAGATAAATTGAAATGGAAATACTAGAATCTTAGAGAAAAATAAGCTTAAATCACAGTAACAGGAGTCTAGACGAGTGAGACTCTTCCAACAATTTATAGACAGGACTGAAAGATAATGTATAATGTACTTCTTTGGAAGTCCTTAAAAATAATATGGCCACCCCGATAATCACACACAATTTAATGACTGGTGAAAGAATGAACAATGAGCCATTCAGTTTGAATTCATGGTTTCAGACAGTAATATGAACTCATATCTCAATTACTTAACACAAACTTCAGATGTGCAGCGTTCACTTGAGTCCTAACACTCTTCAGGGCAGGACAAGTAGTGCTTGTCACGCCTATCACTATACCAAAATCAGGGAGGGCAGGGCTGCTGCAACTAGAAGATTTTGAAAACCCTGAGCTTCCCAGAGAAGCGGACCCTGTTGGGGGGAGTCCCCACTGTACCTCTGAGATAGACACATGCCGCTTCTCCCTTCCACAGGAAACGCTTCCGAGCGCGTCTCTGCAGTGTCGGCCTCGCTGTGAGTCAGGGAACTCGCCAGATCCGTGAGGGTGCTCCTACTGAGGCTGGTCCCCAGGGAGAACCTGTCAAGGCCTCCAGGCTCTTCCGGCTTCTCTTCAGCAGGTTCCCATATATTCATCTCGAACAACCCAATGTTTCTCCGCACGCGTTTTAGGGCTTTCACGCTCACTTTGCGGACAGAATGCATGACGACAGACATCTTCTCCTCGGTCTGGGGACCTGGAAAGCAAAAGAAAAAAAAAACATTGCTTCAACTCAAGGCCGAAGAGGGTACCTCTGCTACGTCCTGGGAAGATGCAACCTATCCAAAAACTAAGGCTTATTTCCACATTCCCACAAGTCGTCTTCTTTGTGTGCTGGAAAAATTATGAGTGGTGTTCTGCAGTAGACCTGCAGAAGCTAACCAGAGTTCAGGCTTCGTTAAAAGAAAAAAATGCCTGGCAGGGGAGCAGTGTGCACAGGCTGGAGTTATCTAACAATTTCAAAAAAATCAGAGATATAATTATTTAAAAATAATTGGCAAGTATTCTTTCTAGTTTCTTTTTCCAGAGTGGAGTGTGATCTTAACAAAAAAATATATGTTTCTTAATACAAGTACTAGCTAAAAGTAAAACAAGATTTTCAAGGATACCTATAGAAAAAATTTTAAGCTTTTTTTAATTTTATACATAGGACATTTTATAGGATGTCAAAAAAGTATTAAAATGAAATCACAAATAAAGTTAATGAATTAATGTGCCATCAGAGGGGCCAGAGCTGTGACATAGCTAGTTAACCCACCACCTAGGACACTGGTACTCCCGATGGACACTAGCTCCACTTCAGGGCCACCTCCCTACTAACAGACAGCCTGGGAAAGTAGCAGAGGACATCCGAGTGCTTAGGTCACCACATCCACATGGAAGAACCAGAAGCAGCTCCAGGTTCCTGGCTTCACTGCGGCCATTTGGGGAGTGAACCAGCAAAATAGGTAATACTATATCCATTTTACAGAAAAAGAAAGGGGGCCCAGAGAGACTGAGCAAGCTGCCCAGGGTCACACATGAAGCCACAGGGCCAGGACATGAAATCAGCTCTGACTTGCAGACAACAGTATCAGTTCTCCACTGAGCCAGGGTCTACTGTCTCACACTCCTATCTGTTGGGAAAGGCAAAAATGCCATGGCATGTAAGGGACAAAATTAAATGTGTTCAAAACTAAAGGAAAATCTTCAGTACCTTGGCTACCTGAGACGTTATAGATAATAAATACCTTTTACAACACAGTGCCGGAGTCGCTGCTGAAGACAATGGTATTTCTCTCTTAAAGGAACTCTTATGTCCTCGGGATTGGGGAAGGCTTTCACAAATACTTCCGCTACCTTCAGAAAAAGAATTTTGAGTTTTATAAACAATATTTTTTTGTTTCCATTCCTCAAATATCTGAGTTCAAATCATAAATACATTCATTACTGCTTTTTCACTATTAGGTCAAAGGTACCCAGCAAGCACAAGCTTGCCAACTGTAGCTCAGAATTCTCATCTGTGAACTTGAATATTCAACTGAAAAATAATGATTAAATGCATTTAGGGTGTAATAAATTCAGTAATTCATACATGTGCATCTCAAAAAATTTCAGGAAAAATGCACATTATGAAAAAAAAATACAGACTTAAGGGCCCAGCATGGTAGCCTAGTGGCTAAAGTCCTCACCTTGCACGCGCCAGGATCCCATATGCATGCCAGTTCTAATCCCAGCAGCCCCGCTTCCCATCCAGCTCCCTGCTTGTGGCCTGGGAAAGCAGTTGAGGACAGCCCAAGGCCTTAGGACCCTGCATTATGTGGGAGACCCTGAAGCTCCTGGCTTTGAATCCGCACAGCTCCAGCCATTGAGGCCTCTTGGGGAATGAATTAGTGGACAAATATCTTTGTCTCTCCTCTTCTCTACATATTTGACTATCCAGTAAAAATAAACTTTTAAATCTTTAAATATGTGTGTATGTATATACATATATATATATATATTTTTTTTTTTTTTTGAGAGAGAGAGAGAGAGAGAGACGCACACAGAGTTAGCACCTGCTGGCTCACTCCCCAGATACCCGTAGTCATAAAATCAATTCAGGTCTCTAGATGGGTGGCAGGTACCCAATCAAATGCATCGTCGCCTACTGCTTCCCAGGATACACAGATTAGCAAGAAGCTAGCTAGAATCTGGAGTGACATGGAGATTCGGTCCCAGGCACTCTGATACCGAACAAGGGCCTGGTTGAAAGATGTCCAAACACGCTCCCACTCCATCAGCTTTTCCAAGTATCCTTGTATATACTATGTGGTCCCCACAGTCATGATTACACGTCCTTCACCACACAGTTATCACTGTGTAGGTTCAGACATTTCAAAAAACTGATAAAACGCAATTAAAAGATGAGTTTACCTTTTAAATTATAAACCCATATGTAATTTTGGAACACATATTTTCCCACATTTTACATATATATCCCTTGTATACACAAGTTCAAAAAATTTTGCAGCAAAATAAAGCCATTCTAAAATTTCATTTCCACAGACCTTCTGAAATCCCTAGTTCGCATGCTTGACAAGGACATTAAAATCTGCTTCCTTAAATTCCAGAAAAGCAACACAGTACTAGTAACTTTAGTCACCATGTTACACATTAGATCCCCAGAACGCGTTCATCCTACAACTGAACGCTGCAAGTGAATCCGCTGACCACTATCTTCCCATTCCCATCCCAAGAGTCCTAGGCAACCACCATTCTCCCATTGGCTCCCATGAGTCTGACTTCTGTGACCTCACGCGTGGAATCTGTCTTCTGAAGCTAGAAAAGATTAAACTAAGTCAAATAAGCCAGACAGAGAAAATCGATATCATTCTTAATTAAAACAGAAATCTGGGTCTGGAGCTGTGGTGCCACAGGTTAAACCGCCTCCTGCTACGGCAGCACCCCTTGTCCGAGTACGGCTGCAGTGTCAGCCTGCAGTCCAGCTCCCTGCTCCCACACCCCCACAGAGGACTCAGGTAAACCTCTTGACTCCTGGCTTTGAGCTGGCCCAGTCTCAGTGGTCGTGGCCATCTGGGAAGTAAACAAGCAGATAGAATATTTCTGTTTCTCCTTTTTTCTGTCATTCTGCCTCTCAAATGAATCACTAAAAATTAAAATATCCTTTAAAATCTGATTACAATCACCTTACCTTTCTGATTGGTGGCAATTCTCCAAGAAGGCTCAAAATTATGTCCTGAATAAGTTCCTCAACATTAAAAAACCGAGAAAAAGGCAGCATTCGGTAAGCCCAATCTACTGCATTGAGGCAGTGCTCAACCATACAAGAATCAAACTCGACTTCCAGGTCCTGAATGAAGATTGAAAAAGAGTCATTCCCCTTCCAGCTTAGAGGGATAAACCATAATGAGCTCAAAAGAAAACTTTGATACAAATAAAACCATTGTGTGGTAATTTCCCAAGTTACATTTGTTCCTTTATTCTTGAGCAGGCAAGTACCTTTTCTCTCTTGATGCTTTCTCTTGCTTTTTGATACTGTCTGCAGCTGTAGGATAACTGATCACGGACGTGCAGCATCCAACACAAAGCGCAGAGCTCCCTGAAGCAACCTGAAGCAGGGGTGCAGATATGAAGGGACACCCAGTTCATACACGAACACCACCACAACTCCACCTCTGCCACAACTTCATTCTTAAAAAGATCTCCACCTCATTGATCATGAAAGAAAAACATACTCATTTTAACATCTTATAGGAAAGTCAAAGATCTTCCAGAATTTTTAATACATTTCATGCATTTCAAAAGCATGAAAATGTTGAAAATGTATCTGTAAAGTAAATAAAATCAATTCTATTATGATTTTACTTGGTTTGTAAATTTGAAGATTTTTGTTTTGTTTTTCTCTTTTGGTTTTGTATGTAACCTGTTTTTTTTTTTTTAATCTAATATATGTTGAATGTCCTTTCAAGGTGCTAATACTTTTAAGTTGATTTTTTAAAAGATTCATTTATCTTTACATGAAAGTCAAGGTTACAAAGAGGGAGAGACAGAGAAAGAGGGATCTTCCATCCACTCCATCACTCCTCAAACCACTGCAACAGTCAGAGCTGAGCTATTTTTTCAAAGTCAGAAGCCAGGAGCTTCCATCAGGTCTCCCAATTGGGTACATGGCACTGGGGACTTAGGCCATCCCCTGCTGCCTTCCCAGACCATAAGCAGAGAGCTGGATCAAAAACGGAACAGGCAAGACTCAAGCCAGTGCCCATGCTGGCCTGCAGGCAGAGGATTCAGCCTCTTACATGACCATGTCAGCCCCAAAAACACTTATTAAAGGGTTTAATATGAGTACAACATTCTGTTGTACAACATGATTTTACTATGCACAATCACATGTCCCCAATCTAACCAGCAAAACAAAATTTCCACTGCTCTGTCAATCTAAAATTTCATTAATATAACAAGTATGAGCAATTAACGCATTATTTTCTCTACTCTTCTGTGGTTAACAAAAACTCTTGCTAGGCAGGGAGAAATACCATCTTCTCAAATTCCTGTCCATTCCATTTTTCTAAATGAGCTCATTTCTACAGTAAGTCTGCAGTTGCAATTTCTAAAGAAGTTACTTTTTTAAGTAGTTTGACATGGAAATTGATCAGAATACAGGCATTCTAAAAATTCCGTAAGTTCCAGGGGACGATCAGGATTACCTTACAGGTATTTTCATACTACAGCCCACCTCCCTCACATCAAATTCTGATAACATTACAACAGTGGAAATGACATCTGAAGTGCTTGATGAACTTTTAGACCATTAACAGAAAACTGACTGACACCAGAAAACACACGCAGTAAATGATGCCCGCAAATAGCCTAATAGTGTACAGGATGGCCCTTGGGCTTTTTGGTTCAGATGCAGGTGAAAATACCCACATCTCACACTCGAGTACCTATGCTGGGTGCCCTGCTCCAGGCTCCTTCTAACTTACGTGGGACATCTGGATCACATTCCCAGCTCCTGGCTAAGGCCCGCATCCAGCCCGAGCCACTGCAGGAATTTAAGAAGTGAACCAGCAGATGACAGTTCTTTCTCTCAAAAAGACATTTCTTCAAAGAAAACACTTTCAAAATAAAATTATATATATATATATATATAATAAATTGTCTTTTTCCCTACAAATTAAAGTATGTTAAGATTTGTCATATTATTTTAAGAAACAGAATAAGGGCCAGTGTTGAAGTACAGCAAGCTAAGTCATTATTTGCAATACCAACATCCCATATTGGAGTGCTAGCTCAAGTTCTGAGTATGCCAACCTCCATAACAGCTTCCTCTTAATGCACCTACAAAGGCAATGTATAAAGGTTCCCTTGGGCCCTTGCTACCCACAAAAGACCAGGATGGAGTTCCTGGAACCTCGCTTCGATACAGTTATTAGCAAGGAACTGAATCAGAGGTGAAGTAGCCAGAACAAAAACCAGCACTCACATGGATGTTATCACTGCAAGCAGAAGCTTCGTTCTCTAACACACAATGCCAGTATCCCAAACACAAGTAAATGTTTTTAAAAATTATTACATGGCCCAGTGTGGTAGCCTAGCGGATAAAGTCCTCGCCTTATACATGCCAGGATCCCATTTAGGCACCGGTTCGTGTCCTGGTGGCCCCGCCTTCCCATCCAGCTCCCTGCCTGTGGTGTGAGAAAGCAGCAGAGGATGACCCAAAGCCTTGGGACCCTGTACCTGCCTGGGAGACCTGAAGAAGCTCCTGGCTCTTGGCTTTGGATCAGCTCAGCTCTGGCCATTACAGCCACTTAGGGAGTGGGTCAGCAGATGGAAGATTTTCCTGTCTCTCATTTTCTGTAAATTTGCCTTTCCAATAAAAATAAATATTGAAAAAAAATGTTTATTACTGAAAAACTTCACACATTCTATAAACTTTTTGTACAAAACTAAACTTTTATTTTAGTCTGAGGATATTTCAAGTTCCTTAATACCTCCACAGCTGTTAGAATAAATTACTTATTAGTAAAAACAAAAGTTCACAAAAAACCTATTGCCTTTGTTGCAACGCAAAGAAACTTTCACATAAAAAAAATTATAGATCGTTATCTGTAGTTGAACCAAATAAATCAGAGATTCATTTGAGACAAACCTATTGCTGTGATGGAAACTGCATCAAGCTTGCGGTCTCCAGTCGCGCCCGGTCTAAAGAATGCTATGCCTCCTTTACAGTAATTGAGTAAAGACTCAGGGAAAGGACCCAATGCAGGAAGGGATCCTTTCATTCGAATCTGGAAGTAAACAGCAATACAATATGTGGACTGTCAGTCATGTAAACCATTTTCCAAGGGAAGTACAAAGAACAAGGCAGGTGAGAGGAACCACACAGAACAACAACAACAACAACAAAAATACAGTTCCTGTAAGCCCTAGGAACACACACTGAGGCTAGTTGTCCTTGCAGAAACTTAGTTCACAAACCTAATACAAAGCATTAGATTATATCTCAAGAGAGAAAAAGGCAGGATCATTAACACTCTGTCGCTAACCATTTTTCCTCTACTATTGACTCTTAGGCTATCTGCCCTTGGCTTTTCCCACAGGCATAATAAAGAAAATTTTAAAATTTAAGTATCTAAATCTTATCCAACACAGACCTATGTGTGATACCTAAAAACAAGTTTTAAAGCCTTAAGTCTACAGATGCAAACTTTTTAAAGATTTATTTATTTTTATTACAAAGTCAGATATACACAGAGGAGGAGAGACAGAGAGGAGGATCTTCCATCCGATGATTCACTCTTCAAGTGAGCGCAATGGCCGGTGCTGCACCGATCCGAAGCCATGAACCAGGAACTTCTTCCAGGCATCCCACACGGGTGCAGGGTCCCAAGGCTTTGGGCTGTCCTTGACTGCTTTCCCAGGCAACAAGCCGGGAGCTGGATGGGAAGTGGAGCTGGTGGGATTAGAACCGGCGCCCATATGGGATCCCGGTGCTTTCAAAGTGAGGACTTTAGCCATTAGGCCACGCCGATGGGCCCTACAGATGCAAACTTTTAAAAAGTAATGACAGGGCCCAGTATCTCATCTGGGCACCAGTTCTAGTTCAAGATGCTCCACTTCCCATCCAGCTCCCTGTTCGTGGCCTGAAAAAGCAGTCGAGGATGGCACAAAGCCTAAGGACCCTGCACCTGAGAGAGAGGTCTGGAAGAAGCTCCTGGCTCCTGGCTTTGGATGGGCTCAGCTCTGACCCTTGTAGCCACTTGGGGAGTGAGCCTACAAACAGACGATGTTTCTGTCTCTCCTTTCGGTAAAGTTGCCTTTCCATTAAAAATAAATCTAAAACAAAAACCAAAAAAAGAAAAGAAAAGGTGCAGCCGTTTTACAACACACGTTTCCATGAACACTTCCAGGACCCTCGTACCCAAACAGCTCAGTTGTCCAGTGTGGTCCCTAAGTGACCCAGACGCTTCCATACCTTCTGCATGACTTTTCGTGCCCATCTCAACTGCAAGATATACCACTGCGCCACAGGAACGGAACACCGAGCGGCTCGGAAAAGCAGGAGAACACGCTGGAGGATTCCAGACACCTTTTGGCGATTGTCTTTTTCGGCTTTTAGAGGAAGATCATCACCATCTTCCTAAGGAAAACGAAATCATTTCAGTTTTGGTAATTCAGAAGACATGAAGTTCTAAAGTGAAAACACAGCCAGGTTAATGATGCTTAGGGCTTCTCAGATGAGAGCGTTCCTAGAGACGGCTGAAGCAATGCAGAGGCACGGGCTCTGAGATCTCACCTATGCCGAGCGTTCTCTCTCCCTTCAAGCAATGCCAAGGCCTAAGCTAACCTCAGTCACATGTCTGCAGCTCCAACAGCCACACCCAAGCACTCCTGTCCCCACGGATGCAGGCTGAGAGTTCCCGCCAAGGAGAACGTGCCTTCCCTTCCTAGCACGGGACGCCCGGCTCCCAGCTTCGTCTGGTCCAGCCCTGACTGCCGTGGCCGTTTGGGAAGTGAATCAGCACGTGCAAGTGTCTGCTTCTCTCTCCTCCTGCCACTATCTGTGTCACTCTGCCTTTCAAATATATAAACTAATTAAAAATTGAATTGAAGTGTTGTGTAATATCACCTTCGGTATATGCATAAAAAGGGATATAGCAGTTAAGTAAATTTCAACTATTTGTCTTAGGACCCACATCCAAGGCATTTCATTATGCTTATACAATCATTCTAAAGTCTAAAAACTTTCAAATCAGGAAAGACTGCTGGGCCCAAGCACTATAGAAAAGAGTTATTCAACTTTTACTACTATCAACTGCATTATATAGAGAAGGAAACTTGCACAGTATTTTAGTATACTATCAGACAATATACAAGTTTCTCATTTAAAGAAATAGACAATCCACTTCAGATGAATCACAGGAATACACTGCACTTACTTCGCTAAGAATAGCTGGCTGGGGACAATACAACGGCGGAGCAGGGAGGTACAAGCCCACTGGCACCAAGCCCCAGAGCCTCCTACTGAAGTCCTTGGCGGAGTGCATCAGAAGCTGCAGTGCCTCCGAGAGGACGTCCGCATCCGCCATGACCGACGCTTTCAGCACTTCCTGGACTGAACCCAACAGCACGTTTGCATCTTCCTCCTCAATGGGATCTACCAAGCACAAAATCTGGTTAGAACGTCTGTTTGATCTTTCATGTTGGAGAATAAAATTTCAAATCTGAGAAAGTCGATTGACAAGAATGAACAAATGTATTGGCCAACATGCTACTTTAAACTTAGAGAAAATCAGCACATGCAACTGTTTTCCCCCAAAATTATGTAAGACATAATAACGATGCACTAAAAATATTCTTGGCATATGACACTGTCAAAAATACTAAAAATTAATAGAGAAAAGAATGCCAAGAATTACTTCAAAACAGACAGTATTTGTAAACCATGGGATAGTAATTTTTTTTCCTTTTCTCTTCTTTACATCTTGTATTTGAATATCAGAGACAGAAAAAGAGCACTTTATCTTCTAGCTCACCACTCAGATACCTACAATGGCCAGGACCGGGTCAAACCAGAGCTAGCACTGGGAGATTGATCTAGGCCTTTCACATGGATGGCCCCAATGTCTGCATGAGTAGGAGGCAGAGGAAGAGGTACACAGGGAACCAGAAGCACGAGCTGGCAGCAAACCCGGGCACTGCAACATGCAATACAGGCATCACAGCCCCTGCAGGCTAAAGCCCCATCCCTTCTTTATCTTTAGTCTATCACAGTTGCATGCTGATAAATGTTAGTAAGATCTACTTAGGAAGTTCAAAAATACAAACATACAAAATGACCCTACGTAAGATATGACTTCAGCCACATAATATCTGTATACAGACAGAATGCAAGGAAATGGAGGGGGCAGAACTTCATCAATGAGTGAGACTTGCAACTGTAGATTTCTCAAAGTTCCTCAGGTCAAGGGCAAAGACAAGGCTCAAACCCAGCCCAATGCCCAGGCTCAGGTTGTGTTTGTAGCACAGTTCCAGTTTGGCCTCCTTCCAAAGGTGCCCAGCCCCTCAGGAAGGCTCTGTAGTGACAGCCTTTGCTGGCCACTGTGCAGACACAAAAACTGGTGTGATCCCTAGGGTACTGTGCTGTCTATACAAATAAACCTGAGATGGGGGGAAAAGTATGGAAAAATCAGAAAGTCATTCAGTCATTAATGCTCCTATATAGAGCCATCAAAAATTTTGGTTAATCCCAGAATGAAGTATAAATATCATACTTTTGTGTTTGGTAAAGTTATTTCAAAGTGTTAGTATACTTATAGATGCTAGCAAGCTTTAAAAAAAAATTACAGGGTTTATTGTAACCTGATACAATTATCACACCTTATGCACATAACACACCTGTAAATTGTTTACATTTTGAACGGATTTCAGTTTTTGCTTCCACAGAGGCTGGCTGACCCAAAAAACCCTTCAGTTTTTCCTGGAAAACCTGTGCTGGAGTCATACTTAATGGGAGATTCAGACCCTTTTTTCTAGACCTAAAATGACATTATATTAAGAAAAATGAATCCAAATTTTAAAAAATTAAAGATTTCATATAAGAACTAATCATGAAAGTTTACAAAACAATGGAATTTGTCCTCATATTCTGAAAATAAAAATTTGAGTAAACACTGTATAGCTTGCCACAATTACGACTTTAAACACCTTCCCACTCATCTTATTCTCTATTACTCTGCCTTTCAACTAAATAAATATGGTGAACTGAAAAATACGTAAGAGATAACAGTACCAGAATAAATCAAAACATTAAAATTAGAAATAAGTTTAATTTGCTTAAAACTCAAATCCTATTTTGGGATAAACACTCCATACTGACTCTAAGATCTTAAAGGTCATTGTTAACATAAAAATGAGTTAAATTAGCCACTAAACTAGCACAGTAAAACTAATGAAGCTATTGAAAATTAAACTTTGGATCTAACGAGCCACATTTCAAGGGCTCAGAAGTATCCTATACCAATGGCTACCACACTGGACAGCAAACAAACATTGTTTCTATCAGTAAACAAAGTTCTGTTGGACAAACTAAACCAAAGGATTCCATTTAGCATTTAAATGCTAGCAATAAGAGATGTAAGACGTCTTTCAATGAACATTTTTATATTGCATTTTAACTTTTACTGCCCTAAAAATACGTACCTTGTGAAATTGCTATCATGTTTACAGAACAACTGGAAAGCCACACCGATCGAAACAGATGTCTTCCAATCTCCAAGTTTATGTGCCAACCACACAGCCTCAGGAACCAGGCCACCAATAAACAGTAATTCCAGGGCGTATTCAACAGTCCACACACTGGAGAGATTCTGAGTTCTAACAGCAGCGGCCACCTTAGAGTGTTGCAGAGGTATAAGTCGCAGGGACTGCTCTGTGAGCAAAGATTAACGTGGATATTTGTAATTACAAACTCGTGCATCCAAAAGCATAACTCCCTACATAGGTATGTTTATCCCTTGAATTGAGAGTTCTTATAGAAAGCCACAGCAAGGTAATTACTCACAAAATGGGCTGAAATAACACCAAACGAGTGTGGCAACAGTTTTGTTTTTTGTTTTTGGTTTTAAGTTTTATTTGACAGGTACATTTAGAGAGAGAAGCAGAGAGACCGAAGATGGGGAGTGGGGGTGGTTGCAGTCTTCCATCTGCTGGTTTATTCCCAAATGGCTGCACTGGTCAGAATTGGCCTAGTCCAGAGTTGGCTTGGTCCAAAGCAAGCCAGGTCTCCTACTTGGATGCAGGGCAAAGCACTTGAGCCCTCCACTGCATTTCCTAGGCTGTAAGCAGGAAACTAAATAGGACCGGAGCAGTCAGGACTAGAACCAGAGACCATAAGGAATGCCCGAGTCATAGGTGGAACATCTCCCTCTTTCAGATCTCCCACGTGGGTGCAGGGAACCAAGGACTTGAGCCATCCTGTGCTGCTTTCCCAGGCCACAAGCAGGGAGCTGGATGGCAAGTGGAGCAGCCAGGACACAAACTGGTACCCAAATGGGATGCAGGCAAAGAACAAATCATTGAGCCCTCATGCCAGCCCCTCCCTGTCTGTTTCTGACTTTTTCCAAATAAAGAAATAAGTCTTTAAAAGGAAAACGCAAACAAATTCATGTGCAATAGAATAAAATTTGGGTTAAGCTACCATACAACCCATATTGGCACTAGTTTGTGTCCCAATTCTGCTTCAGGTCCTGCTAATGCACCTGGGAAAGCAGTACAAGATGGTTGAGGGTTGGGGGCTCCTACAATCCATGTGGGACACACAGAGTTTTGAGCTCCTGGCTCTGGCTTATTTCAATCCCAGGTCTTGTGGCCACTTGGGCACTGAACCAGCAGATGGGATACCTGCCCCTCTATATTTAGACAAATAACAACAAAAAAAAAACCTTACAAAAAATAACATATCAAAGCCATTACCACTTACACTCCATTCAGAATTGGTCACTGAGCCATCTCTAATATGTCAGGCATGATCCTAGCACAGAACTATTTCCATAGAATAATTACAATAAGATATTAATTATGATATGTATTACACATAAATAGTTATATGTAGCTTCTCCATGGGTACCTGAGGATTGACATCATTAATGATCCAGTAACCTTGCAGACCAGAAGGTCATGATCACCTGATCGCTTCAGAGAGAACAGGTGTCACTGGTGCCCCCAACCTTCGGAAGGCAACACACAATGCCTCAGTTAGAAATCTGGGTGAGGGAGGGGAAGAGTCAAAACAGAATCCATTTTGTTGACGGCAGAAGAGGCAAGGGACTTTGGCATGATTTACAAATCCTTGGACTATACAAAGAAAAACGAATCCAGACATAGATTTACAAGATACGGACCAACAAGAACAGGATGGAGACAGAGAAGGCAAGAATGTTGCCAAGGTCAGTTGCGGAACAGCACAAGTAGAGACGCTGCAATGACTTCATCTTCACGGGGTGGGCAAACGTTGCCTTAGAATATTAATTAACTGAAGAAACTTAAAACAAGTGGCAAGAGGAAAGTGAGGCCTTTGTTTACTGCCTTACCTGTTTTCATATGGACTGGAGGAAGAACATTCACATTGTGAGGGGGCAAAATGCAGAGCAGCTGATTGGTGAAATAGGCAGTCATGAAACGAGCCATGGCTTGGACAGCTCTGATTGCTGCCTCTGGATGGACACGTCCAGTCATTCCAAACTCACCGAGATATGTCTCAGAAACTAAGGAACATAGCCAATGGTCAGAAGAGTTCTGATCCAACCAGCAGAAAATAGTTACACGCAAGTTCCCAACATCATACACAAAGAAAATAACAGTTACAACATTTTTCTGAAATGGCCACGTAAGGACTGTACCAACTACCCTATATTTATATTTCCTGAAGATAAGAATAAAAACAGCTATCTAATAGGTCCTGTTATTATACCAGCATCCCATGTAAGAGTATAGCGTGAAGTCCCACTTGCCCTGGTTCTGATCCCACTTCCTGAGAAGGCAATGTAAACAGCCCAGCCATCCATTTGGGACTTCCTGACTCTTGGCTTCGGCCTGACCCAGACCTGGTTGTCAGAGATATTATTAGGAATTAAATCAGCAGATGGAAAATCTCCCTCCATGTCTCTCTACCTTCTGATTAAAACAATTTTTTCCATTTTATTAAATAGAGATATACATGAAATAATCCATCCTTGAAAGACTTGCATGTTCAACATTTTTTTTTTTTGGTATGGGGCAGAAAGGATTCCTCCACAAAATCTGAAAAGCAGTAAAACAGGGATTTTTAGTATTTCTTCCTGTATCATTTGGTTTGGGAGTTACACTCTTGTTAATATCAGTGACTGAGTTGAATTTAAAAAAAAAATGTGTGGCTAGAAGGAGCAGCAAGCTGAAGGTAAGTGCCTGGAGAAGGGAGAGGTCATGTTTAAGCTTCCAGGGCGATTCTGAAAAGCATCAGCAGGACTGGAGGACATATGTGCCAGACCCAACAGGAAACCAAATTCACTAATAAAAGCTGACACTTCAAATTTAAAAAAAAACTGAACACAATAAAAACTAAACATTAGCATTTATATAGTTCCAACAATAGAAAAGTATGTTTCTTTCCCAGAAAAAAAAAATCACTTGATAATCAGTCCTTTTGCTTTAGGATTTTTTTCTATTGGAAAGTCAGATATATAAAGAGGAGGAGAGACGGAGAAAGATCTTCCATCTGATGAATCACTCCCCAAGTAGCCACATCAGCTGGAGCTGAGCCAATCCATAGCCAGGAGTCACAAGCCTCTTCCAGGACTCCCACGCAGGTGCAGATCCCAAGGCTTTGGGCCTTCCTCGACTGCTTTCCCAGGCCACAAGCAGAGAGCTGGATGGGAAGCTGGGCTGCCGGGACACAAGCCAATGCCCATATGGGATCCTAGTGCATGCAAGGTAAGGACTTTAGTTGCTGGGCTACCCCAAGGGATGAGGGGGATGCAAATAGTCTTATATTAAATTCTATCGTGTAGGGGTGACCATGTGGCAGTGTGGTGGACAGGGCTTGGGATGCCTGCAGTCCCTATCAGGTGCCTGGGTTCAAGTTCTAGATCTGCTTTTGAGTCCATCTTCCCATTAGTACCTGCGAAGCAGAAGGTGATGGCTTAGGGATTTGAGTCCCTGCCACTCCAGGGGAAGATCTAACGTGACTGGAATCCTGGCTTCAAACTGGCCCAGTTTTGGCTGCTGCAGGAAACTGGAAAGTGAGCTACTCACATTCTCTTTCTCTCTGCCTCTAAAATCTGCCACCAAAATTAATAAAAACTAAAGGGGAAAATACTACGTTTTTGAAAAGTTTAAACAGATTAGTAACTACACGTTAAATTAATCCTTAAAGTTAAATCATGTAAAGATAATACTACCAGAAAATGAACTTTTCAGTCATTTAAAATGTCTTTAGGATCAACATTGTGGCACAGTGGAACAAACAGCCACCTGTAACAAAGGCAATCCATATGAGTGCTGGTTCAAGTCCTCTCTTCTCCACTTACACTTCAGCTCCCTGCTAATGGCCTGGGAAAGCAGTGGAATATGGCCCAAACGCCTGGGATGACGAACTCATGTGGGAGACCTGGAAGAGGCTCCTGGCTCCTGACTTCAACTTAGCTTAGCTCTGACCACCACTGTGGTCATTTGTGGAGTAAACCTGTAGATGGAAGATCTGTCTGTCTCTCCTCTTTATAAACCTTTCTTTCCAATAAAAATTTTTAAAGAATATTTATCAAAAATGGAAAACACTCATGCTATTAAACTTCAAAAGATGACAAAACTAAACACATATCTGATATTCATAAGCTGACAGACCCTAGAGGGAAAAAAGTAGACTTTTAAAATTTTTTTTGTACTTTTCATAGTGTTAAAGTTATCTAAAATGAGTATAAATTTCTTCCATAATGATCATTAACATTTAAGAAGATTGACTCCACCAACATAGTTCTGACTCATTTAGTCTTTCGGATATATTCTATGGATAGTACACACATTCAACGATCTATCATCCTCTAGTCATTAACAGTGGACTCACTCAAATTCAGCTTTTCCTCTGGTTAGCTGAAATGTAGCTCTTTGAAAAAGGGCTATCCACATACCCTGGGGACTCTTAAATATTAAAAAAAGACTTAGAACATCTCAGAAAAACGATTTTTGTAACATTCCACAACAAACAAAACATAAAAACATGGTGTAAAAATACTTGAGGATGTAATGTTAGATCTAACAAATACGGTTGTGAGGAAACAACTGTACCAGTTCTACAGGCAGCTACTGCTGCAACCTGAGGATCCTAAGGCAAAACCTGAAAAACCAAAAATTCAACCTGATTCCTGTGACATCCAATGGCGCAGAATTCAGTCAGCACAGAGGCTTTTTCACCCAAGAGGCTGAACAGACAACTGATATATAGACAATTCTGTAACTAAGGTGAAAAGGACATACCTGGACAATCGTCGTGTTCATTTACAGGCAGCTGGGACCATCTCAGTATCTCCCTCACTAGTAGGTCACATAATCCTTGAGCATCATTTAAATTGTAACTATAGAGGTAGCAGTATAATACAGAAAGATAATAGCGCGTCTGAAGAAAACACGTCCTTCTTCCTCCTGAAACGGCAAATAGCTAAGCTTCCCTAAGAGCATGTTGGCAATACTCTTGGTCTAATGCTTGGAAGACAGAGGCGAGCACTCCATGAAGATCCTTAACAGTGACGGGAACTCTCTAGCTCTCTTAAAATAAATACTGCTCAAGTAGGTAAATGAGTAACAGAACCACAGCAGCTAAGAAATGCAGTTTTTAGCCAAATTTGGTCACATAACAGTTTGTAATAGGGGTTATCTTCAAGGTCACAATCTGAGAATTTCATTTTATCTGCAAGTTGAGCCTTATTATCTACAGAATCTGCAACCCTATACATTTAACAAAAATTTCATGTAAGGCCCAGTGTGCTAGCATACTGGCTAAAAGCTTGGTTTGCATGCACCAAGATCTGATGTAGGTGCCGGTTCCAGCTGCTCCACTTCCATCCGGCTCCCTGCTGGTGGCCTGCAAAAGCAGTGGAGTATGGCCCAAAACCTTGGAGTCCTGCACCCACATGGGAGACCCAGAAGAAGCTCCAGGCTCCTGACTTCAGATTGGCTCAGCTCTGGCCATTACAACCACTTGGGCAGTAAATCAGTGGACAGATCTTTCTGTAAAATCTGATTTTCCAATAAAAATAAATATTATTGAGCTAGTTTGGGCTACATGAAATATGTGTAATAGGAAATTTTTGAAATTAAAGAGGCATTGTAATATTTTGTATGTCTGTAAGAAGGTGGTGAAATATTGTACTAATAGTTTTCTTATAGATAATCTGCAATCCTTCTAAATACAGAAAAAAAATCTTGTATTTATCACTTAAATCCCATTTTTCCACATCAATAATCAATCACAACTTTCATCACTAACCAAAGGATACGAGACTGACCCAGAGATCCCTGTGAATACTCTACATGCTACGCATTTCAAGACAAATTTTAAATAAACATTGCCGAGTCTAGTTGCCTATAACATATACTCTAGTTGGGCATTAAGAAGCTGCGATCATTTGGAAATTTCTAATTATGCTTAAGTTCTAAAGCAAGTAAAAAAATCTGTTCCCAGCAAAGTCATGACACATATCATTCTCATTACTCGCCTACCTTCCTCTTGGGCTTCTCGTAGTGCCCGATTCCACCAATCAACAGACTTTTCATATTCACCTAACAGGAAACACTCTTCACCTGGGAAGTTTGAACAAACAGGTAGCCCTAATTACACTGCTTTCTGGAACTTCATTTAAAAACTCAGTAGATACAACTCGGTAAAAAAAAAAAAAATATATATATATATATATTACTTTTGAAAAACAAATAACTACAAGCAATTTAAAAAAGCAAACCTGGTTAGAAGAGAAACTGCTTGAAAGATATTGAGGCAGTCAGTATTTGGGTGCAGCATGGTAAGCTAATGAATTCAATGCTGACATCCTTTAACGGAGCACCAGCTTGAGTCCCAGCTGCTCTGCTTCAGACCCAGCTCCCTGCTGATGTGCCTAGGAAAGCAGTGGATGATGGCCCAACTACTTGGGCCACTGCCACCCTCCTAAGGGACCTGGATGGGATCCCAGGCTTCTTCCTGACTTTGGGCAAACAGATAGAAATCTGTATGTGTCTGTAATATTCTGCCCTTCAAATAAACAAATCTTAAAAAAGAATAAGAAAGAAAAAGGAAACACTGACCATTGATAGGTTTAAGCTCTAAGGTGTGGTTCAAACGGTCTCCAGCAGTCTGTAAGTTGGCCTGTATGTGGCACAACAAGGACTTGACAGTAGATGCTTCGAACGCCATCTTATCAATTAACGGTCTGTCACCTTCTGGAACTCTTTGACCTAACTGTGCTTGATACCATAAAGTTTTCTGGTACAATAATCTCCAGAGAACAACCAATCTGCAAATAAAATAAGGTCATCATTCAAAAAAAATTTCACACCTGCTTAGTGCCCTTGGTAGCCTGCCTTTGACAAGCAAAACAGCACCCTATAATATGGAATAATACGTAGAAAAACTGATCAGATTTAAACACAGTGCAAGGTCCAACAATTAAACAATGCACAATACATACAAAAAACACACCTGCACAACTGAACACATCTCCAGTCGTCAATAGTACTTAACCAGTGTCTTAGAATTTCACCATTGATTACAGAGACCATACATCTGAATATATCATTATCAAAGATTTTATGTATTTATCAGCAACATGACATATTAAATATACCTGTTTTTAAATAACACAGAGCTTTGGAGCCAGCACTGTTACACACCAAGTTAAGCTCCCTACTGTAAATCTGACATCTGTTATGAGAATGGGTTCGAGTCACCACCACTATTCCACTTCTAAGCTAGTTCCCTGCGAATGTGCCTGGCAAAGCAGCATGCACTGACCACAGAGTAGGGACGCCGTCACCCATGTGTGAGACCTGGGTAGAGTTCCAGGCCCAGCCTGATCCAGCCCTCGCCATTGTGGCCGTTTAGGGAATAAACTACTGAATGATCTCTCTAACTCCATCTTCCAAATCAATCAGTCATAAAAAATAAATGTTTAACCCTAAGTACTAACAGACACAGGTTCTTTTCTGTAGATAAAAACAGTTCTTGAATTAGTTCTTGAATTAATGGTTTCACCATACAACCTACTGAAATATGTGTAACAGTGAATTTTACAGTATGAAATTCGTTTTTTTTAAAACAGCAAAAAAAAGAATCTATGATAATGGTTTCCTAATATTAACATAAACACTTATACCTATGTCCTGGTTGTTGAACACGTGTTACTTGTGGATGAATCTTGAAAGATGACTTCCATGTCCAGTTTCCATGAGAATTACGGTCTTGCAACATTTGAAAAACAGGCACCACCAAGGAGTCTTGATCTGCTGTTCTGTTTCCTTCAGCTGATGCTGAAACAACTTCATGGTGAAGGCTGTATACATCATCTAAACCGTCAGTGACCATTCTGAGTAAATAAAAACAGGCTAAAAGTTTCTCTGAGAACAACCGACCCTTCTGTTGCTGATCCAGACAGAGTCTGATGGTATTTGAGGTCAGCTTTATCAAATATCCCACATCGTGCCTGTACCTCACATCCCAATACTGGACTGACAAACACTGAAGGAAAAACTCAAAGATACAAAGTAGCCATGCATTATGTTTTCTGGTCTCACTTAAAGGCAGATCAAGTTTAGGAAAAGGACACTTTATAAATTGAAGAATGTAGAAAAAATGAGTGATACAGATCACTGTGTAATTTAACATTGTATTTTTTTCTGTCACATTTTTTGAAATGCCTACAGCCCATGCTGACAGCAGATTTTTCTGGATGGAATGCAGCTCTCCCTCAGTTCTGTCTGCCTCCTTGCCGTCATCCTTTGCATGTATCGTATCAAACATAGATGCAAATTCCAATCTTCCCTCCTTGATACTACTGAACCGCTCGTCATGTTTTTGGTTCCAAAAAGGAAATAAGTGGTTTGGAAAGTATTTGCCTTCATTCACTTCCTCTGCTTCGAAGTCCTAATTATGAAAGAAAAAAGTATATGCTTAATATCACTTAATACCAGTAACTGGAATCACTCTTGTGTTTTCTCATTTCTCTTCCCTTTAACAGGGGAAATGTGAAATGTGTTTCTCAAAAGTCAAAATGGAAATGCTCAAAGTAAACAGGTACCTGATCTTCCTCTGTGTTTCCATTCAAGTCCATTGTTTCTCTTGCCTGCAAAAACCTGGGGACAGTGGGATCCGCCGTACCCTCACTTCCGTGGTGTTTTAACAGGCTGGACCTCAGGGAATCCAGTGATCGTAAGTTCAGCCCTTTGCTTTTTGGCTATAGGAGAAGAGATTTCCAAGATGAGATTGTATCTGCAATTCCATTACATGCAAGAGAAATATGTAGATAACTATACTTAATTATGAAATAAATACAAGTTTTAATTTTAAATTAAGAATAAAGAAGCGGGCTTTCACCAGTGGGACCAAAAAGCACAATACCTTCAGGGATGACATACTTTGATAGGCCTTCTCAAGCCTCAGGGTGGAGTCGAGCAGCAGTGACCTCATGAGCAAGGATGGAGACAGTCTATCAACAAACCGCAGGGTTGTGACCATGTAACCATCAGAAGCAATGAAGTAGGGCAGCCGGGAATGTGTTTTTACAGAAAATCTCTGTCTCATAGGGTCATTCTCAGAAGCTGATGAATCTATGGAATTCTGCGAATCTTGACCCATGAAATGCTGTGGTCTAGCAAACAAATATTAAAATTCAAGAATCAGTGAGAGACTTTAAAGGAAACAAACTTATCCAAAGAAATAGCTATATAAAAGCTGCATAATGATGAAGCAAGCAGATGAAACACACACAAAAAGATTAAGGGTGATTACATAATATTTAAATTTGTGTATTCTTGATTTTTGCCCTCAAATTGTTTTTACTCTGCTTTGCTTTCAATTCATATTCCATCCATTTCAGAAAAGAATTAAAGCAGTCTACCTTTATTATTAAAAAGAGTTACGCAGTTACCTTTCGTAAGAGACAGTTACAGAGAATGAGGGAGACGCTCTGCTAGTTCACACCTCTAACACAGGAGCAGCCGGAGTTGAGCCAGACTGAATCAGGGAGCCAGGAAATCAATCCCAGTCTCCCAACATGAGTGGCATGAACTCCAAGACTGGAGCCATCACCTGCAGCCTCCTAGGGTGTGCACTACTTAGAAATCAGGAGTGGAGCCAGGATTTACTGCAAAACTGAGTATGTGAGGCAGGCAACCCTTGTGGGCGCTTCAACACTGCCGAAGCCCAGCTTCTTTAACATATTTAATATACTAATAGCAATACAACTAAGAGCTATCAGCACAAGTGCTTTAAAGAAACGGAATTTGCGGAAAGGTCAATTACAAGTAAAATTGAAATCAGTTTAAGATTAAATTTCAACGCCTGGCACGATAGTGCAGTGGTTAAAGTCCTCGCTCCTCGCTTTGCACACGCCAGGATTCCATATGGGCGCCGGTTCTAGTCCCGGCAGCTCCCTGCTTGTGGCCCGGGAAAGCAGCTGAGGATGGCCCAAAGCCTTGGGACCCTGCACCCACGTGGGAGACCCAGAAGATCTCCTGGATCCTGGCTTCAGACTGGCTCAACGCCAGCCATTGCAGTCACTTGGGGAGTGAACCATCAGACGGAAGATCTTCCTGTCTCTCCTCCTCTCTGTATATCCGCCTTTCCAATAAAAAAAATTTTTTTTAAAGATTAACTTTCTGTGAGTTTTCACTTAAGTATACTCATTTACTGTTATTTTGCATTCTGATTATTTGATATCACCTATTATAAAGCATGGGGCTATATAAATGACAAATCACCTTAGTACACTAATATTTTTCTGGTTAGGAAATTATTCAAATGTAACACAAAAATCTGTAGAACCAGAGCTGGCCCTGTAGTTTAACAGATAAATCCACCACCTGCAATGCTAGCATCCCATACAGGCCCCAGTTCTGTTCCAGCTATTCTACTGGTCCGGCTTCTGGCTGCAGTGCTTGGGAAAGCAGCAGAGGATGGCCCCAAACCTTGGGTTCCTGCAACCACATTGGAGACCTGCAATAAGTTCCTGGATCCTGGCTTTGGACCAGCCCAATCCCAGCCCTGCAGCCTTTAGGGGGACGGGCCAGAGCATGGAAGACACCCCTCTACCCTTCTCTTTTCCAGTCTCTGCATGTGTCTGTTTCTGTCTCTAACTCGGTCTTTCAGGTAATTAAACATCATAAAAGAAATTTTTAAAAACCCTACAAAATCACTACAAAAGAATGCCTGAACAGGAAAATTAAGTCTTTCATTTTCTACACGATTTAGTTTTGTAACCACAAGACTTATTTACACTCTACGATCTTGATGTTTAACCTGGGTTCAATACCAGACTACCAGATTCTGCTTTTGGTTTGAGCTTCCTGCAAACACACACCATAAGACAATACTGACAGCTCTGGTAACTGGGTTCTTGGCACTCACACTAGACATGGACGGAGCTCTGAGCTCCTGGCTTTGGTTCATTGCAGGCATTAGGAAAACGAAATCAACAGATGAGAGCTCTGTTATTTAAGATCTTTTAAATAAACAACTTTTTAAAGTAAGTAAAATAATGACTGTTACTTTTATAATGGGAACAAATTTAAAAGGCTTAAAAAGTGTGAAGAAATTCTTTTAAATCCCTTTAAAGAGTATGAAGAAATTCTGGTCAATTATGAATTGAACCCTAAGAAGGAAAACAAATACTTTGCAGGAAATAATGACTTTTCCCAATTTGTTCCATCTATGACTAAAAATTGGGCATTACCTTTTGCTAACATAAATCAAGGTCATATCTTACTTCAGTTTCCTTTCCATAAAGTAGAGAATAGATTTATCCCAATTTTCTATTTTGTCAATAGCTGAACATACAGAACTAGCCACACATACAAATACAATGCGATCAAAATCAGTAACAAATATTTAGCGAGCACTTATTCTATGGAAGGATAGAGTTAGGTGACTTATAATTAAATACCAGCACTACCTCACTTCATTCCCTCAACCCTAACAGGACTCTCTTTCCATAGTAAAAGAAAAAAGGCTAAGAAAAATAATGTCACACAACTATTAAATAGAAGAATCAATACTTGACTCTTGTACTTGGGACACCAGTGGGGATGCCTGCACCCCTAATTTAGTGCTGTTTCCAGTCTTAGCTATGCTGCTCTGTTGCAGTTCCCTGCTAATGCACCTAGGAGGCAGCAGATGAAGGTGCAAACACTACTCGTGTCCTTGCCACCCACAAGGGAGACTCCAACAGAGTTTCTAGAACCAGGCTTCATCCTGGCCCAGACCTGGTTGTTGTGGGTGTTTAGGGAGCAAACCAGTCACCAGTGAAAGATTAATCTCTGTATCTCCATCTCTGCTATTCTACCTTTTGAAATGAGTTTTGTTTTGTTTTTAATTAAAACACAGGGGCTGGCACTGCAGCATACAGTGTAAGCTGCACCTGCAATGCTCGCACCCCATTTGGGTGCCAGTTTGAGACCCAAATGTTCCACTTCTGATCCAGCTCCCTGCTACTGTGCCTGGAAAAGCAATAGAGGATGGCCCAAGCACTTGGGCACCCACACCCACATGGGAGACACAGAAACAGCTCCTGGATCGTGGCCCTGTCCTGGTCCTTCAAGCTATTTGGGGAATAAAACAGCAGATGGGGGACTCTGGCTCTGCCTATCAAACCAATAAAACAAATCTTCTTGAAAACTAAAATACGCTAAATTTTAAAGTGTTTTATCTATTGTGAACTTTTTCCTATTAGGCAAAAAGTGGACAAACCCATGGGCCAAATTAACTTTAAATACAATTTTAAGTACAATTCTAACCAAAATATGCCACAACATACTTCTACTAACACTTACAATAAAGATAAATTTTTAGTGGTACTGAACAGTTAAATAGCTTGTACTTACATAGTCACAATGTCAACTGTTACCAGGATTAAGCCACAAAAAGAAATAGAAGAATATAAACAAACATATTGATACAGCAGACTGAAAGAATAAAACAACTTGAAAGACAGTATAGACAGTATTGTGAAAAATAAAAATACGCAGTAGAAACAACAAAAACTTCCACAAGCAAACTGAAAACGTCTACACACAAATTCCAATGGCTTCAATGTCTCACCTGTACGTTATTAGAGGATGAAGAGGAATAAATTCTGCTGGCCCAAATTCTATAGAGCAACCGAAGGTAATTAACGTTAGCAATTCACCTTGGCATGTCAATATAAACAAGGAGCCACGCTTTAATATACAAGCCAGAAAAAGACTATCATGAGTCCAGCTGATGTCACCTATCCAATAGGACCTAGAAAGAGCAAAGGACATGTTAGGAACGACTCTGCCCTTGACAGTTTGTAAGAAGCTTACACCAAGTAGGGGCAAGACATTTCAAATAAAGAAGGCAAAACAATGGTGGGAACTGCCACACATATTTCATGAATATCACTTCCTATAACAAAAAATGTTTGCTCATGAACATCTAGTACAAATTGTAATTGAAAATGTACTTCGATCCATAAGCCATACTTTTACAAAGGAACTTTGGGAAGGCAAAACAAAAAAAATAATGAGGAGGCCAAGCAGGTTGGACCTGAAAATTCTGAAAATATGGAGAATCTCATGGGAAACTGTTAAGAAACAGTGTCAGGGCTCCACAAGGAATCTTCACACTCTGCAATTCCATAGGTCCTGGCGGTAGTTCACATGCCATCCAAAATCACCTATGCCACTACTGATCAGTATGCAGGGATGACAGCTTTGTAAAGGGCAGTAACCACCCCAACCTTCCTGGAAAAAATGCACTTTCCAGTCAGTCCTAGCACACAGAAACGCAATGGAAATATACTGACTCGTCTTCCACACCTCCAGACCAGCTCCTCTTTCCTTATGACATTTAAGGCTTTCTTTAAGTAACTGAAAGTTTCTCAAGCACAAACACTGAAGACAGGTTGGATTCTCTATCTCTACGAATCTACTGAGTTATTATAGTGCTAAATTTGTCAGACTACTGGAAATGAAAAATAAAAACACTACATGAGACAGCTAAGAGTTCTTACCTGACAAGCGCAGCTGGAACCACAGGGTTCTTATTACTACAGCCTTTAAGGCTACCAGAAACAGTAGCAAAATTCACTGTGTTGATAAATAATACCTGAGTTGCCTAGAACGATAATAAAGACAAAACTACTCAAATGATCTCAATCATTACTTAGTAACTCAAGAGACTTAGAAACGTAATCACATCAAGAAACCATAAATGAACTATCCAGGGAGTCTTTCCCAACCTGCTAGGCAATGACAACCACGGTTAATCCAACATATTTACACTTCCTGAAAAAAACAAAAATACGTTATCACTCTTTCCTCCTTTTCTGTCACCTTTTTCAAAAATTAATTTTATTTATATTGGAAAGTCAGACATACAGAGAGAAGAGAAGATACAGCTTCTGTTCACTGGTTCACACTAAGTGACTGCAATGGCCAGAGCTGAGCTGATCGGAAAGCCAAGAGCCTCTTCCGGGTCTCCCACACGGGTGCAGAGACCCAAGACTTTGGGCCGTCCTCGACTGCTTTCCCAGGGCACAAGCAGAGAGCTGGATGGGAAGTGGAGCAGCTGGGACACAAACCAGCACCCATATGGTATCCTGGGGCATGCAAGGCGACGATTTTAGCCACTAGGCTACCATGCTGGGCCCTTTTATTTAAAGATTTTTTTTTTTTTGTCTTTTAAGATTCATGTATTTTCAAAGTCAGAATCACAGAGAGGAGAGAAGAGACCCATCGGATCATTTCCCAGATTGCCCCTAAAACCAGCACTGGACCACACTAAATCATATCGGAATCCACAACGAAGATCTGAGACCCTTCCAGGCCACTCCTGATTCCACTCAGCAGCATCTCCCACATCCTCAAGTGGGCACTGTCTGCACTCACTCCTGGCTCTTACCGAGGAGCCAAGAGCTTCACCCGAGCACTTTGTCTGAGTCTCCCTCATGGCTCACAGGTGCCAAGACTCTTGGGCCGTCTTATGTTGTTTTTCCTACACCATCAGCAGCAGCCAGGACCTGAACTAGCACCCAAATGGGGTTCTGGTGGAGCAGGAGACAGAACTACCCACAACACCACCCCACTTATCCTTTTTTTTTTTAATTGGGGCTCGGGAGGCAGAGGGGTGAGGGAAATAAAAGGGGAACCAAAGCCAGAAAGGGAAAAACGGGGCCACTTATCCTCTTTACGTACATACATCAACTTTAAAAATACATTGGCAGCTCAATTTAATAACTCCACCTTCCATAATATCACGTTGGATGAGAAAAACAGTATAAAGAATGACAAGCAGTATTAAAAAATATATTTCAATGGAAAATCTATCTCAAAAATAAACTCGTCTTCATGGATGACTTCCCAAGACAGGTTGTATTTACTGACCTTCGGGTCTTTCTGATTCAGAGTTACTGCCAGGGTAAGGCCGTCTCTTGAAAAGGCAGAAATGAGAGCTCCTCTTGACTTCACGGACTCGCACTTAGGACGCAGATCGCACAGAGCACAATTGTGTTGCGCCCAGCAGACGTGGAATGGTAGTAATCTAAGGAAGCAATATTGGTGAAAACAAAGTACAGTCACTTTAAAAAAAAAAATTTTTTATCAGCTTATTTGAAAAGTAGAATGTGAAAGAAATGTCTTCGCCCACTGGTTCACTCCCCAAATGACCACAACAGCCAGGCCTCCGCCAGATAAGAAAGCCAAACCTCTACCATCCTGAACTCCGCCCTAGGGCCCCACATGGCAAGGCTCACTTACTTGGAGCCATCATCTACTGCTTTCCTCGGCACAGCAGCAAGGAGCTAGATCAAAGCAGATCAGCCAGGCCTGAAATCACCACTAACACAGGACGCCAGCACTGCAAGTGTCAACTTAACCCACTGTACCACAATGCCAGCCCCAGTAACTTTTAAATAAATGGCCCATTACAAATTTAGATTGCCTAAATCCTGACATGTCACATGTACTTAGGACTGTTAGCAACCTTTTCCCAAGTTTCAAACACACTGCAGAAGAGCAGCTGGTTAAATAACTTCACAACCAGAGCTCGTTCCGCTGAAGTTCCACACACATGCTTTCACACAGTAGCAAGCATTTTTTGAGAATTTTAGAAGTAGAAAAGAGCGTTTTGGGGAGCAGTGTCAGTGCTCCACACTGGATCTCAGTGATGGTCACACAGCTGTCTATATTTGTCAAAGTCCATTTAGTTGGACACTTACTATTTGTTCATTTGGGCAAACTACCTTAATAAAGTGTTAGCACAAGAAAAAGCAAACAAAACATTTAACAAGTCCTACTTCAACATATTTGTTGAATTCTTAAATGTATCTTCTACTTTATTGGCTTCTCAGAACATTTTTTAAAAATCTGACTGTTTTTAAACTTGCAAAATAATTTTTTTTCTTCATTTGAAACAGAGAGTGCATTCCAAAAACCTGTGACATCCAGCACTGCCCAGGCGTATCCTGCCGGGACTGAAGGAACTAGTACCAGATCTCCCACATGGGGGCAGGGGTCAAGCACCCAAGCCATCGTGACAGGTTCTCACTGTGTGCAGTACAGGACCATCAGGAATCACACCAAGCACTCCAGCACAGGAAGCAGGTCAGCCAAGTCTACTGAAAGATGGGCCAAACCCATGCCCCAAACCTGAGCACTGAACAGCTACGACATTAAATCCAAATACTCCTTTTTAAATTTAATTCCTACCTCTAAGACACAACCTCTCTCTTTAGTGGGTTTTCATTTAAGAAAAGATACAAAACCAAAATATGAAGAACATCTTTAGAAATGAAATCGTAAAAACAAGGAATTATAAATTTCATGTTCTGTGGCTTTATAACAATTACAAGTTTTATTATGTATGTATGACCCAGAAGCATTTGCCTTACCTTAAAGGTGTAAACACATTCTCTTGCCATCGAATTGCCAGAAATGTTAACCTCAGGCATTCCCCAGAATAAAAGCTAAACGCACAGAGGCAGCAGTCACCAAACAGCTGCAAATAAATTAAATACCCTTTAGTATATAATTAATCTGGAAATTAAAATTAAGACAAAAGCATGTAAATATTTTTAATTATAAATAAAACAAATGAAAAATACAAGGTTCTTGCCTGTATACCAAAAAACATTTACTGTGCAAAAACTGCATGGATTTCAAAATTTTATGTACCAAAAAGAGTCCTAAAATTTCATTTTCCATGAATTTCATAAAGAATCAGTATGCTTTTATTCTTAATAATAAGGATAAAATATTTTTTGAGCCAGAAGCCTGTCCCAGATAGAAAAGCAGACTTCAGTTTAAGTTCTAAGAAAAAAAAAAGCCACAGTAAATGCTATTTTTTTTATTGGAAAGGCAGATATACAGAGAGGCAGAGAGGAAGATCTTCCATCCAATGATTCACTCCCCTAGTGACCACAATGGCCGGTGCTGCGCCGATACACAGCCAGGAACCAGGAACTTCCTCCAGGACTCCCACACAGGTACAGGGTCCCAAAGCTTTGGACTATCCTCGACTGCTTTCCCAGGCCACAAGCAAGGAATTGGATAGGAAGCAGGGCTACCAGGATTAGAATCGGCCCATATGGAATCCTGGCGCATTCAAAGAAGGGACTTTAGCCACTAGGCTACCATGCTGGGCCTGTGGCTTTTTTAAAGATGTTTTTGTTTTTACTGGAAAGATGGATTTATAGAGAGAGACAGAAAGCTCTTTCATCTACTGGTTCATTCCCCAAATGGCTGCAATGGTCAGAGTTGAATGGATCCCAAGCTGGGAGTCAAGATCCTCTTCCAAGTCTTCCACATGGGTGCAGGGTCCCAAGGCTTTGGGTCACCCTCCCACGTTTTCCCAGGTGATAAGCAGGAAGCTGGATGGGAAGTGGAGCAGCTAGGACAAAAACATATAGGATGCTGGTATATAAGGCAGAGGATTAGCCAGCTGAGCAATCACACCAGCCCCTACTGTGGCTTTAACTGGAAGAAATGTATTTAATATTGCTTCTTAGTAATTTTATACCAAGTTAAGGCATTACCCCAAGAAGCAAGGGATATAATTAATGTTCAAATTTCTAACAACAGATTATAAAATGTACTCAAAGAATATCAAGCAACTATGAAAAAATTTGTTTATTTAATGAATCTCTTATTTATTGGGAATTCAGTGGCTCATTTAATACTGTATCACTGATCTTAACATATCAGATTACTAAACAACTTATACTTTTAAGCCAAGAAACAAGAAAGGGTCAGACTGTAGCACCGTGGGTTGAGCTGCCACTGCAAGCACCTGCAACACATGAGTGCCAGCTGCAGACATGCGGAGAAGGAGCCACGGGAGGAAAGATGGAGTATCGCCATCTCTGTCACTGTGCTTTTCAAATAAATCTCTCTTGTAAAAAAAAAAAAAGTTCTAAGTTCAAAAATCGACCTCTTTTTTAAGAATGTGATCCGAGAGGCCAGCACTGTAGCCCAGCAAGTTAAGCTGCTGCCTGCTGCAATTTCAGCATCCCACAGACACCTGTTCAAGTTCTGGCTGCTCCACTTTCAACCCAGCTCCCTGCTCATGTGCTTGGCACAGGATGGCCCGAACGCTCACACCTGCACCCACACGGGATCCCTGGAGGAAGCTCTCTGCTCCTCTTGGTCTGATCCCACCCCGACCAAGACTGCTTCGAGGGTGAACCAGCAATGAACGCAGATCTTTGTCAAATCAATAAAAATATTTTTTAAAATGTGATTTAAGACATAAAAACATCTTTTGTATCATTATATAATTATCATGACAGTTAATGGTAACTACTAACAGCCATACCATTACACTCTTCTGAAAAGATCCACACAGGGTGTCTTTCCTTACGAGACTTTCAATTCCCATAACATCCTCTCCGGTTTGGATTTTACCTCATTTTTAACAAAGACAGCATTCACTACAGCTTCCTTATCTTCAGGGGAAGGCAAAATAACTGCTTCTTCAGGTCTGATCTGGGACCATCGACCCACTAATGAAAGGCTTTTACAAGAGAAGATAGTCGGTGATTCCAAATACTCCCAGAGAAAAACGCATCCAGAGAGCGTTACAAGCAGAATTCTTTTCCCATTTCCAGACACATACAAGTACAATCTGAAGGAGCATGCTGAAAAAAAAAAAAAAAAAAACAACTTCTGAAGTCTAATTTCCCACAAGGAAGTAAGTATCTTCTCTCAATTTAAAACAAGACACCCACTGACATTACATTCAGGATGTCAACACTAAGAAATTAGCAATAAAAAGTGCGAATCGTAGAATCACTTATCAAATACTTATTACTTGATATCAAGAATCCATTGCTATCACAGGAATGTTAAACAGGCCAGACTGTCCATCTTTAAGCTCCATCTAGGTAACACAGCTAAATACCCCACACATTTTTTGGAATCTACACAGAAATAACACAGGCATACATACAGACACAGTTTGAAAACAGTGACAGGGAAATGCTTCTGCATCTTTTTCTCCTATTTCTCCTGGTTAAGCCAATTTAAATAAACAAATTCTTACCTACAGTAGCTTTAATTATTTCTTTAGGTTTTTCAGCGACTTGTATGGTTTTCAAACAATCTTGATCTTTGTTCCAAATAAAAAGGTCCCCTGTAGCGAGTGCCCCAGCCAGCCAGGCAGCTGTTTCCAGAAATGAAATACAATTTTTATAATCTAACATTTCTCTCAATGTTACCTTAAAGTGTTAAACTTCTCCTAGCCTTCTGAGAATCTCTGTATTACTTCACCATTACTAGAGGTTGTCAGGGCAGTGACATCCTTCAACACAGGCTGTACACTCGGAATCTTCTTCTTCGTCCTTCCTGAGAGCAGATTAATTTCATTTATGAATTTATCATCCAACAGAAAAACAGCTTCATTTTCCTTAAAAAAAAAAAAGTGACAACCTTAAGAGACCCCAGAAGTTAATTTAATGTATTATCTAAATTACTCTAGAAAGGAAGATAATATAACCTTTAAGACTATACCACTTGTACCACTAATTGTACCACTAATCATAAGATAAGGCTGATATTCTAAAGTAACTTAGAAACTGTTCTTTTAACAGGCTAATCTTCTGCATGTGGCGATGGCATCCCATACAGGGTTCTAATTCTAGTTCTGGCTGATTCTAGTCCCAGCTGCTCCACTTCCAACCCACTTTTCTGTTTAGGACTTGGAAAGCAATGCAGGATGGCCCAAAGCCTTGGGACTCTGCACCCGTGTGGGAGACCCAGGAGAAGCTCCCGAGTCCTGGATTTAGAGCAGCTCAGCTCTGTCCATTGCAGATATTTTGGGAGTGATCCAGCAGATGGAAGATCTTCTCCTGTATCTCCCCTTCTCTGTAAATCTGCCTTTCCAATCAAAATAAATTTTTGTAAAAAAAAAAAAAATACTAAGGGGCCCGGCGCGGTGGCGCAAGTGGTTAAAGGTCCTTGCCTTGCACGCCCGGGGTCCCATATGGGCGCCGGTTCTAATCCCGGCAGCCCCGCTTCCCTTCCAGCTCCCTGCCTGTGGCCTGGGAAAGCAGTCGAGGACAGCCCAAAGCTTTGGGAACCTGCACTCACGTGGGAGACCCAGAAGAGGCTCCTGGCTTCGGATCGGCATAGTATCGGCCCGTTGCGCTCACTTGGGGAGTGAATCATCGGACGGAAGATCTTCCTCTCTGTCTCTCCTCTCTGTATATCCGCCTTTCCAATAAAAAATAATAAAAATAAATCTTTAAAAAAAATACTAAGTAAGATGATCTAATCATTGCAGTTAAAATTCTTTGAAGTGTAACAATATATGAATATATTCCAATTTGGGGCTACCTGTGGTTTGATCTCTCACTGATTTTTGTTAACAGCACTACAGGCAAGTTTTTGAACTATTTACTGTGGGGCAGACATTTGACACAGTTTGTTAAAATACCACTTAGGATGCCATACCCCTATCAGAATGTCTGAGTATATACTCAGAGACCCGAGTAATTCCAGTTTCCTGCTAATGAGTGCTTTGGGAGGCAGTAGATGATGACCCAGTTACTTGGGTCTTCAAAAACCACATGGGAAACATGGATTGAATTTCAGACTTAGCATCACTCTGCCACAGACCTAGCTTCTGCAGGCATTTAAGCAGCAAATACATACAAATCTTAAAAAGAAATTCAAATTATGCAAGCAGTTGGGTATCCTGGTTAAGATGCTTCTTGTGATAATCAGAGGGCCTGGGCTCAAGCCTTGGCTCTCCATTCTAGCTTCCTAATAATTTGCACCTCAGGAGGCAGGTGATGCTGAAGTGTAAGACCTGGATGGGGTCTCGGCTCTCAACTTTGGCCTGGGCCTGCCCTAGTGGTTGCAATCAAATGAACCAGTCAATGGGAAATCTCTTGTACTTGTCATTCTCTCACTCTTTCAAATAGAATGAATTTTTAAAAAATTAAATAAAACTTATCCAGAAGCCAGTATTGTGATGCAGCATGCCAAGTTGCTGCCTGCAACACAGGGGTCCATATAGATGCTGGTCTTAGTCCTGGCTGCTCCACTTCTGATCCATCTTTCTGCCCACGTGCCTGGGAAAGCAGCAGAGGACGGCCCAAGGAGTTGGGCCCCTACACCCAGATGGAGACCAGAAAGAATGGCCTGGCTTCAGTCTAGCCCAGGTGTGACTTTTGCAGCCTTTTGGGGAGTGAGCCATGTGACAGAAGTTTTCTATCTCTGCCTTTAACTCCACCTTTCACATAAATAATATCTTAAAAAAAATGATCCAAATGCATATCAGAGCTACCAAACTGGAAACTTCAGGAGCAGGACCCAGCTGTCTTTTCATAACCTCCACAAGTGCTTCTGATGAAACTTAGTTTGAGAACATCTTTCCCAGGGTAGGCTAACTGAAAAATTTCTTACAGTAAGCTATATAATCTCAATAATCATTATCCAGATTGTAAGAGGATTTTACAGGCTTTCCCACTGTCCCTAAGGTGAAGAATTCCCAGATATCATGTGTGCCATCACTGGATAATCAATATTGTGACTATCTCACCTCTCCCAGATATAAGGATGCTTTCGGGCAGGCACTATGGTGCAGTGGCATAAGCTTCCACCAGTGATTCCGGCATCCCATATGGGTGCCAGTTCACGTTCTAACTGCTCCACCTCCCACTCCCTGCTAATGGCCGGGGGAAAACAGCATCAGATGGCCACGGTGTTTGGGCCCCGGCTATACCCATTAGAGATCTACAGAAACTCCTTGCTCCTGGCCTCAGCCTGGCCAGCCCTGGCTGTTGTAGCCATCCTGCGAGTGAACCAAGGATGAAAAAGCCCTGTCTCTCCCTTTCTCTGTGAACTCTGTCTTTCATGTAAATAAATCATTAAAAAGAACACACAGGAAAACCACCAGGGTAGGCATATACTACCTATTCCAGCCGAGAAAAATTAAGATTAAATAATCCTTTTTAATATATGCCATCCCAAACCCCAATGTACTTAAACACATGGGGGGAAAAAAAAAAGACCTTTTTTGGAAAGCAAGGTGTTCTACAAGAAAGAAGACTTTACAGGAAAACCTGGGCTAATTAAACCCTGCCCACTGGACCAATAATCCTTATAGTGATAAGGCTTCATTTCTTTCTTTAAAGCCACAGAACATTGCTACATCTTACAGACAAACTCACATTTAACACATATAAAACCAGTATTGTCTGCATGAAGAGAAACTTACCTGTCCCAACCAGGAGACTCGTGGCCAAGGTTTCTTCTGTTTGATACTTGTTGATGTTAGAACTTCTAATTTGATCTCCATGCTTCAGATACGAATCAGGTAAAACCACTCACATGATGCTGCCGAATGGATAGCAATTATCAACAGCCCATATTTAGTTAGCTCTTAATTTAGAAATTCCCAATGCTTGATAAATCAACGGCTTGATTTAACTCATTTTTACATGACTGTCAATTATCTTCCGTACCTCATTCTGAACAGGAAGTAAAGACAAGTGAAACAGAGAAGGATCTGGATGGTTTCTATAGAATCTGCCTTGGTGTGGCACACTGTGTTACTCAAGGACAGCCACACCACCTCCCACTCCATACACACTCAGGGTGACCAGCACTTCTCCTACTGAATACTGTGCTCTCCGCCTCCTCCCATGAAATAAGAAATCTGACTACTCTGATTCAGTGTGTAACAGCACTGATGTTATGTATTTTCCAAAACTGAATCATAAAAGGTAATGTAGCAGCAGCAATTCAGAACTGTTGAACTATCAAAACCACTTGAGCAGTGCTCTGGGAGCAGGCCCCATGCCGGGGACCCTGGGATGGGTGGGAGCTGGGTGGGATTTCTCCCTTTATCTCCCCTCTTGTCGCAGAAACAGAAAAAGACCTTACCCCTGACCAGAGGGGGAAGAAAAGTCTTTCCAGAAGTTTTTCAATATAAACACACATGGTCAGGTAGATCAAGGTTAATGACAGTTACAAACACCTCAGGAGACATTAACCTCTGTACACGTGTCAGCTTGTTTAATGCACTGACCTCTGCTCACTCCCTAATGCCTGCACCAGCCCAGGCTACACCAGCCTGAAGCCAGGATCCTGGAATTTCATCCAGGTCTCCCAACCTGGGTGACACAGGCCCAGGTACTCCGGCCCATTAGCTGCTGCTTTCCCAGACACATCGCAGGAAGTTGGAGTGGAAATGATGAGTAGCTGGGAAGTTAGGCACAGCCTAAACCCCTGGGTCATAGCACATACCCCATATCACCCCCATTTTATAGATGAGGCACAGAATTAAGAAACTGACCCAAGGTCACTCTCTGTAAGTCAACTGACTTAGCCAGAATTCAAACCCAGGCTGTCAGCTACCCAAACTTCACCTGCCACACACAGAGTACAAAAGGATCCCTGGGGAAGATAAAAACCTATTTAGGCTGAGTCACAGAAAAACACCAGACACTGACATTGTTTTCCCTAGGGTGAATTTCACGACCTAGGATACATTCATTTGAGGGGGTGGCAGGTGTATAAACTCCGAAATAAAATCCCATCAACAAAGGGGGGTAAAAAAAAAAAAAAAAAAAGGTAATGCAGCTTGCTCCCTGGAATAACTCACAAAGCCCTCAAGCTCACTGTTATCTATTCAAACTGCCCTCACCCCAAAAATGATTTAAAAAAAAATGTATAAACTAGTGCTAATCAAGAAGCATCCCTGGTCCTGGTGTGATGGCCCATGACTAAATCACCTGCAACCACCACGATCCCACAACTGTATCGCTAGACACCCCAGCTGCTTCACTCCGGCAGAGGACGGCCCAAGGCCTTGGGACCCTGCACCCGCGTGGGAGACCTGAACAAGCCTCTGGCTCCTGGATCCAGACAGACTTAGCTCCTGCCATTGCAACCACTTGGGGGTTGAATCAGTGGAATGGAGGATCATTTTGTTTCTCCTTCTCTCTGTAAATCTGCCTTTCCAATGCAAATAAAATCTTTGGGGGAAGAAAAAAAAAAGCATCCCTAGAGGATCAGCATGATGATGTGATAAGTCAACCTGCTGGGTCCAGTGCAGTAGTCTAGCAGCTAAAGTCCCTGCCTTGAATGCACTGGGATTCCATATGGGTGCCAGTTCTAATCCCAGCAGCTCCACTTCCCATCCAGTTCCCTGCTTGTGGCCTGGGAAAGCAGTCGAGGACGGCCCAAAGCCTTGGGATCCTGTGCCTGCGAGGGAGACCTGGAGGAAGCTCCTGGCTCAGGATTGGCTCAGTCCTGACCATTGCAGCCACTTGGGGAGTGAACCATTGAACGGAAGATCTTCCTGTCTCTCCTCTGTATATCTGACTTTCCAATAAAAATAAATCTTAAAAAAAAAGTAAGTTAAGCTGCCACCAGCAACACTGGCATCCCACTGCCAATGCTAATTCAGGTCTCTGCCACTCTGCTACAGTTCTCACTTTGGTCTGACCCAGCTCTGACTATTTCAGAGTGAATAACCAGACAAAAGACCCCTCCCTCTATCAGACTCTCAAACTCTGCCTTCCAAGTATTGTTTAAAAACAGTAATTTTTAAAACAATATTTAAAGTGGCAGCTCTGGGGTGGGTTACAGTTGCTACCCAAGATTGCATATCGGCATGCCTACGACCAGACCTGCCCGTTCCCAATTTCAGCTTCCTAACGCGGACTCGGGGGTCCTTACAACCCAGGAGGGAAACTGGACAAAGCTTCAGGCTATTGGTTTCAGACTGGTCCAGCCAAGCTGTCGTAGGCACTTAAGGACAAAACCCGTCTTTCAAACATACTAAGCACACAGAAAATTCAGCATTAAAAGTTTGTTTTGGTACAAAAAACTCGAAAACCTCCATAGTTTGGTCATAATACAGTTATAAAACTTGGGGGATGGAGGCTTGGGGATTTTTTTTTCAAATTATTCTGCACTGAAACAAGCTTATAATTCCACTTGACATATCCCATTGTGAAAGGGCGGGCCGGGAAGACATGGCTTGGGACACACTCCCTTCGAGCCTCTGGGATCGAGTCCTTGTTCCACTTCCAACAGTCAGCTTCCTGATGATGCAAACCCTGGAGGCAGCAGGTACTTTGGACCCTGCTTCTCAGGAGGGACATTCAGATGGACTTCCAGAACCCTGCCTTCAGCCTGGACAGGCCTCAGCCCTTGTATTTAGGGAGCTCTCTGATGCCTGCTCTGCCTTTCAGATAAGCTAACTGAATAACATATACACTTCCGCATAACTTTTCTAATTAATATGTTAGAGGTTAAAAAGAAAAAAACCACCTACTCCACCTTCCCATTTCTCAGAACTCTTTACCAGGTGGTCCGTGAATTCCTGGTATGAAGACTTGGTGAACACCGTCTCAGAACTCTTAAAAACACCTTTTGGGATGAAGCAAAGTTGGTTTGCTGCTATATACGTAACTGCCTCTCAAAACATTAACGCTTCTTATATATAAGAAACAAACACAAACACATAAAATTAGCCTAAGGAAAATAAACTCAGGGATTCCCCACCTCCCCCCACAAAAAAAAAAAGTTAGGAAGAATAAAAGCGTATATCTACCTCGCCCCAAAAAAGGTAACAAGATTTTTTTTTTTTGGTGATAAACTCAATTTCACAAGAGTCATTAAAGCTCGGCGCTTCCACCGCTCACAAGCCCGGCACATCACGCCCTTTCCTCAGCGCTCAACGGATCCCCAGATCACCAGTGGGGGTGATGTCAGAAGCTTCCAGGAGGCAAGAGCCTTGCGCCCGTCATCCCGAGAACACGTCTGAGGTGCCCGGGTACCGCCCGGGCACTGGAGCACCCGCGAACGCGGCGCACCTGGACCCGGACCACGCCAGCCTGAGGACGACCCCTCGAGGACCCCAGACCCCGTCAGCCTGCGTGTGCCCCGGCGGTGGCGGCACAAAGCAGCGGGACGAGCCTAACGGGAGGGCCGGGCTGAGGAACGGCCGGGTGCGCTTGGCGCGGGAAGAAGCAGGTCGCGGCCGTGCTCGGTAGAGGGATGTATGGAGAGGGCCGAGGCCGCTCAGGGACGGATGGCGTGGGCAGAAGGGCCGGAGTGCGTGGGGGGAAGAAACCTGCGAGCAGTTACCTCCTCCGGGGCCGAGTCCACCCCACGCCGGAAAGGCGCGGCGAGGAAACTGGACCGAGCAACGGAGCCGCGCGCCCTGGCGACGGCGGAGGGCGGGGAGCGGCGCGGGCGCTGCCAGGGCGCCTGCTCCAGGCCGCCGGAAGCGCGGGCGGGAAGCCGGCGCCGGCTTGTTCCCTCCTCCCGCTGCCTCGCGCCTCCTCCCAATCCTTCCCTCAAGAACCCGGCGCCCTCGGTTTGGTCGCCTGGAACCCGCGCCGCCCTCCCCTCGCCCGTCAGGCACTCAGTATTCGCCCCAGGGCCCCTCCTGTTTGGAGTTGCTGGTCTTAGCAGGGAACTGATAAGTACTTAACGGGACGTTGCGTCCCTAGCGGAGATCTCCCCACACACAGACCTTGAGAAGGGTGTACACTGCCCTCCGTGTATCTGGCAGGCCACTCAGAACCCCGAGGGAGCAGTACCCGCCCTCCTAGGAACTGATTTACTACACTGCTCTGCCTCCTGCAAGGGATCACAGATGGGCAGCCCGAGTTTCGTGTCTGGCCTGGAAGAGCGTTTTGGCGTAGCGGTGTCCTGCTCCCGATTCTCCGTGCACCATCCTCTTCCCAAGTCGTCGTTCTGTTAGCCTGGCTGTCGAAGGCGTTACCTTATTTATACTCTTCTTTTGGCCCAGCCCCTTCCAATGGAGCATTCATTTTAGTTAACCAGCGACTCCTGCAGGTATACTCCCAGCTGTGTAGCATGAAGTTGCAGCTGGGTAGCACTAACGTCTCAGCACCGAGCTCAATATTGTGGTTCATGAACTTCTTGTTTAAATCTTGCTAGAATTACCACAACTCTCAAGCAAAAAAAAAAAAAAAAAAAAAAAACCTGAGGGGCGAAGAAATTCTGACCTTTCCCTCACAAGTCTGTATTTCCATTTCTAGGTCTTAAGATGTGAAAAGTAAAAGAATACCTGTTAGAAGGACCCCTTTTGCAGGTAAGAATAAAATGCACATTCAGCTAAGGTTTTTCCTTTTTGTTCTTTTCTCCCACCTCCGTGACTCCTTACAAGAACTCTTCGTATCTTAGAGATTCATAAGAACATACCATCCCGTATCACACATGTCCTACCCCTGAATGTGTTCTGACTGGCAACCCCAAGACCTTCAATATACAACTGCCTCTTTGAGCTTCTCAAACCCCAAGTATTCAAAACAAATTTTAAAAACCTCTGACCCATATCCACCTGCTGCTTGTTGAGACACTGTCGTTTCAATGTGATGTAAAACTTTGCAAATCAATCTTGGTTGTCCCACATACCTTGGACCTCTGTCTGTCTGCCATGGGTTGTGATTTTGTTATGTGGCTAATGGATTAATTGATGTAATTTGGGTTTTGGTTGTTTAATACACTTCTTGAGTCTTTTAAAATGTAAGGGGTAGGCAGTTAGCCCAGCAGTGTTCTCATCCTTTATGGAGTGCCTAGATTCCCAATGTGGCTCTCATTTGCATCTAATCTAAGGCAGACCCAGGCGGGCACCAGTGATGGCTCCAAGTGATGGGGTTCCTGCCACCAACAAGAGACAGTGGTTGAATTCCCAGCTCTGAATTTCTGTCTCTCTCCGTGTGAGTGTATTAAGTAAATAAAAGATGGGAATGTGGGTTAGCTTTCTGCTGCTACAGCAAAAATAAGTAAGGCAACAGCCAGAGATGAGCTGATCCAAAGCCAGGAGATTTTTCCAGGTCTCCCACACAAATGCAGGATCCCAAGGCTTTGGGCCGTCCTCTACTGTTTTTCCAGACCATAAGCAGGGAGCTGGATGAGAAGTGGAGCAGCTGGGATATGAACCAGCACCCACATGGGATCCTGGCACATGGTAGGCGAAGACTTCAGCCAGTAGGCTCCTGTGCTGGGCCTCTAGTCAAAGTTCTTATTGGAGATTTGAAGGCCGGAAGTGAAGCAGCAACTGTTTTGAAACTCACACACTTGGTCTTGCAGGCTTACCAACTGTATCCTAGCCTACGTGGTTGCTATGAGACAGAGTCAGGGCTTGGATCTGCTCCAGCTTCCCTCTGAGGCTCTTTCAGCCTCCATCTCCTGGCAGGTGCAAGTCTTTAGCTCCATGAAGACCCTAAGCATCTGCAGGACAACCGAGTGGAGAAGCAGTGAGGACTGATGTGTTAGTCCACCATCAAAAGCTCTGGCTCATTCGGGTGGGTCACATTCCATCCATACTCTGAATCTGCTGCATCTTCTCTTGCAGCCTGACTGCATTTGAACTTCAAGTTCCAGCATCAAAACTGATAATATATACTGTACATTTATTTTACTTACTCATACAAAGACTAAATAGACTAGAAAGCTGAAATTATGAGGTAGTAATATTCAATTCATTACACATTATTATAAGATTAAAGGAGAAATAGAGCTAAATTAGAAAATGTGGAGCTCTGGGTTCTGTAAAAAGACAAACTAAGAAAAATTATTTTCTAAATACACTTAAAAATTATGAATCGGGCAATAGTGACAATTAGTAAAAGGCAATTATTTTCCCAAAAGAAGTGAAGGAGTTCAACTTTTACCTTTTTGTTGATCATAGTCATTGCCACTCTCCTCCTTCCTTGTTTATAAGTCACTTGGCTTAGTTATTTCAAAATCGTTAAAGACTGATCAAAAACAACATAACTAGGAATTTTGCTTTATTCTTGCCGTTGTGTAGCTTGGGTAACCCTTGTATATTGTGGTACCGTGGAGCAGGGAGGAGGCATCAGATGGGAAGTTGAAATCAGCAGCATCTTTCACAAGGATGATTTTCAAACTGGACAAGTACCAGAATTCCCTGGGGGCTTGTTAAAACTCTGAAGTTTTTGACTCAGCAGGTCGGAGGTGGGACCCCATGTGATTCTGACACTACTGTTTTGAAGCACACACTTGGAATGGCGTCGGTGGACTCAGTAGTCAGGAAAACAAAGAGCAGATACGGGAAGAACCTCCTCGCAGACTTTCAGGACACAGAACATTACTTACAAGTTTATCAGATGTTCAAACATGTATATATCAATCTTCAAAGAAAAAAATTGTAAAGACAGTTATATGCCTACTGACGCACGATTTAAACCATGGTTTTAAAATACTTTTATCCTTAGGTTAAGCTCTTAGTATTATTACTATTTTGAAAGATTTGTTTTGTTTATTTGAAAAGCAGAGTTATATAGGACAGGTGAGACAGAAATTTTCCATTTGCCAGTTCATTCTCCAAGTGGCTGTGCCAGACAGAAGCCAGGAGAGCCAGGAGCTTCTTTTGGATGTTTCTTGTGGGTTCAGGGGCCCAAGGACTTAGGCTATCTTCTGCTGCTTTCCAGTGTGCACTGGGAGAAGTGGAGCCCTAGGGACTCAAACTGGAACCCTTGTGGGAGCTGGAATTGAGGTGGCAGCTTTACCTATTATGCCAAAACACCAGCCCTATTTCAGTTGATTTTTCAACCCAATTATCAGGGCAAGGGGGAAAGTGATAATAAAAAAAGAAGTCATTTGACAAATGCATTATTTGTAGACATTAGTCAGTTATTTAAAAACCCATTTCTATTAAAACTCTTCTTAAAATCTTAGAACATTTAGTGTGTGGACACAGTGTTTATTTTACAGATCAAAATGCACATATGAAATTACATCACAGTATTAATGAAGCCGTTCCAATTTGGCCTGAAGAGACTTGAAATTGCCCGTGATGGCTTGTACTGCTGTTGAAGAGCTCATAGACTGGAGCTCAACCAGGTAGCCACACACGGCATCCAGACAGAGGTTGGTGAATCTTCTCCTGTGAATGAAGACACTTGGTTAACTTACTATAACTTATAAACATTTCCTTTTAAAGGCTTCTTCCCCTCCAACTTCTGCTAAATCTTACTTAGAATTCCACAGAGGTTAAGGACTACATGACTAATTAAACGGCAACTGAATGAAAATAAAGAAAAAAACTTCATAATAAACTCACAATATGATAGAACTTATAATATCACACAAACAGAATATCATGATTATAGATGATTAATTGAAATATACTTCTTCCTATATTCTCCCCCAAAATGCTACCAAGGTATTTATTACAGGTGTTTAAACACTGTTCCAAGAATTCAACATTTAATTTATATTTACCTCTCACAATTTAAGACGTGGCTAGGATTCTCAACATATTTTGTCAACAGCACATGTATACAGTCCAAAAGGTGCAGTGGTTTCTTCATTCTGTTCCAGAACGGATCCTGGCAAAGACATTACCTAATGAATTGGAAGCCTAATGGTATCAGCTGATCTTCCTTTTTAAAGATTTCATTTATTTGAAAGGCAGATTTACACAGAAAGAATGAATGTTAAAATTTCTTCTCTCTGCTGATTTACTTCTCCAAATGGCTGCAACAGTCAAAGCTGCGCCAGAAGCCTGAAATTCTGTCAAGGTCTTCCATTTGGGAGAAACCCAAATATTAAAGAGTCCTCTGCTGCTTTCCCAGGCATGTTAGCAGGGAGGTGGATTAGAAATGCAGTAGCTAGGACTCCAAGTAGCACACACATGTGATATTAAAGTCACAGGTTGCTTAACTGGCTGTGCCATGACATGGCCCTAAACTGATTTTCAACTATTTATGTTAAAGTAGTCATTAGGGTCTAAATGCCCATATGGGATTCCAATGTATGCAAGGCATCCAATGGTTCCCTTCCCAAGTGGCCGCAATGGCTGGAGATGAGCCAATCTGAAGCCAGGAGCCTCTTCCGGGTCTCCCATGTGGGTGCAGGGTCCCAAGGCTTTGGGCGTCCTCTACTGCTTTCCCAGGCCACAGGCAGGGAGCTGGACAGGAAGCAGGGCTGCTGGGATTAGAACTGGCACCCATATGGGATCCAGGCGTACTCAAGGCGAGGACTTTAACCACTATGCTATGGTGCCAGGACCATATACTAGTAATTTTTAAACTTCCATTTTAATCTTGATATACAACAGTCTAACTCTCCGTTATCAGTTTCAAAAAGTCTGGAGTATAACTTTCAAAACTTGACCAAAGTAACAAATCTGTACTACAACTCCCACTAGACTGAGTGATAAGGTACTTAGCCAATTAAACTACCTGACTTTATCCAGAAAGTCATTTTATTATTAAATGAAAGTTTTTTTTTCTTCCAGAAGATTTATTTTATTATCTTTAGCAGTTTATAGTATTCAAATGAAGTTTTACATAACTTCATGCATTTTAGGATAATCAAAACAGACTTATAGCTCTAACAAACCATATATTAACAATTGCAGAGTAAAACAGTCTTAGGCAGGCGCACAGAGAAATCTCCAATAACTTAGCTAGTGAGGAATACCTGCACGTTGCATCCTACCTAGTGAGGTCCAGGAAAACCCAAGCTGATTTTTCTCGACTGTTCTAAGCTTTCTATATTAGTCTCTCTCTGCCTATCTGAGCTAATTTTGGAACTCCGGAGCGACCCTGATGGTCAGTGCAAGAGAGGATTGGGGGAAGGCGGGCAAGATTGGAACTAGGTAAGGACCACAGATAGCTCCTCTCCTGAGTCCAGAAGCAAATTTACAATTCTCCTATCTCTGAGGACCACCCGGGGCTCTCGGCTGTTGTTCTGATGTCATTAGGCCCTAGCAGGGTTCTGAGCTGCTTCAATCACATGTGGGAGATCTGATAGGGAATGGCTGACATAAGAGTTCCCTGTGATCTCCTTGGCAGTCAGGATATGGTCCTTGTTGCCCATACTGACAATCCTTCATGAGATATCCACTGAAAAGTTTTATTGTATTTCATATTTTCCTTACCCGTGATTTGAACAGCTGATCATAGACTTCCAGGAGTCGAGGTAATGGCACTCCAATCTCATTCATCGTCTGTATTACAAAGCCCACATCCCAGTTCAAAGTACATACTTGCTGCTCTAAGAATTGTACTATGAAATCTAGAAAAGGAAAAAGATCAAACCTTACAATTATTTTTCTGTTGAAACAGCTACAGAGAAAGAACGCGTTCTTCAGTCTCTGGGTTCACCCTTCAGATAGCAACAATGGCTAGGGCTCGGTCAGGCCAAAGCCATGAGCCAGGAGGTTCATCCGGGTCTCCCACATGGGTGGCAGGACCCAAACACTTGGGCATTCTCTGCTGCTTTTCCCAGGACATTAGCAAGGAGCTGCCGGATTAAAACTGCAGCAGCCAGGGACACAAACAAGAGCCCAGACGGGATGCGGGATGCCTGCACTGCATTCAGTGGCTTCACTCACTAAAATATAACACCAGACCTAGAAATTACCTCTTGATTATAAATAGAAGGTCTAATTCAAAATTAAGTAGGGTGAAACCTTCTTAGAAACAATTATAAATAGAGACAGAAAGTAGAACAGTGGTGGCCTAAGCTTGGGGATAGGAAGAGATGAGAAATATAACCCGAGAAATATAACTAGGGCCCGACGTGGTAGCCTAGTGGCTGGGGTCCTGTCCTTGAACGTTGAACGAGCTGGGATCCCATATGGGGGATGGTTCTAATCCCAGCAGCCCCGCATCCCATCAAGTTCCCTGCTTGTGGCCTGGGAGGGCAGTGGGGGATGGCCCAGGGCCTGGGGACCCTGCACCCGTGTGGGAGACCTGGAGGAAGTCCCTGGCTCCTGGCTCCAGATCAGCACAGCACCAGCCGTTGTGGCCACTTGGGGAGTGAATCATCAGACGAAAGATCTTCCTTTCTGTCTCTCCTCCTCTCTGTGTATCTGACCTTGTAGTAAAAATAAATAAATCTTAAAAAAGGGGGGGTGGGGAAGAAGGGGAAATGGCATGGATGGTCCAATAGACGATCCTGTCTATAAGCACCAGGATCCCATATGGATGACGGGTTGTGTCCCGGATGCACCACTTCCCATCCAGTTCCCTGTTTGTGGCCTGGGAAAGCAGTGGTGGATAGCCCAAAGTGTTGGGATCCTGTACCAGATCAGCTCGGCTCTGGCCATTGGAGCCATTTGTGTGGTGAGCCAGCGGATGGGGATATTTCTGACTCTTGTCTCTGTAAATCTACCCTTGCAATAAAAATAAATATTTAACAAAATATTTAGTTTTTACCTTAAAGACAAAAAAAAGCACCCTGTAGCAAACACAGTGATGCAATGGGTTAAGACACCACCTGCAGTGCTGACCTGTGTGTGGGTTTAAGTCCTGACTTCTCCATTTTTGACCAGGCTCTCTACCAATGTGCCTGGGAAGGCAGAGGGAAACGGCCCAAGCACTCACGTGGGAGACTCGGATAAAGCGCCATGACCCTCGCCTTCAGTCTGGCCCAGCCCAGGCCTCTGTGGCCATTTGAGGAGTGCGCTATTGGAAGGACAATCTCTCCCTATCTTTCTTACTGTAACTCTTCCTTTCACTTATTAATATATGTCTGTGTATATGTAAATGTGCATACTATTTTATTTTTCTGATAAAATATTTTTCTGCTTTAATACTGAACCTACAAGAAAAAGTATCTAATTGTAACAGGGAGAAGGTCAGAGGCTGGGAGCTCTCCATCTGGACTGGTCTTAAATAAACAAACAAGTAAGACAAAATAATGCTGTATTTTGACAATTTTTATGTTTCTCAATATTTTTCAGAACACAAAAAGTCCATAATATTCTATTTCACAGATGGATCAATGTGTCATTCACTGTTTTATAACTGGAAGACATCGAAGGTTGGCAAAGGCCTCATAAAAGGAACCTATAACAATTACAGTCAGCTAAATTACATAGCAACAGAGTCACCATAAAGATTATTATTGTTTTTCATTTTTGTTGAAAACCATCAAAACCAAAATAAAACAATCAGTATCTACTTACTACTTACCTAGAGGAAAAAACCGAGGCGTGCCAGCATAGATCTTGCCAAGCAGGACAATCTTGAGGCTAAGCGCATGCATTCTGTCTGAGGAGCTCAACATTACACTGTCATTCAGTTCTGTAAAGAAACATGTCATTAAAAATCCAAAATACTTAAAAAGAACATGAGCTATTTCACTTTGCTTCAGTGTTCAAAATGCTTCAGGATAAAAAGTACTCCAGGACTATCATATCAACCTACTCAGCATATTTTGTTTCTGTGAGCATGATACATTTTCTATAACCATGCTACTGCTTGAGGAAGATGTGTTAGTATTCCTTATTAAGCAGTACAAAAGGAAAAAAAAAAAAAAGCACCCTTTTCACTGAGCATCTTCCCAATATTCAGGTACCAATATTCTTACCCCACCCAGATGTCCCAGACATTAACTTTATACTAAGGTAAAGATGACTTTCACGGACCTTATATATGTTCCTCACTAGTAGCTTGTGCTGCTCCAGTAAAGTCACTAAATGGTGTATGCTAATATGTGAATCAGCACTCACCTTTCTCTACAATATCTTGCCAAAGGGTCTGCACCAATATTGGGTCTGAGTAACCAGCACAATGAATTATTGCAAGTTTACACTCTGCAAGTTTAAAAGGGTCAGCAAATTCTCCATAAAGCTGTGGGAGAAAATCCAAAATTAAGCAACCACAGGTCAACATTTAGAAATCACTAATTAAGTACTCTTTGAAAACAACAGAAAAGCAGTGACATATATTTGATCTAGGAACTGCTCAGAGTGGTATAATGGGGGTGGCAAAGACACTATGGTGGAGTAAATAAAGCCACTCACTGTCTGCAGTGACAAAATCCCATATGGGTGTTGGTGTGAGTCCTGGCTGCTCCACTTCTGATACAGTTTCCTGCTAATGTGCCTGGGATAATAATAACGAGGTGCCGCATATAAGGGGTAGAAGAAGATTCAGGCCCAGCCTGGCAGTGACAGCCACCTGAGAGCCGGAGGGCAGAAGATCTTTCTCTGCTTCTCCCTGTGATACTTTGCATAAATAAGTAAATGAATATATGCGTGTAAATGTCTATATATATATATATACACACATATGTATATATATGTACACATACACACACATATATATGTATGTATGTATGTATGTATTTATTTAGTAAAAAAGACAGCTTCGGTTATGGCCTGGTCCAGCCCTAAACTAAGTCCCAGAGGGAGCAGGCATCCATCACACTCTACACTGCTGGATTAGTTTTTTTTTTTTTATAAAGACTTATATATTCTTATTATAAAGTCTGATATACAGAGAGGTGGAGAGACAGAGAGGAAAATTCTCCAACTGTTGATTCATTCCCCGAGCAGCCACAACAGCTGGAGCTGAACCTATCCAAAGCCAGGACGCCAGAGCCTCTTCCAGGTCTCCCATGTGGGTGCAGGGTGCCAAGGCTTTGGGCCATCCTCAACTACTTTCCCAGGCCACAAGCAGGGAACTGAATGGGAAGTGGGGCTGGCAGGATTAGAACCAGCATCCATATGGAAATTCAAGGCGTGGGCTTTAGCTGCTAGGCTACCATGCCAGGCCTGCTGGATTAATCCTTCCCAGGAAACTACAATACAAAATAGCAAGGAATGTTTCAATACTAAGCATTGAGGGGGCCTGGCATGACAGAGCATTTAAGGTCCTTGCCTTGAACGCACCGGGATCCCATATGGGCGCCGGTTCTAATCCCAGCTGCTCTACTTCCCCTCCAGCTCCCTATTGTGGCCTGGGAAAGCAGTTGAGGATGGCCCAAGGCTTTGAGACCCTGCACCCATATGGGAGACCTGGAAGGGGCTCCTGGTTTCAGACTGGCTCAGCTCCAGCCATTGCGGCCACTTGGGGAGTGAACCATCAGATGGAGGATCATCCTCTCTGTCTCTCCTCCTCTCTGTATATCTCACTTTCCAATAAATAAATAAAAATCTTAAAAGAAAAAGAAGACAGCAATGAAATAATTACACTTGCCAAATTAAATCAATTCATAAACAAGAGTTACACTTGCTTTTTTGTTATTACCTTAGTTATGTCCATTAGCTCAGAATCCAACTGAGAAACTGCATCCTGCACAGAAGAATGATGGGAATACTGCCTCTGTAGAGTTTCTTGTATTTGAAGTTGGATCCTGGCAACCTAGTTGGGGCAGAAAATAGAATCCTATGATATATCAGTAGGTACCTGAGGAGTGCCTACTAACACCTGATGTTAGGTGTTAACAAAGTCTTTATGTCCTGAATACTAATATCCTGAAAATCTAACATCTTTATCTAAGGGTGAAAATTAATAATAATGACTTCTTTAGAAAGCAAAATCACTACAGGCTGTGGACACAGCGCATGTGTCTCCAGCACTTGCCTCCATCTTCTCTTCTAACTCATGCAGGAATTCACCATCCGCAGCTATAGAGGAGATGGCAGTGGAGCTTTTGGCACTGAGGATGGCTCGAGCAATGTATTCCAGCCGCTGCTGAAGTGAAATTTCTGTGCTAAGAGAGAAAATCATATTTTTACATGATTTCTTAGGAAAGCAGCAATATGTCAAGCATTACTGTAAATCAAATGACTTTGAATGAAAATTTTATCATTTTTTTTTCCAAATAAATCTAATTGCTTAGTAAGACGGATTCACAACAAAGTAATTTTTTTAAAACATTTATTTATTTTCATTACAAAGTCAGATATACAGAGAGGAGGAGAGACAGAGAGGAAGTTCTTTCGTGTGATGATTCATTTCCCAAGTGACTGCAAAACAGCTGGTGCTGTGCCAACCTGGAGACAAGAACCTGGAACTTTCTCCAAGTCTCCTACACGGGTGCAGGGTTCCAAGGCTTTGGGCCATCCTCGACTGCTTTCCCAGGGCACAAGCAAGGAGCTGGATGGGAAGCAGGGCTGCCGGGACTAGAACTGGTGCCCATATGGGATCCCAGTGCATTTCAGGCGAGGACTTTAGCCGCTAGGCCATGGCACTGGGCCCACAACAAGGTAATTTTTATAATTATATACAGAAAGTAACTTCCTGCATGAAAGCTTTAGGTAACTATACTTAAATTCTATCAAAATAAAATTAAGGAAAATGTTATTACTACAATATATTCATATCTGTACCTTAATATAGGCTCTATAATATTTCATCTTCAATATTATATACAGTGACCACTTAAATATGAACTAAACTGGGGCTAAGCGCAATAGTCTAGTGGCTAAAGTCCTCAAACTGGGTGCACCAGGATCCCATACGAGTGCAGGTTCATATCCCAGTTGCTCCATTTCCCTTCCAGCTCGTCTCTGCTTGTGGCTTGGGAGGGCAGAAGATGACCAAAAGCCTCAGGGCCCAGCAACCATGTAAATGACAAGGAAGAAGCTCCTGGCTTCTGGTTTTACAACATCTCGGCTCTAGCCTGCTAATATTTTATAAAATTGACTTTGATATGATAGATTTATTTAAAAATCTCAATTATATCTAAACAGGAATCTTAAAAAGTTTCAATACATAGGTTTTAAGATCATTTCAGAAATTGAAGCTGAGGCAGAAGAAGACACTGCTCTGGGATTAATAAAACCTAACTATAAACCCTCTGAAACACAATCTTTCTGTTCATTAAAAATCACTGCCTGCAGCCAAAGGACAATGGCTCAACTGGCTAATCATCCCCCTTTAAGCATTGGAATCCCAATTGGGCACCAGTTCATATCCTGGCAGTTCCACTTCTCATCCAGCTCCCTGTTAGTGGCCTAGAAAAACAGAGGATGGCCCAAGTCCTTGGAACGCTGCACCTGCGCTGGAGACCTGAAAGAGGATCCTACGGCCTTTGGGTCTGCTTTGGGAATGAATTAGCTGATGGAAGATCCTTTTCTCTGTCTGTTTTTATTAATCTGCCTTCTCAATAAAAATAAATAAATTGTAAAAAAAAGAAAACGACTGCTGTGCTGTTACTAACAAAGACTCCAAAGACATACTCTAGGAGACAACTGATGACTTAAACAGCTAGATTTCTGCCACCCAGGGAAAACCCAAATTAAGATCTGGGCTCATGGTTTCAGACTGGCTCACCCTGGGTTGCTGCAGGGTGAACTATCAGATGGAAAATCTTTTTTTTTTTTTTAATTGGAAAGTCAGATTTTACAGAGAAGGAGATACAGCAAGATCTTCTATCTGCTGCTTCACTTCCCAAGTGGCGGCAATGGCTGGAGCCAAGCTGATTTGAAGCCAGGAGCTTTTTCCAGGTCTCCCACACAGGTGCAGAATTCTAAGATTTGGGGCTGTCTTTAACTGTTTTCCCAGATCACAAGCAGGGACGTGGAAGTGAAGTAGAGGAGCTGGGACACAAACCTGCACCTATATGGGATCCTGGCACAAGCAAGGTGAGAAGTTTAGCCACTAGGCAACTGTGCCGGATCCAATCTTTCTTAAAATACATAAAAATTGAAATAAAAAAGATTCACAAAATACTGAATAGAGAAGTTCTGATGAATATTCCCTTAGTGCTTCTCATATGTTTATAAAATTTAATTTAAAAATTAGGTAAATCTCAGTATAAGCGTAAAAATTCTACTGATGTATATGCAAACTAAATGCTTTATTTGTGAAATTCAGATGTAACCACACACCGTCAGTCTACACACGATCCTTCCAATGAGGGTATCTTACCTATGCATATCAGCCAATTTGGAGAGAACACGAGCTGCACTACTAAAGCTTCTGTTCTTCTCATAATACCTCCACAGTAAATCCATGTAACAGACTTTGTTTTGATCAACTTTGGCCATTCTAGCGAGATGTGGCTCCAGAAATGGAGAGGCAATCTGGAAATGGTATAGATGCACAAAAAAATGTGAACATTTTGTTGTTTATACGTAAAAAACATACTTTAAAACAACTACAATTTTGCTTTGCTTCATGAAATTAAAAAATCCAACATTAACAGATTTAAAAAGGTACAATTTTGTTTCAACAGTTAAAGGGAAATTAGACTAATAAACATTTACCACAGTATTAATCATATAGTAATTGATGACAAAGCTATTTATTTCTTGATTCTTGGTGTAAAGGTATCCTTTAAATTATCAGGTGCTCTGTATTTATTTCATAGGCTGAGAATTACTAAGTCGACAGTCAGAAGTTATATGTGAAATCACAAAGAAACAATGCTGGAGCTCATCCTAACCAGCACTCAAAAAGCAAGAAAAAGTGAGCAAGTGTCACCTTTGCCCCTCTGAAAGGACACACCGCTCAGCTGCACACTAATACCTGAAGGCAGGCAGAAGATGAGAGACTGAATTTCGAGGATATATGTGCTAAGATTATTGTATTATGCTACTTAAAAACATGAGCAGTATTTTTTTTTTTTACCTGTAACAGTTTATCTGCAAGGTCAGCTTGTATTAGCCAATTATAAAGAGCAATACTAAACAGCTCATCCTTCGATCGCTGAGCCAATTTAAGCATTTGTTCAAACTAAAAGAAAATAGCAAAAATTAGTATAGTTAAAAGCTCTGTTTCTGGACACTGTATCATTTTAGCCCCCACATATTCCAGTGCAAAATCAAGAAAAAAAATCTTCAAATGGTAGCTTTATCAACCCTCTTTCTCACTTGAACACAGAACTTCCAATACAGTATACTGCTATAGAATATGTCATGTTCCTTACATGATGGCCAGCTTCTTCATTACTCAGCATGTTGGGATCAGATGACAAAACGGGGGGACCTGGTTTTTTGGGTACACTGGGAGACTGAGGAGCAGCCTTGCTTTGATTTACCAGTTCTTGAAGTGTATCTGTAATGCATTTGTAACTGTTTAATCTGGAAAAGATTAGGAAAAGAATGATTATATTGCTAAACTAGAAACCAATGTGCTAACACTTTCAAATTTAAATAAAAAGAATTTAAGGTCTATTTTGAAGAATACATACAGTATGTATGCTATCAAAAATAATACAAATCAGGCTGGCCCTATGGTGCAATGAGTTAAGCCACTGCTTGCAAAGCCAGCATCCCATACTACAGCAAGGTCTGACTGCTTGTCATCCTTCCGATCTAGCATCCTGATAATATGCCTCACACAGCAATAGATGACAGCCCAAATACGTGAACCCTACTTGGATTCTCAAGATCTAGGTGCAGTTCCTGTGTCCTGGCTTTGGTCCAGCTTAGCTTCAGTCACAGTGAATGAATCAGCAGTGGAAGATCAGTGTCTATCTCTCCCTCCCTGTCCATCACTCTGCTTTTCAACTTAGTGAAAAAATCTTTAAATAGAAAACAATAAACATCACAAATTTTTTCAGCAACTTTGAGAAATGTTTGTTTGAACATGAGAATAAAATCATAAAAACATTAGCAAAACACATTATGTACTTTACAAATTCCTTTACTGACATACATTTTTTCAACGGTATGTATAAATTTATGAGAAGTTATAAATTATCATTTAAAGTAAAATACAAATGTTCATACTGAACAAGAAAGCAGTCATGTTATGAAAAGATAATAAAGTCTCCAAAAAACGACAATGGCAGGTTTAAAAATATTTATAAGCCAGGAAGATTTTATCAGACTAAAATTTTATTGCTAGGCTAAAAAATACAAAACTGAGAAAGAACAAGAAGTCATTTTGTAAATGAAAGAATAATTTTATTTTGGAATAATTGTACTGGAAATATTAATTCCCTCGTACTATAAATCAAAACTTCACACGCAAGTTAGTAGCTCTAAAGGTGTCATTCTGTTAAGGTAATAAAACCCACCTTTCTTGGAAAGCCTGCAGTCCAACTATGTCTTCTTCTGGTTCTCCATGTTTATAGAAATGAAGTCCAAGACCCTGAGGATCTTTTTTCTCTGCGGCAGTTAGGGAAAGTTCTACTACACCCTCATAAAAACGCACTAACGAGAGAAAAAGTACAAAGATTTTATTTAAAGCATATTACCAAATAATACTTTTTCTTGCGTGGTATATAAAAATAAGTCATGGTTATACCTCCATTTACAATAGTCACCAAAGTAATGACAGAAAGCATAAGACATGTTTTTTTTTTCTTTAAGATTAACTCCAAAGGCAGAGTTACAGAAAGAGAAGGAAAGACAAAAAGGAGATCATCCACCTGTTGGTTCATTTCCCAGATGGCTGCAACATCCAGAGATGGGCCAGTCTCCTGGAAACCAGGAACTTCTTTTGGCTCTCCCAATTGGGTGCAAAGCCCAAAGCCTTGGGCATCATCCACTGCTTTCCTATTAGCAGGGAGCTAGATTGCAAGTGAAGCAGCTGGGACTCAAATAGGCATCCATATGGGATGCCTGTGCCACATGCACAGGATTAGCCAGATATGCCACAATACTGACCCCAGGATTTTACTTTTAATTTAAATTTTTTTTTTATTTTGCCTGAAAGAATGAGAGAAGGAGAGAGATCTTTTAGTACTAGTTCACTACTCAAATGATCACAACAGCCAGAGCTGGGTTGATTCAAAGCTGGGAGTCAAGAGTTTCCGCCGGGTCTCCCACACAGGTGCAGAGGCTCAAGGACTTGGGCAATCCTCAGCTGCCTTCCCAGGCCACAAACAGGGAGCTGATCGAAACTGGAGCAGCTGGGACTCCAACCGGCACCCACATGTGATAGCAGCACCACGGGCTGAGGTGTTGGCCCCAGCAGCTAGAAATATAACTGGTGCTCACAGGGAATGCTGGAGTCACAAGCCGTGGCGTAACACAGCGTGCCACAGTGCTAGGCCCTTATAAAATATTTCTGATGGGGGACTGGTGCTGTGGTGTAGTGAGTAAAGCTAAAACTTGTGGCACAGTGAGTAAAGACATTGCTTGCTGCACCGGCATCCTATTTGGGTGCTATAGTTCAAATCAATGTGCTTGGAATATCAGAGGAAGATGGTCCAGGAACATTGACCATGGAATCCAAGTTGAGACCTGGAAGAAGCTCCTGGCTCTGGACCAAGCCCATTCTCATTCTCTGTGTAAGACTCATCTTCAAATAAATAAATACATGTTTTTTAAAAAAGGGCTAAAAAATATTTTGATGAATCCATCACATAAAAAAGATCCAAGTATATATACTATATATACTTCTATTAAGTCAGCTACTAAATGTATTCCTTCATTAGAAAATACTTTCATATTTCACATGACAAAAAGGAGCGTTTCAGTTCCTTCATTGGAAATGTTAGAATCCAAAATTATACCTGTGTTAATAGGTAATAGGTATATTAGATTCGATTTAAAATAAGTTTAAGCAATCAGGTGTTTAGGGGTTAAGCCTCCACCTACAACTCATATCAGTGTTCTTAGGATCCAGTCCCAGTTCTGTTGGATTCCTGCTGGGGTACAATGTGAAAAACTGCAGATGATTGCTCGGTTAGGTTCCTGTCAACTGCATGGGAGATGGGCACTGAATCTCTAGCTCCTGGTTTCAAAGTAGTCCACACCTGTCTATGGACACTTGGGGAGTGAATCAGTGGATGTGTGGTCTCTCTGTCTCTTGTTTCTTTCTTTCTTCTTTCTTTTATTGTTTCTTTTCATTGTGTATGTGTGTGTGTGTGTGTGTCTTCTGTTTCTCAGTGCCAGCTCTTGTCCCAGTTGCTTGAATTCCAGTCTAGCTCCCTACTAATGTGCCTGGGAAAGCAGAAGATGGTCCAAATACATGGTGCCCTGTCACCAATGGGAGAGATACAACTGGAGTATTGGTTCTCAACTGCAGTTTCACCCAACCCCAGTTGATGCCCTGTACTTGTTAGTGCATACAAGAACTTTCTTTGGAGATCTTCCTAATCTAAATGCTGGACTCAGAACCCTAACGAAGAAAAGAGAGAAGACAGAACAGGTCAACCAACCATCTCAGCTATGATGGACTATGTCAATCAGTAGATTTTTCAAAGATCTCATAGTGCTTGGAGTGGCAAGATTGACAGTGATTCATAACTGTGGCAATATCAAAACCACTTGAGCAAGAACCTCAGAGCATGCCCTACATCCGGGACCTGGGGAGGGTGGGAAATTGGGTGGGCTTCTCCCTTAAATACTCCCCTTTAAATATGAAGCTAACAATATGGAAAACATACTAGTATTATCCACTTTCCTGTAGCCCTTGAACCTTCTTACCCTAATTAACTATGTAAAGAATGTCAAAATAAAATTTATTAATAAAAAAAAAAAAGAATGAACCAGCAAATGGGAGATCTCTTTCTCTCAATGCCTCTCCCATTATCTCTACAAATCTCAAAAAGAAAATTAAAAAACATAATTAAGGAAGCAATCGAATAGATACAGTAGTTTAATGGAATGAAAAAGCTCGGAAGGTCTGGGGTTACAGTATAGCCACTTAAGCTGCCACCTGCAATACTAGCATCCCACACGGGCGCTAGTTCGAGTCCCAACTGTCTCACTTCCAATCCAATTCTTGGCTAAAGTGCCTGGGAAAGCAGCCAAGGACAGCCCAAGTGCTCGGACTACCTATATCCATGTGGGAGACCTGGATGATGTTCCTGGTCCCTGGCTTTGGCCAGGCCCTACCATGGCCATTAGGGGAATCAGTGGATAGAAGGGGTCTATCTATCCTTGTGTCCCTCTTTCTCCGTAACTCTTTCAAGTAAACAAACAAGTCTTAAAAAAAAAGAAAAAAAACTAAAGCTCCAATGTTACAAAGTTACATATTTCAAGTTAAGAAAGCAGCCTGAAAACTTCTGTTTGACATTACAGTGTCATCATCGAGTAGCGGAATGGAGCATGCCTCTCTCACTTGAGCCTTCATCTGTACCTTGTGACATTCACACGCTGTCCTCTAGCCTCTAAGTAACAGATGTGACAAGGGGCTTGTTTCTCACCTTGGCGATACTGAGCACAGACACTGGACAGGTCCACTTGGCTGCTGATTTTTTGGTATTCTTTTAACGATTCCCTTAACATCCTTTCCTTTTCAGTCTTATTCTGAACTTGTCGGGAACGCTGGAGAAGCTCATTTGCCTAGAACAGATGACAAGAACTCAAAAATACATTAAATTAAGCAGAGTGGTAGAGCTGTCAACATAAATTTTTGTGCATCTCTACATTAATAAGTGGTTTATTTTCTTTAAAAACAAAAACAACACTACAAAACTTACTTCTTCTTAATATTAGGAAGAAAAATTTTTGACCAAAAAATCCTAGCTATTCTTAATTCCTCTCACAAATATGTTAAGCAAGATAGCTTTTGTCAGGCAATTCTTTTGCCTAGTCAATATATTATTGGTCAGCAGGCAGTCCATGTGATACTCATTTACTTTTTTTCCACCTGTAGGAAAGGATCAATAAAAATTGCCCCATTAACTCTATTCAATACAGATCAGTTTTAAGTTTTAGTGATTTTTCTTAGCTTCTAACTAAAGAAATACCCTAAGTATCAAACTTCCTTCATTTCACACTTAGTGATTTTCCGTAATTTGTAACATAATAAATACTAACAAATACTATCAAAGAGTCTTTATGAAAAGTTTGCATAGATCTAACAACTCTCTTCTTAGATGTGGATTCTAGGGTGAAGAGAAACGAAAACATTTATCTTAGGCCATACGTCACGTAAACCAAGGAACTGATTCCCGTTATAGTGTGCTTTAGGCCATACCAAGAACAGCTCCCAGAGAAAGCACTGAAATAGGTAAGAAAGCCTCATACCTTAGAACAGACGGCATCATCCGTGCTATACAGAAGGGGGCAGATATCCTGCAAGTGTAAACTGATGCCATCAACAGCAGCATTGTCTCTGATGTAGCAGTTGATCAGAGAAGCAATTAATGCCCCGGTGAGTTCTTTGTCCCTGATAACCAGATCTTTAAAGGTAGTGATCTTCAGCTGTTCTTGAAACTCCTAGCAGTGTAAGGAGATCATTACATTAATATTACAGAGCTATTTATTTCCATACAAAATCTGCCTTTAGCCTGGCCAGATCCTGCTGCTGTTGCACTCTGGGGAGTGAGCAGTAGGTAGAAAATTTCTCTAAGTATTTCAAATAAATCTTAAAAACATACAGTGTTAACGTGATTTGTAATATTCATCTAGCAATATCACTATTACCTCTTCTTTCTTCAGCAATTATTTTTCAACAAATAGTGAAAATTGGATAACAATTTGCATTGTTTGAACACATAATGGGTGTAACAAAGGAGCTTTGAAGATGGTTCACAAATACTATCTTGTTTGAAAAGCAACTTATCCTCACCCAATAAAAGCTCACAATTACCACCCCAGAAAGGGAGCTTTCCATAATTAAAAACATAGCAGTTTGAATTTTTAAAAAAAGTATCTGCTTGGGCCCGGCGCAGTGGCGCAAGTGGTTAAAGGTCCTTGCCTTGCACGCCTGGGATCCCGTATGGGTACCGGTTCTAATCCCAGCGGCCACGCTTCCCTTCCAGCTCCCTGCCTGTGGCCTGGGAAAGCAGTCGAGGACAGCCCAAAGCTTTGGGACCCTGCACCCGCATGGGAGACCCAGAAGAGGCTCCTGGCTTCGGATCGGCATAGTATTGGCCGTTGCGCTCACTTGGGGAGTGAATCATCGGACGGAAGATCTTCCTCTCTGTCTCTCCTCTCTGTGTATCTGCCTTTCCAATAAAAAAATAATAATAAAAATAAATCTTTAAAAAAAAAGTATCTGCTTAAAAGAAACAAAACTACCAATAAAAAAAATCCCAAATCACTCATGTGACACTACTGGAAAGGAACTAGGGGAATGACTTCTAAAATGGCCATGGTGGCCACTTGGCTGAGTGAACCAAAAGATGGAAGATTTTCTCTATTTCTCCATTCACTTCCTGTAACAAAACACTGTTCTTTAAAGTAGGACTGCTTAATCTAGATTGCTAGTTATTGGTAACTACATGCCAAAATTTGGATCTATACACATTTCTTTAAGGATGAGGAATGCTATCTCATTAAGTTTCCAAATTAAAATCTGAGCCCTGGAGCGATGGCCTAGTGGCTAAAGTCCTTGCCTTGCAAACACCATGAACCCATATGGGCACTGGTTCGTGTCCCAGTAGACCCGCTTCCCATCCAGCTCCCTGCCTATGGCCTAGAAAAGCAGTGAAGGATCGCCCAAAGCCTTAGAACCCTGCACCCACATGGGAGACCCGGAAGAGGATCCAGGCTCCTGGCTCACTTCCAGCTGTTGCAGCTGCTCGGGGAGTGAATCATCGGACAGAAGATCTTCCTCTCTGTCTCTCTTCTTCTCTATATTTCTGACTTTCCAATAAAAAAATAAATAAATTGTTAAAAAGCAAATAAATAAAATAAAAAATTAAAATCGGGCCTGGGTGGTAGTCTAGTGACTAAAGTTGTCGCCTTGCTTCCATTGGGATCCCATATGGGCACTATTTTGTATCCCAATTTCCCCACTTCCCATCCAGCTCCCTGCTTGTGACCTGGGAAAGCAGTCAAGGACAGCCCAAAGCCTTGGGACCTGCATCCATGTGGGAGACCCAGAATAGGTTCCTGGCTCCTGGCTTTGATAGGCTCAGCTCCATCCGTTGAGACTGCTTAGGTAGTGAATCAGCAGACAAAAATCTTTCTGCCTCTCTTTCTATATATTTGCCTTTCCAATAAAAATAAATAAAATCTGAAAAAATTACAATCAACTATTTAAAGTAATAATTCTCTCACATTCCCACTAACAAATCACTATAAACTGTAGAAGTCTGTAGACTTAACAAAATGGTAGCATAAAGTTATCCTGCTTTCATGCACCTTGTTTTTTTTTAAGCATCTAGTTTTTTTTTTTTTTTAATTGGAAAGGCGGATGTACAGAGAGGAGAGACAGGAAGATCTTCCGTCCAATGATTCACTCCCCAAGTGAGCGCAACGGCCGATGCTATGCCGATCCAAAGCCAGGAGCCTCTTCCAATTCTCCCACGCGGGTGCAGGGTCCCAAAGCCCTGGGCCGTCCTCCACTGCTTTCCCGGGCCACAAGCAGGGAGCTGGAAGGGAAGCGGGGCTGCCGGGATTAGAACTGGTACCCATATGGGATCCCAGGCGTGCAAGGCGAGGACCTTAACCACTTGCGCCACCGCGCCGCGCCGGGCCCTCATGCATCTTCTTATAACACACTTTACTGTAAACAAAATAACCCTTAGTCCAAGTATAGAATAACAAACGTATGAGAAAAAAAATTTGCTTGTATCATTAATAGTATGATCCTTAAGGAAGGGAATCTTACCTTCTCTTCTTTTTATATAGATTTATGTTTTAATTTTGAATTGTTGAATTATGTGTTACAATTTTGGAAGACTGGGATTTCCCCCCAAACTCCCACCCCACCCCGACAAATTTTCCCCATTTTATTACAGTGGTATAATCCTTCGTTAGGAAGTATAATTCCATCAGTTTCTTGTTTATGGAATCCTACCTTCTGAAGTTCTCCCACAATGAGAGAGAACTGATGCTCACAAAGCAGCTTCCATAAAGCCAGTGCCTGGTATGATTTTCGAACTAATTGCTGGATCGCCTGAAGTGAAATCTTTTCACTCAGCTGAGCCTCTGAAGAAAAAAACACAACTAATTAAGTTTTATAAAATGACATAGGCTTTGTGAAAAAAAAGGAAGGAAAAAAGCGGGGACAGTGAGGTGAGGCAGCAAGTGAAGACAGCGCCTATAACATCAGCATCCTATGCTCAATGGAACAGAGAATGGTCTTGGCTACTGTACTTGTACATACGTACCTCCCTATCCCCCTGGGAGGCAGAGGAGGAAGGAAGGCAGTCAGTACGTGAGCACAGGAAACCCATGGGGAAAGATCTGGGTGGAGTCTGTCACTCCTGACATTGGCCTGGCCCAGCCACAGCTACTGTGGCCATCTGTAAAGCTAACTAGTGGATAGATCACTTGCTGTCAATGACATCTTGGAAAAGTCCGCAGTTTCCTACTCAAACTCCTTCCTGGGGTCAAATACATGTAACTGATCAAAAGCCATAATTTACCATGAAACTTCCTCTGCAGCTCCTGCTGCATCTGCTGGGAATTCCCATTTTCAGGACGCATGAATCCCATCAGCCTCTGCTGCACTTTGGCAGTGGTACTGAAAACAGAAATTGTAGAATATGCATGTATGAGTTTCTAATATTTTACTGAGATGTAACACATATAACATGCAATGTCATGTGTATAATTAATTTTTTAAAAAATTGATTATCATTCTAAGTTCTGTTTTCCATAAAAAGGAAAAACTGGCAAATAAGAAAGAACTCACGGAATTAAAATGTATTTCTCCATTTATTTAGAACAAATATAGTGAGAGACAAAGATCTTCCAAATGCTGGTTCACTCTTCAGGTAACAGTTTGGGCTGAGCTGATGAAGATGAGGATGCCAGACTTAGCCATGGTCTCCCAAATGGAACAGTTAGGACCCAGGTATTCGAGGCAGTATCTGCTATTTCCCAGGATGCATGTACACTGATAGAAAGCTACATTTGAGGCAGAAGTCAAGACGTGAACCATGAGTTAATTCCATACGGGATGAGGATATCCAGAAAGGCAACTCCAACTAGTGTGCCAAATGCCCGCCATCAACATCTCTTTTAAAAAAAATTCTTGGGGACCAGCGCATTACTTGAACTGGCTGATCCTCCACCTCTAAGTGTCGGGATCCCACACGGCACCAGTTTCTGTCTCGGCTGCTCCAATTCCCATCCAGCTCCCTGCTTGTGCCCTGCGAAAGTAGCAAGGATGGCCCAATACCTTGGGACCCTGCACCCGCATGGGAGACCAGGAAGAAGTTCTTGCTTCCTGGCTTCAGTTCAGCTCAGCTCTGACCACTGCAGCCATTGAGGGAATGAGCCAGCAAATGGAATCTTTATTTGTTCCTCTTACTCTTGGTAACTGTGCCTTTCAAATAAATAGTACATGCGAACTCATTGTAAGATCATTTGTTGTGTAGACACTTGGTTACCCTAGAGAAGCTTTCCTACTGTGCATGTCATGCAACACTAGCTCTGCTTTTTTGTAATAGGCACAGCAACACCAAATATTGTCCTTCCTACACTCTGGAACAACCCTGGCTTAAACAAGTGTCTTTACCACAGTATACTCCAGGATATTTATAATACACAATATCATTCTCTCCAATAAGTCAAAGTGGAAGTAAAGTATAGTATGAAAGTTTTACCTAATTCATTTGTTCCCAATGTATTTTTTCCCACCCAGATTCACTGTTTCAAGGAACATAATTTAGAAAGAATGCTTTAATGATTTTAAGAAAGAGTTCTTTCAATGGTGAGGCACAGAGAAATATTTCACTCCTTCCTGCATCAGGTTGATACACTGCTCATTCTACATAATTTTAGATCCAGTGCCAGACATTCAAAGTGCAGATTTTTCAAATATTAAAGCAAATTTACATTTTTTAGATAAAACTCGCTTATAATATACTTTTCCTTTTTAAGTACTGTCAGACTTGGTCTATTTAAATTCTGTCCAGGATTTTATGTTCTAAGAAAGAAATGGATCTGTAATATGCTAATGATGTTAAAAGGTTTTGATATCTAAGTTATGACTTTATTAAAAACGTTCATACAGAACATACTTCAAAAATATACATAATAGTCACCTCCATAGGAACAGAAATAAGCCTTGTGGTTGCCAGGGAAAGGAGGAGGGAAAGTAGTGAGTGAGTGCTAATGGGCATAGTACTTCTTTGTCATGAAGATTCTGGAAGGAGACAATAATAACGGTTGCACAACCTTGTAAATACACTAAAAAACACTGATGTGTAGACTTTGAAAGGTTAACTTTTTATACTATATGAATTATATCACAAACACTACAATACAAAAGGAAACAAACCAAATAAATAAATCTGATTTATTCTTACTTTGGATTTCCTAATGGTCCTCCTGCAAACTGGGAGTTTCTGTCCAGAAATTCTTGCAAACCTTTTAGTTCCTGCAACACTGATTCCAGCAGCTGACAGGGAACACTACTTTCAATCTGAAGAAAAGATCAAGTTTAGAAACACTGAAAAAGCATATGTAAAAAACACATACCATATAAGGGACTGTAATAATTTTAACACTGACATATATTATCCTTAAATATGAAGATGGTTCTAATAATCAATTCACACTTGCTAACTGGAATAAAAGACAATAAAGGATACACATAACTCTCCCCTCCTTTTCCAGTAAGACTGATGCAAATACAAAAATCAACATCTTGCTTGCTTTCCACATGATTGCAGACACTGCCAAGATTACAATACAGACTATTTCCAACACCAGGAAAGCTTCTTGATGCCCACAGTAGTCAGTGGTCAGCCCTTCTTGGAGGGGTCACGTTTACCACATTCAGTCTTTCTGTTCTCAAAACTCCTTTGGCAGCTGATGTCATGGTGTATCAAGTAAAACCTGCAGTCCCAGTTTGAGCCCTCCATGCTGGACTTCTGACCTAGATCCCTACAAATGTTGTTGGGAAAGCAGTGGAAGATGGCCTAAATTTGGGGGCTTCTATACCCACATAGGAGATCTGGAAGAAGCTCCTGGACTCCTGGCTTTGGACTGGCCCAGCTCCAGCCATCATAGCCACTTACAGAGTGAACCACAAGACAGAAGGCCTCTCTGTGTATCTCTCTGTATAACTCTTTCAAATAAGTCAGTCAGTCTAAAACAACAATAATAACATCGTATAAATTAAATCACATACTATGTTAGGTAAATACTTTCTTCTTAAAAATGTGTTCGATACAACACCCCTGGGGCAGGGATCACCTACATCCCATTCAAGAATGTCTAGGTTTGAGTTCCAGCTCCTCTTCACATTTCAGCTTCCTAACAACACGTACACTGGGCTCAGGGAGCTGGCTCCATCTCACCCACAGACCCAGAATGAGTCCCCAGCACCTGGATTTGACCTGGTCCAGCCCAGTCCTTATGGGCATTTGGAGAGTAAAGAAGTGATTGAACTCTCCCTCACTATGTTTTCACTTAACTTTTTCACAACTTTTTAAAAAGAACAAATTTGTAAAAATTAAAGGATATAGTAGCTTTAAAATGTCGGTATTTTCATTTTACAGGGACACGTGTATTACAAATTATGTTCATATTCTAGAATAAGGAAAAAACTTGCTACTTTAATTTTGAATCATACGAATTGTGCACTAGAGAAAATACCAGTGCAATGAAATACATGTTGTATCCAAGAAGTTTTTATGTATATGTCAAAGTATTATATGGAAAATTTTGAACAATGATTCTATTTAGTCCTCAACAAACTTAAAAATGAGCTACATTAGTCTCACATTTTACAATGAAGTATCAGGCTTGGAAATATTATGATATTTACATATAATCAGACAGTTTAACCCAGACTGATTTAACCCAGGGATCCATAGTTTGTTGAACAGAAATGTGCATAATATAATCATTTTTTCTGATTAGTAACATCAGAAAATGTTAATCAAGTTGGCCAATCATTAATACCATCAATTAGTTGTATAGAAATAGCAGAACCATATGCACACTTACTGCAGTGATCTCTCTGTTGCCACTCTTGAATACTCTCTCCACAACTAAGCTGGCATCCCAGATATTTCTGAAACAAAAAATGTTTTAATGGATTGTGTTACAAAATCAACTAAGGTATATAGTGAATTCTTTCCATAGAAAGGGACTTGCTTTACTCAGCTTTTAACTCTTACCGATGGATTTCATTTCACATTAAGCTATACAGAAAAACGGAAAACAGGAAAATGTCCAAATGTGATATTCCCAAGTTTTGCTGAAGAGTGAGATACTGTAAGAATCAAAAGGTTATGGATAACACAGCAAGTAAGGTGCTCACAATGAAAAGAAGTAAATTTAAAAAGAGGTTTTAGGAGCTGCTGTTGAGCACTGAGTTAAGTCCCATTCTACAATGCTGGCATACCACATCTGAACATCAGGAGTCCTGGCTAATGTACTCCCCATCTCTCAAAAGTCCTGGAGAATGCCATAAACACCCAGGCTCTGCCACCTACGTGGGACAGCTAGATAAAGTTCCATGCTCCTGACTTTAGCTTGTTGTAGTCCTGGCCGTTGTAGCCATTTGGGGAGTAAACCAGCAGAAGTAAGACCTCTTGATCGTTCTTGAATATATATCATATTGAATATATATCATATATCATATATATCATATATATCATATAAAACAAACAAGGTAATACAATGTCTCACATTTTTAAGCAAATGTGGTGAAAGGACGTATCTCAAATCTAGATGAGAGCTAATAAAGACTGATTACACAAATGGTCACAATTTTTTATATTGCCTTATATAGATTCCATTCCAAGATAGTTTTTATTTTGTTTATTTTATTTTATTATATTTTATTTTATTACACAGTTCCGTAGGCTCTGGGATTCCCCCAACCCTCCCTGTACAATCCCCCATGGTAGATTTCTCCACCTAGTTGCAATATTACAGTTCAAATCCAATCATAATCAAGATGATTTTTTTAAAGACTTAATTTTTATTGGAAAGTCAGATATACAGAGGAGAGACAGATGAAAAATCTTCCATCTGCTGGTTCACTCCCCAAGCCAACCTGAAACCAGGAGCCTACTCCCAGTCTCCCATGAAGTGCAGTGTCCCAGGATTTAGGGCTTTTGTCTACTGCTTTCCCAGGCCACAAGCAGAGAGCTGGATGAGAAGCACGGCTGTTGTACATGAAATGGTGCGTTTATGGGATCCTGGGACGTGCAAGGTAAGGACTTCAGCCACTAGGCTACTGCACTGAACCTTCAAGATGATTTTTAATGTCTCTCCCACAAAGAGCTGGAGTCAATTTTCCACATTTCAATTCTGGCCTGGACTTGAGGCTTCCCTATGACCAAGTGAATGTGGCAGAAAGTGAGTGGCGGGCCTTGGAATAAAGACAAATGGCCAAGTAAATCAGAGTCCTCTGTCACCATCAAGTGGCATGCTGGAGGACAGGATACATTCTAGATCAGCAACAGATATCAAGTTCAAAGGGTGAGTTTTGCCACGACACACAGAACATTCTGGAACATCACCGCTGAGTGCTCATGCCTGATCAAGCAGCAAGATCACAACTGCCCAGTTGATTAGTAGACACACGTCACAGAGCCAATGGGGGCAGCCTGAATGCCATATTCTAATATGTAGACACACAGATTTTGATACCATAAATGCTCTAATAAAAAACCCACATAAATGAAGATAGATCATAAAAACAGAATGACAGAAAACAATGTCACCAGTGCAAAAGTTAGCTAAAATTAAAGAAAAATTTAATAAAAATAAATAAACATATTTTACTACTCAAAGGAGGGTGAGGTAGGCAGAATTCATGAAAAACTTACCCCATGATTCGAGAAAAGTATATGCAAATGCCATTGTGTTTCCCAGAGTACACAATCTCTGGTCCAGTCAAACTCACACTGGTGGCCTGAGCTGCAGGGGCTCCCACAGCACCCATTGGAGTCGACATGGCAGGAGGCTGTAGACCTTACACACACATAGAGGAAAAAAAAAATAATCAAAATATATTCACAAAAGTTCAGTATTATCAAAATCCCAAGTTGCATCTGAACAGAAAGATGTGACTAAGATGCAATCCATGGAATTAATCAATGCTTAATTTAATTTTCTTAAAAAAATTTTTTTTAGGCACAGTACGATGGCGCAAGTGGTTAAGGTCCTCGCCTTGCACGCCCGGGATCCCATATGGGTGCTGGTTCTAATCCCGGCAGCCCCGCTTGCCATCCAGCTCCCTGCCTGTGGCCTGGGAAAGCAGTTGAGGATGGCTCAAAGCTTTGGGACCCGGCACCAGCGTGGGAGACCTGGAAGAGGCTCCTGGCTTTGGATTGGCTCAGCTCCAGCCATTGTGGCCGCCTGGGGAGTGAATCATCGGACAGAAGATCTTCCTCTCTGTCTCTCCTCTCTGTATATCCGCCTTTCCAATAAAAATAAAATAAATTTAAAAAAAAATTGCTTTTTTTTTTTTTAATTTCTTAAAATAGTTTTGGGGCCAGGTGCGATATAGGTAAAGTTCTTGCCTTCCATGTGCTGGGATCCCATATGGTCACTGGTTAGTGTCCTAATTGCTCCACTTCCCATCAAGTTCCCTGCCTGTGCCCTGGGAAAACAGTAGAGGATGGGCCTGAACCTTGGAACACTGCACCCACGTGGGAGACCCAAAGCTCCTGGCTCTTGATTTGCTCAGCTTTGGCCATTAGGACCACTTGGGGAGTGAGTCAGTGGGTGGCAGATTTTTATCTCTGTAAATCTGCTTTTAAAATAAAAATGAATAAATCTTTAAATTATAAATAAATAAATATAATTTTTATTTGAAAGGCAGATTGTATAGAGAAAGCAGACAAAGAACTAAGATCTTCCATTAGCTGGTTCACTCCACAAAGGGATGCACTGGCCAGAGCTTGGCCAGTTCTGAGGTAAAGGAATTCAAGGACCAAAAATAGTTGCTGGGATATAATTTCTATTGAATGACACTTCTTTTCTTTGTTTATATATATATTTTTTTCACCAATTTTTAAAAATTGTAATGGCAAATATATAAAGAGAAGGAGAGACAAACACAAAGATTTTTCATTTGCTGGTTCATGCCCCAGGTGGCCGCAACAGCTGGAACTGAGCTGATCCAAAGCCAGGAGTCTGGAGCGTCCACCGGGTCTTCAATGCAGGTGCAGGGTCCTAAGGGACTGAGCCTTCCTCTACAGCTTTCCCAGGCCACAAGCAGCTGAATTTGATGGGAATTAAAGTAGCTGGGATATGAACCGGTGCCCATATGAGAAGCAATGGATATAAGCAAGGACTCAGCCACTAGGGTGTTGCATTGAGCCACAAATGACACTCATTTTCTTTTTCTTTTATTTTATTTGGGATTAGTCCCCACTCCTTGCCCCCAACAAGTTTTCCCCACAGTGCTACAATAGTATAGTCCTTCATAAGGAGGCATAATTCCATCAGTCTCTTATTTACGTGTGCCCCAACATTGCTGGTACAGAAAGATGACACTTGTTTTCAAGGAAAGACTGCAAGTTAGTAATATTCACATTCACACTAAACATCACAGATAATGACACATAATATTAACTTTTCAGAAAAATCAGAATCAGCAATTCAAACAACAAGAAGACATACCTTGAGATGGTGTTCCCAGAAAGGATGGATTTGGATAAGGGCTACCACTTGGGACAGGAGAACCTAAGTAAAGGAACAAGAATATGAAAATTTATACAATCATTTCCTAGTCTCTTCACTCTGATCAAAAGTCTGCCAATGAGATGCTTCTAAGCGTGAAAGTGAGGAATAGCAGCACTCACAAGACAATCCTAACTCAGTGACTCATCTCATTCCCCACACTGGGAAACACATTTCACCAAATCACACTTCTCTGTCACACTGAATAAATGTCAAATGAGTTCCATAAATATTACTAAAAACGTATTATGCTCATTAGCACACAATAGGGTTTCAATATTAATAAGTGTCACCATCACTAGATTAAATCAGCCTCCATCGATAAAGAATGTAGTATTAGCTAATAGTGAAACTCTGTTGCCTGAAATATACCTTCCAACCTACAAACTATATTAACAGCAATTTGATTTCATCATTTCATACTCACTAGAATAGACAGGAGATCCCAAGATGGGGCCAACATTACTCGGAGGGGGAAGAGCGGTTGGAAATCTCATCTGTGCTTCACCACCGTACCTATTCGTAGAACAACAGAGGCTGTGTTCATTCAGTAAAACTATCCACCCTAACACGTGGAACTGCTTCTAGTCCTGTTCAGTTTCTAAATAAATATTTTAAGCATTACAGACTTCTAAGTATTATGATGATAGTGTAAGACACAAAATAAATACATATTCAGTAAATGTGGATTTCAAACTGCTACCAGGAAGAATCATAAAGGACTTTGGCAACTTCTAGAAAAAGATCTGCAGTGTATGTAATTGATGAGTAAGCGGCACTATAATTTCTAATACTAAATTACAGCTACACAACATTATACAAACATTTTTGATTACTGTGTTAAGTCACTACTTGGAATGCTTTGCATGTGATAACAAATATTGGCTATTTGTTCCCAATCCTGCTTCCCTTAAATGCAACTGGAAGGTAGCAGACAGCGGCTCCAGTGCTTGCCTTCCTGTCACACACAGAAGATCTGGATGGAGCTCATGACTTTGGTCTGGTCCTGGCTCTGCTTGTTCCAAGTGTTTGGAACGAACATGAATGAGCACTCTTACTCTTCCACTCTCTGTCATTCCACATTTTCAATAAGCACAACATACCAATCTCCTGGACTACTATGTTCCTTAAAGTGATTCAGATTCGCCCAACACTAACGGTACAAGAATACAAATTCATAGTGTCTGAGAAATTAAAAAAAGAAACATAAAAATCAAGGTAGAGGGAGCTGCACGGTAGCCTAGCAGCTAAAGAAACAGAAAGTAAATATTAAAAAAAAAAACCACTGAGATAGAGACTTAAAAATTAGGCTAGTACCATAGTTTGTTTATTTTTTTTTTTGAAAGATTTATTTAGGACCTGGCACTGTGGCCTAATGGCTACAGTCCTCACCTTGAATGCACTGGGATCCCATATGGGTGCTGGTTCATACCCGAGCTATTCCACTTCCCATCCAGATCCCTGCTTGTGGCTTGGGAAAGCAGTCTAGGTCGGCCCAAAGCCTTGGGACCCTGCCCCCGCGTGGGAGACCTCGAAGAGCTCGTGGCTCCTGGCTTCAAATCAGCACAGCACTGACCATTGAGGTCACTTGGGGAGTGAATCATTGGATGGAAGATATTTCTCTCTGGCTCTCTTCCTCGCTATATATATATATATAGGTGTGTGTGTGTGTGTGTGTGTGTGTATATATATACACACACACATATATATATATATCTGTCCATTAAAAATAAATAAATCTTTAAAAAATTTTTATTTTATTTTTATTTGAAACTCAGATACACAAAGAGGAGGAGAGAGAGGAAGATTTTCCATTCGATGATTCAATCTCCAAGTGGCCACAACCATGGGAGTTGAACCAATCTGAAGCCAGGAGCCCAGAGCCTCTTTCAGGTCTCCCATGCAGGTACAGTGTCCCAAAGCTTTGGGCCAACCAAGGTTGCTTTCCCAGGCCACAAACAGGGAGCTGGATGGGAAGCAAGGTCGCCAGGATTAGAACCAGTGCCCATATGAGATCATGTCATGTGCAAGCTAGGGACTTCAGCTGCTAGGCTACTGTGCCAGGCCCTAGTACCATGGTTTGTAATGGTAAGCCTCTGCCTGTGATGCCAGCATTCCATAGGGAAACAGGTTGTTTCACTTCCCATCCAGCTCCCTGCTTGTGGCCTGGGAAAGCAGTAGAGGACATTCCGAGCACTTAAGCCCCTGCAGCCATGTAGGAGACCCAGAAGAATGCCCTGGCTCCCAGCTTCAGATAGGCCCACCTCTGGCTGCTGTGGTCACTTGGGGAGTGAATAAATAGACATGAGATTTCTCTCATCCTTCAGTAACTTTTTTTTTTAATATTTATTTATTTTTATTCGAAAGGTAGATTTAGAGAAGAGACCCAGAGAAAAACCTACATTTCAATTAATAAATAAATTTTAAGCAAACTGCAAAGTAGGCATCATAATGCACAGTAAAAGTAATCAGAGATACACGATGCTAATCTCACCACTTCTTAACATAATTTTTCCAGACTTCATTGTTTTGTAAATTCATTTTAGTAATCTGTCAACATATGCCTTAATTGGTTGACCAGGTTTTACATGATCAAAACAACCATATAAGCATTTCAATAAAGTGTCCCAACACACCACAACACTGTCACTCACCTGAAGAAAGCTCGAGTAGCCCAAGCAGATACTTCCCTGTCACAGGCAGCAGAGGAGCAAGCAAGGATAAGGCAAGTTGCACAAGCCTGATCTTCCTTTTAAACAAACATACGAAAAAGAAATTATTGTCTCCATACTAAGTATTTTAAAAGGTGCTGAGTGGTGCAGTCAGTGTTCCTATCAGTACCAGGCAATGAACAGCTGCTCAATAAATACTTTCTGATAAACTGAAATCAACTATTAAACACCAGAGTCAACAATCCTTGCTTTGAAGTTTCCCACAAGCAGTAGTAGTAAAGGATGCTCTCTGCTCGTTCAGCATTGGATTTGGCTGCTGGCTCTCCTTTTTCTCCAGATCTTTCTACACTTCAGTAAGCAACAGGAACAGTGCACATCCACTGAGTACTTGTCGTGGGCTAGACACCATGTGTAGAGCTGAGCATATACTAAGCTCCATATGACACGTTTTTAGTAGCACTGAATCCCAGAGAATCCAAGTAATCTACCCTAGTGTAACTGCAATTTTTAACAAGTGATTTCAACCAGTCTATATATTTAACTTATATCTGACATTCTTTATTTTAAGCTAAGTGTTCTCAGTATTACTTCAGGATTTCTAGTTATGGCTCTAAAACACTGATGTCTCCTAATTATTATCTCAAATTCCTTTCTTGATCTTTAAGCAAATAAAATTGATTTGTAAGTCTTGTGCTTAATAAAAATGCATCTATCACATAAATTGAATACCAAAACACACCAACAAGAACTCATCAATGAGAAAAAAAAAGCTGAGTCTATATATTTGTAACATTAATCTTGCTCAAAATTTTGTATACATATAGTTACATACAGATTGTTAAGATTACCTATTTATTGCAGTGTTTTTTCTTGAGCTACATTAAGTTCAACTACTATTCATACTATTTCATTATTCAAAACATCATCAGACTAAAAAAGTATAATTACCTGATGCAATTTAAAGAACCTTTCAATCTCTTCTCCATCTCCACCCACGTTACTCACAAGCAAATGTCTCAGTTGATCTACAGGTCTAAGTTTATGAAACATAAGACTCCCCTATGAAACCATAAAAAAGAACACAATAGATTTACCAAGCTTGGCCAGTAGTAAGTTCGTCCACTAACTTAATAAACAACAAGAACAACAAAAATAACATATATACAAAATAACTTAAAAAAAAAAGAAAAACCATCATTTATATTTCAACTCATATCTAGAATAATCTCCACATTCACACAGAAAAGACACTGTGCTTTTCCTAAATCTGCCCCTCAAGCCAGTGAATTGCAGTTAATTATTAGCCGATCATATTTGTATTATTTAACAAAAAACAAGTTGGATCCATATCTATAATACTAACCAAATCAATGATTTAAAGGACAAGATAAACCAAAAAGAAACTAGAAAAAGCATTAATTTTGTTTGTTTGTTTTACTGAAGAGCAAAGGGGCCAGTGCATTGGCTAATAATTCACCTAAAAACACCAACAGCCCATGTAGGCACCAGTTTGCATCCTGGCTGCTCCACTTTATATATAGATTTATTTTTATTGTGAAATCAGATATACAGAGTGAAAGAGAGACAGAAAGGAAGATCTGCTGATGATTCATTCCCTAAGTGACTACAATGTCTGGAGCTGCGCTGATCCGAAGCAGAAGCCAGCAGCCACTAGGTCCCCCACATAGGTGCTGGGTCCTAAGGCTTTGGGCCGTCCTCCATTGCTTTCCCCGGCCACAAGCAGGGAGCTGGATTAGAACCCGCACCCATAAGGGATCCCAGCACATCCAAGGTGAGGATTTTAGCAGCAAGACTAATGTGCCGGGTCCCAGTAGCTGCTCCACTTTTGATCCAGCTCCCTGCTTATGGCCTGGGAAAGCAGCAGAGAATGGCACATACTCTTGGGACACTGTACTTATATGTGAGCCCTAGAAGCTCCTAGGTCAGGCTCCCAGCTTTGGATTTGCTCAATTCCAGCTATTGTAGCCATTTGGGGAGTGAACCAATGAATGGAAGATTTCTACCTCTCCTTTCTGGAAATCTGCCTTTCCAATGAATATAAACAAGATGTTTTAAACTTTATTTATTCATTTATTTATTGGAAAGTCAGTTTATAGAGAGAAGAGCCAAACCCAGTCATTCCAATTTATCCAAGTTTTTAACAAGCATCTAAACTACTACATTAAATGCTTGCTCCAAAATTGTGCTTTTAATTCCAAGAGATAACCTATTAATAGAGGTCCAAAAAGATACATCCATACACAGGAATATCTTTCAAATATAAAACAGAATTAGAAAGCACAGTATAAACTAATATAGAAAGAGCTCACAAATGGATATTTGAAATGTAAGAAATATAAGGAGTTAGCACTGAGAGAATACTTGGACACCAGTATTCCACACTGGAGTTCTACTTTGACTCCTTGCTGCTGGCCTTCTGACCAGCATCCTGTTGAAATACCTGGGAAAGCAGTGAAGGATGACCCAAGTCCCTGGGTCCCTACATGGTGTCCGTGGACCCTGGCTTTAACCTGGCAAGGCCCTGACCACTGCAGGCTTTAGGAGAGCGAAGCAGTGAACAGAAGACATCTCCTTCACTTTTCCCTTTTTCTTCTGCCCTTTTTCTCTGATGCTCCACTTTCACAAACAACAAACAAACCTCATTTTTAAAAGTGCAAAGTATACAACAGTGTACAACTATGCTATCTTTTGCTTTGAAATATGTATTACTTGTGTATCCATAACAATTTTTGCAAGGACTCAAACACTGACACTACGGAAGCCTAGAGACAATATACCTGGCATGGAAGATTTTACTATGTATACTGTCTATTACTTTTTTAAAAAATTCTGCTCAAACATTAAAATATTATGTTTTTAATAAGGAAAAGTGAAAATTGTTAAGAAACATCTACTTACTGATAGAAGTAAAATTTACCTGATAGTCTACTTATTGTTACCAAACATGTCAGAAACTATTCCTTTGAAAGTTCTAGGATAAAATACTCCCAAATGATTCTGAAAAGGGTTTTGAGAAAATCATTAAGTGCTGCTTTTCTTCCACAATAGGATAGAAACACACCTGTGCTGAGAGAAGAACAAATTTCTTTGGAGGTAGCATATGCTGCTGTACAACAATTGGTGAGTCCGTTATTGGAATATGATCCTTGTTTAAGGGTGTAATTATCTTGTCTACTTTCAGTTCATCTATTGCAGACAGAGCCCAGGAATGACCGTCGACACGGGTTGTCATCTGTGCAAGAGAAATAAACATTTTACCCACCTTATTTAAGTCATACAAAGAAAAGCATCCAGAAAGAAAGTACAAACTCAATCTCTATGCAAATGCAGATTTGAAAATTATTAGTAAATTAGTATGAATATAAAGTAACACTACCCTACTTTTTTAATCAAGTATCTTCACTGCCAAACTTTTCACAGTAAAGAACAGAAGCAAAATGTTAAGATAAATGCAAACACTTACTATACCTTCACTTGCTACATCACAGCACCAAGTCCTAACTTTGTTCTTAAATACTATACATCATATAATTTTATACAATACTTGAGTTCTCAAAAACATGGACTATTATTTAAAAAAATAAAACACAGCATATGGTTAAGTTCTAGTTTCCAAAAACACCTACAGAAATTTGGGACAATGGAGAAAACATAACGAGGTGGGTATCCATTTATATTAGGAAGTAGTTAACATTCTTTAGTATCATAAAGAATCTTATACAGTATCTTACTGTATAAGACTGCACAGTGCATACACATACATATATATAATTTTTTGGATACTTTGAATTACATATGGTAAAGTATTTTAGACTAAAATACTTTTTTAAAACCAATTTTAACTTCTTATAGAACTAAAGTCTATGTGTCAGCGAAATATGAGCACCAAACCTACCAATACAGATTTTACTTATCTTGGAAATGTATAAGGTGCTGAGCTTGGACACGAACATACAAAACTGTAGCGAAATAAATCTTTGCTCTTTACAAAGTTAGTTTTCTCATATATTTCAGTGTAGTGATGAAAAGTTAACAAATACTGAAGACATAGTAAAATAAAAGATATGCCTCTTTAGACTACTGATCTTCACTTAAAATAGTACCAAAGTTTAGAAATCTCAGAGTCATTTACCTGGGTTTCCATCATTGGCTTTTGGAAAGGAAATGTATCATGGTTGACACACCATAAAATATCATTATCCTCATTTTCTGAAGCTGCCATTAGTAAAATACCTGAAAATTTAACAGGCATAATTTGTTATACAATGTCAAAGGAAGACTGTAGAAGAACTGACAAAGTCATCCATTATATTCTGTATAATTCTGATTTGACAAGTGAGTTCAAATACAAAGCTGAAAACAAGCTGAATTAAGTAAACCAAAAACCCTGGATAAAAAAAAATTTAACATATAAAGTAATTAAAAATAGCCAAAGTATATCAGTATATATAATAAAAGAACATCCAGATAAAAACAAGAAATTTTAAATTTTATTAGAAAATGTGTTTATAAACTATTTTTAAATGCCTCAAAAACACTCCTGTCAAGATGCAGTCCCTGCAGATGACAACAAAACCAAGGCTGGGAGAATCCCAGGCCAGGCCAGGTTATCAGGACTGGCAGCAGGCTAGGCTGGGCTTATACATCACAACCATGGGCAAATCTGAGAACCAGGATGCGAAGCAGAATAGGCCGAGTCAGGCCTCAACACCAGCCAGTCTACCTTAGGGTCGACACTAGGGCTAGCTGGGCTGGCCTAGGTGGTGACAATCACCAACATGAACTGGAACTGAGGGAGGGTAAGGAGGGGCCAGGCTACAGCACCTGCTGGCAAATGCTGAGATGAGGTAGGCCATGCCAGACTTGGCCACAGCACCCAACAGCACTGGTGAGGGCTATTAAGGGTTGCCCCGACTAGGCACGGTTTACACTGCTTGCCCGAGGACCAACTGTGTGGTGGGCAGAGTTGGGCTGGGCCACAGCATCCACTGGTTTATGTAACAGATGGGGTTGGAGATAGAACTGACCAGCAATTACAACTACCACCTTGTGTATGGGCTGACATGAGTGATGGACTGAGCCAGACCCAGTACTGACAATCACACACAAGACTCAGATCTGGGATCACCTAAGATGAAGTTTCTGTGGGGATCCTCCCAAATGAACTGCTAGACACAGAACTACAACCATGGGGAGAACTGTAGGACCTGTGATCTGACTGAGGAGTGTCAGAACTGGAACTCCTTAAGTGGCTAAGACAGAGCACTGGACAGCATGCCCAGATGCACGTGGAGGATACGGCAGTGCACTGAGACGTACAGAGGACATCTAGTACCAATGTAGAGGAAGCAAAGCAGAACAAACTGGACAACTACCGCAGCCAAACGTTGATAGCAAATGTCTGGGTGAATGGAGACTAAGGTGGACTATGTCAACCAATGAACCTTGGAAGGATTTCTTTATCCTTGGATTAGTTAGACTGACAGCATTTCAAAAGTATCAAAACCACTCTAGCGGACCCTCAGAGCACAATCCCAACTGGGGACCCTGGGATGGCACCAGGTAGGTATTTGGTATTTGGGTGGCAGCGATGCGGGGTGTGGCTTCTCCCCTAATTTCTCCCTTCCCCTAGAAACAGGAGGAAAGAGGGGGAAGATTTAGAAAATGGTGTCATTCTGGTCTACTATGTAAACACCATCAAAACACCATCAAAAGTAAATTTAAAAATATATTTTAAAATGCCTTAAAACATTCTCTCATTAAAAAAATTTAAGAATCCCACCTAAAATCAGAGTATCTCATAACTTACCTTTGCTATAAAGGGCTTTGTGTACTTTTGAGGGCTTTTCTACGGTTGACGATGCAGAGAATCCAGGAGGTAAACGCACGTGAACCAGGGTGAGTGTGTTAGGACGGGCTAGTGGCTGTCTAAATGGACAAGTGCTGAAATACAACCGAACACCTCAACAAAAGATAAGATGGTTTATCAGCAACAGAAAAATAAAGGATCATGTATACTAAAACAATTCAATAGAAAAACACACAAACCTCTGTAAAATTTATATTAACACTTTCCTAATTAATCTTATCATATAGAATAGCAGCTGAAAAATATTTCTAAGAGAATGTCTCTTGCAATTCAGAACTGAATTAGCACATTTGCAGAAGAATACTGAAACAAGCTAAAGGAGTTTGTTCCAGTTCAGGCTCCTTCACTAAATACGAGGCTGTTGGCTTTTCATACTGTGAAATGAGGCAAGATTAGACAAAGCTTCCTACTTTCAAAACTTCAATTTGATGAATTAAGAGTTTGATAACTATTAAAGAAGTGAAAAAATTTCTAATCATAAACTTCTAAATATAAACAGTGCCAAAACAGCAATACCAGATCTACTCAGATGAATAAAACGACATACCTGCGTGCGTGACAGCCAGTAACTGACAGTCCAGGGACTCGGAATTTTCGATCACTGCTATCTGAACAATTGGTTTAAAAACAGAACGATCGATGGTTCTAAAATAAGCAGGAGACAAAACCTTGTATTTTAAGTTTCATAAAACGTTTAAGAAATATTTTCCATCAGGATTTTTACTAAAGTGAATTTAATTAATAATTAATAATTGAATAGTTTAAAACTAATTTTTAAAGGAAAATAATACATCGGCAAAAGCTGGTAAAACCTCTCTCAAGGTATATTTGCATTCATATTTGTAAGATTTATCCCATTTTCAAACACAAAAATAAATGTCTCACAGAACCATTTGAAGCAAATCCTACAATATTATCACCTTTAATTTTCCTCAACTTTTAGATATATTCTGAGGAGGGGACACTTTTGGTACATAATTACAAGTAAAAACAGTGTAATTATGCCTACAAAAGAGACCTTACAACACACTGCCATTACTACCTAGCAATGTTCCCAGCAGCAGAAACAATAGCATTCTGTGAAACTGAGGCAACTCGGCTCATTCCTTGTCCATCATGGCCCAAATCATAAACCTGTGAATAAAAAAAAATTCACCTTCTCATTTCACATGTTTATGTACTATATGTATTATATTAAAATGAATTTTCAGGGATTGTTTAATTCGTTCAAGCTTTGTAAACATCAGAGATTTGAAATTTCATTATAATGGGACCTAAAAGTTGTTTTCCTTTTGTTCAAACACAGAACTCACAGGAAATATGTCTTCGTCAAAGATAGGGATTTGAAGCCCAGTGCAATGGCCTAGTGGCTAAAACCTCACCTTACAAGTGCTGATATCCTATATGGGTGCCAGTTTATGTCCCAGCTGCTTCACTTCCCACTCAGTTCCCTGTTTGTGGCCTGGGAAAGCAGCAGAGGATAGACCAAAGCCTAGGGACCCTGCATCCGTGTGGGAGACCAGGAAGAAGCTCCTGGCTTCTGACTTCAGATCGGCTCAGCTCTTGGGCCTATTGGGGAGTGAACCAGCAAACTGAAGATCTTTCTGTCTGTCAACAGATTTATGGGCAGACATTGGGAAAACTGGTTAAAACACACTCTTGTAATCCTGCCTCCTGCTAAGGTGAGCCGTGGAAGGCAGCAGCTGAGAGCGAAAATACTTGGTTCCCCGTCAATCAGGGTGCAAGTAACCAGGTTGGGTTCTGGACTCCTGGCTCTGACCGGCACCTTCCCTAGCTTTTACAGGCAGGTGGGGAATGAATCACTGAATGACAACTGTGTCCTTTCTCTACTCTGCCTGTCAAAAAACAAAACAGCAAAACCACAAAACCAGATTTTTTTTTTTAACCCTTAAATGGTAGTATGTTAATACTTACCTGTATTACTCCTTTCTCAGATCTTGTATATAAAATATTTCTGGAATTATCTATTGCAATTTGAACAATAGGATCTAAAAAAAAAAAAGGGAAAAACAACTCACTTAACAAATTAACAAAGTAACCACTTATAACAGATTTCAGTTGCTAAATTAGAATTTGCATACAGCGGCTTCCCTGTCCTTCACCGTGTAGTTCAGTTCTATTATACTGGTGGTGGGCCCGGTGGCATAACCTAGCAGCTAAAGTCCTCACCTTGAACACGCCCAGGATCCCATATAGACGCCGGTTCTAATCCCGGCAACCCCACATCCCATCCAGCTCCCTGCTTGCGGCCTGGGAAAGCAGTTGAGGACGGCCCAAAGCCTTGGGACCCTGCATCCATGTGGGAGACCTGGAGGAAGTTCCTGGCTCCTGACTTCAAATCAGCCCAGCTCTGGTTGCTGCGGCTGCTTGGGGAGCAAATCATCATATAGAATATCTTCCTCCCTGTCTCTCCTCTTCTCTGTATATTCAACTTTGCAATAAAAATAAATAAACCTTAAAAAAAAAAATTGGAAACATAGTTCCAGGGCCAGCATTGTGGCACAGCAAGTTAAGGTGCTGTGACACCAGCAACCCATCTAAAATCTGGCTTGATTCCTGGCTACACTACTTGTGATCCACTTCCCTGATGATGCACCTGGAAATGGGGCAGAGAACAACCATGCACTTGAAACCCTGCACCATGGAGTTCCTGGTTCCTCGCAGTCAAGCAGCAGATAAAATATTTCTGTCCTTTCTTCCCCTGTAACTTCGCCTTTCAAATAAGCAAATACATAAATCTTTCTTATATAATTCTGATTAAGAATGTCAGTTTAGGTGACAAGATGCAATGGTTCAATTTGCCTAACCATCCAGTTTGCAAGCACTAGGATCCCATATCAACACTGGCTAATGTCCCTGCTTATGGCCTGCGAAAGCAGTAAAAGATGGTCCAAAGCCTTGAGACCCTGCACACGTGTGAGACCCAGAAGAAACTCCTGGCTTATGGCTTCAGATTAGCGCAGCTCCAGCCTGTGGCAAACTCAGGAGTGAACCAGCAAACAAAAATCTGTCTCTCCTTTTCTCCGTTAAATCTGCCTTTCAATAAAAATAAATCAATCTTTTTTTTAAAAAAAAAGTAAATTTATGGGGCTGGTGCCGTACTCAACAGCCTAATCCTCCACCTCAAGCACTAGTATCCCATACAGGCTCCAGTTTGTGTACTGGCTTCTCCGCTTCTGATGCAACCCCCTGCTTATGGCCTGAGAAGGCAGCAGAGGATGTTCCAGCCTTGAGACCCTGCACCCACCCAGGAGATCTGGAAGAAGTTCCTAGTTCCTATCTTTGGGTGATCTTAGTTCCAGCCTTTGAGGCTAGTTAGGGATAGAAACAGTGACTGGCAATTTCTGAAGAAAATACTAATCAAAGATGAATTAAACATGTGGAGAAATGTTTTACTTACCATCTTCTGAGAACGTGAATTGTAGTAAGGAAGGAACAAGAAAAGAAAGTGAGCTCTTTGAGTGGTTTATTTTCCTACATCGTTGGCTGAACCAACCTGCCTCTGCCTTAAAAGAAAAAAAAGAAAGATGACTGTACAAGTAAGTAGCTTCTTCATAACAACTACTGTATTCCGATTTTAACAAAAATTCTCCAATCTTAATGAAATTATTATAAAACTTAGGACATTATTACTCAAATGTAAGTGAGTTAGACCTATAATCAAAAATATCTATCAAACACAGACTTTCAAAACATAATTATATAGAAAGCCAATTGAGAAGAAAAACAATCCAATCAAGACAAAATTTGCACAAGTACACTACGTATTTATTTGTATGTAAATGCACACAAAAAGAGAGGGAAAACTTACCTGGTATGCTACTTCATACAAGCAGCCATCTTTTCCAGCCAAAAAAATCCTGCCATTGTCGGTGGATGTTATTGTTAAAAGGTATGTATTATCAGTGGGGAGAGAATATAAAGGATCTGGAAGCAACTGCATCCCACCAGACATACTGTCATTAAGAATTCCAGAACCTGTTTTTTTAAAAGAAAGAATACAACAATCACTTATTAGCTTCTACAAAGTTTAAAAATGACCTTTGAATTATTTTCAGAATTGTTGACTCCTACTGAACTCTTATTAAAATGCTTGAAAATGTAAGATACTTTACAGCAAAGAAATCTCAAATAACTTAAGTTAAATGTGAGCTACAGTACTTGCATAGACTTATAGTGATGTACAGCAAAGGTATTACAAAACCTTTTATTTTACATAGTAAAGAAAAAAGACACTATGCAAAATGTAGCAAGCAATAACATAGCAAAAAAATTTAACTAAATTCTAAAAAATACTCAAATTATTAAATTTTTGGAAAGGAGTCTAAAAAGCTAATAAAAATACTCATTCAAATCACTGAAATCACTTAATTCATTCAGATCTTAAATTTAATCACCAACAAATTGCGATTTTTTTAAATTAATTTTTTTGAAGATTCAAAAAAGATTTTTAAAGATTTTTAAAGATTTAAAGATTTCCAGAGAGGAGAGACAAAATGATCTTCAATCTACTAGCTCATGCCACAAATGGCCGCAATAGCCGATCCAAAATTGATCTGAAGAAGGAAGCAAGGAGCTTAAACCCAGGTCTCATGTGGGTGCAAGGTCTCTTCTTCCAGGCCACAAGCAGGGAGCTGGATGGAAAATGGACCAACCAGGCCATGATCTGGTTCCCAGACAGGATGTAAGCACTTACAAGCCAAGGATTAGCCAACTGAGCCATTTTACCAGGCCTCAGCACATTGTTTCAAAAAGCCTAACTGGGGCCAGTGCAGTGGCTCAACTAAGCTAATTCTTTTCCTGAAAGCTCCAGCATGCCACATGGGTACCAATTCATGCCCTGGCTACTCCACTTCCAGACCAGGTCCCTGTTTATGGCCTTGGAAAGCAGTGGACAGTCTAATACCTTGGAACCCTGCAGCACCATGAGAGACCTGGAGGTTCCTGGTTCCCAGCTTCAGATCAACACTGTTCCAGCCTTTGCAGCCATTTGGACAGTGACTCAGTGGATGAAGGACCTTCTATTTTTCTCTTTGTATAAAGAGAAAGAAATTCCTTTCAAGTAGAAATAAATAAATCTGAAAAAAACAAAATAATAATAAACATATATGCCAGCTGGTGTTGTGACCTAGATGGTTAGGCCACTGTATTCAACAAGTTTTGATTCTCCACTTCCAGTCCATCTCACTGCTAATGTGTCTGGGAAAACAGCAGAAGATGGCCCAAGTGTTCAGCTCCTTGCATCTATGTGGGAGACTCAAAAGAAGCTCTTGGCTACCAGCCTGGCCGTAGCTCCTGCAGCAATTTGGGGAGTGAAGCAGCAAATAATAGAGCTCATTCTTTGTTTCACCAGATTTCCTCTTTCAAATAAATTAATTAATTAGAAATCATGAACAACATGTGGGCTGTTATACCTGCTTGCAAATTCGCATAGCTGAGTCCAAGAATTACTATGTCCACAGGGGTTGCCAAAACCAGAAGGTGTCGTACATGCGGCTGAAAAACACCTTAAAACAGACAAAATACAGGAATTATTCAAAGAAGAAAAAATCCAGTTTTTCAAGTCAAATGAGCTACTGATTAAATAGTATGAAAAAGTTTGAATCTATTACTTAATCTATTATTTGTGTAAATTAATCTATTACTATGTGTAAAGATTTATATAAGTAAATATTAGTAGAAAGGAACCACTTTAGAATAGATTCTTTTCAACACCAACTACATCAATATTTAACAACATTTTAGTAAGTGTTATAAAGTAGTTCAGATTCACTACAAAGTAAGGCATACACTTTTATATCAATGTTCATAGCAACATTCATTATTCACAAAATCCAAAGAGTGAGAGCCATGCACCAATCAACAAATAGGTATACAAAGAACTAGCATTTATGTATCATGTATGCCGCCTTCAAAAATAAATGCCAAAACATACGACCAGGGTGTAGACAATGGATACAGACACAGCTTGAGTATCTATAATAAATGAAATCAACCAAGGCCTGGTGGCATGGCCCAGTGGCTCAAGTTTTTGCGTTGAACGTGCCGGATCCCATGTGGGTGCTGGTTCTAATCCCGGCAGCCCCACATTCCATCCAGCTCCCTGTTTGTGGCCTGGGAAAGCAGTCGAGGTTGGTCCAAAGCCTTAGGACCCTGCACCCACATGGGAGACCCGGAGTAAATTCCAGGCTCCTGGCTTCGGATCGGCACAGCACTGTCTGTTTAGGTCACTTGGGAAGTGAATCACCGGACGGAAGATCTTCCTCTCTTTCCATCCAACCTTGCAATAAAAATAAATAAATCTTTTAAAAAAAATTTTTAAAATAATAAAATCTGCCAGTCAAAAACATGAGCAACCTGTGGGGCTTGGTGTGGTGTCTCAATGGCTAAATCGTCGCCTTGCATGCACCAGGACCCTTATGGATGCCAGTTCCTGTACTAGATGCGCCGCTTCCCATCCAGCTCCCTGCCTGTGTCCTGGGGAGGAAGCAGAGATGGTCCAAGCAGTTGGGTCCCTGCACACATGTGGAAAACCCAGAAGCTCAAAGTGGACCAGATCTGGCACCTCTCTGAAAAGGAATTCATTAATCTCTAAAACATGTACATAGGTGTATAATTGTCCCTCTAGATTCCTGTCAGTGTCTTAGCATTCTCCAGTGGATCCTGGCAGTTTTACCCAGCATACCACAGCAGTAGTCCCTAAGCTACTAACTGTCAAAAGTATGAAAAGGCCATATGCAGTTATCAATGTCAACATATTATGACAATGCAAGAAAAGTATCTCAATAGCAGGAATCATGCAAAATACATCTCACTTTAAAATTTTAGATATCTCTTTACGTGTGCTATATCATCCTCTAATATTTCATTAATGAACTTCCAGAAGCACAGCCAGAAATTCTAGCTTTAGTTGTCAAAGTTCAACTTAAGGAAGCCACAAAGTATAGACCTTTTGCCTTGGTGACCCCAAAACACACCACATTTCACAGTAAGCTGACTTACAAACCCCAATGTCAGAGAAACTGACATTTTTCCTGATCTGGAGTTGCAATTCAAAGCTTTTAGTTATGGTCCCAGAATGATAGCTTAGCAGCTAAGTCCTTGCCTTGCATATCCAGGATCCCATAGATGCCAGTTGTGTCCTGGCTGCTGTACTTCCTACCCAGTTGCCTGCATGTAGGCTGGGAAAGCAGTAGAGGATGAATCAAAACTTTCAGACTCTGCACCCGCATGCGAGACCTTGGCTCAGATCTGCTCAGCTGCAGCCACTGTGACCCCTTGGGGAATAAACCAGTGGATGGAAGAGTTTTTACTCTGTATCTCCTTCTGTCTTTCCAATTAAAATCAATAAGCCTTTAAAAAAAAAAGGCGTTTAGTCATAATGTTATGTTCAAGTTATTTGTGACTAAGGAAATCTCAGTGAAGTTGGAATGTCATAAATTGTGGAGTGGCTTACGGCAATGGAACAAAGAAAACTAAAGCAGAGCATCCATCAAATGATGTCATCTACTCTAAGTAAAACTTATCATTTTATTCAAGTATTTTTTTCTAATTTTTTAAAAAAGATTTATTTTTTTTAAAAGATTTATTTTTATTATTTTTTCATTGGAAAGGCAGATATACAGAGAGGAGAGACAGAGAGGAAGATCTTCTGTCCGATGATTCACTCCCCAAGTGAGCGCAACGGGCCGATACTATGCCGATCCAAAGCCAGGAGCCTCTTCCGGGTCTCCCACGCGGGTGCAGGGTCCCAAAGCTTTGGGCCGTCCTTGACTGCTTTCCCGGGCCACAGGCAGGGAGCTGGAAGGGAAGCGGGGCTGCCGGGATTAGAACCGGCGCCCATATGGGATCCCGGGCGTGCAAGGCGAGGACCTTAACCACTTGCGCCACCGCGCCGGGCCCAAAAAAAAAGATTTATTTTTATTGGAAAGGCAGATTGATAGAGAGGAGGAGAGTCAAGAGAGATTCTCTTTCCACCTGATGGTTCACTTCCCAAGTGGCCACAACAGCCAGAGCTGAGCCAATCTGAAGCCAAAGCCAGGAGCTTCTTACGGGTCTCCCAAGCTGGTGCAGGGTCCCAAGGCTTTGGGCCATCCTTGACTGCTTTCCCAGCCCACAAGCAGGGAGTTGCACGGGAAGCGAGGTGGCTGGGATCAGAACCGGTCACTTAGGAGTGAATCAGCGGATGGAAGATCTTTCTGTCTGTCCTCCTCTCTATATATCTGACTTTGCTATAAAAATAAAGATTTTTTTTAAAAAAAGTAAATCAAAACAATGTTTAAGTAACACAACTTTTCTAAGATTTTTTATTCTCAACTCTGCTTTCACAGCTATGAACTATCAAGAATAAAATAATGTGGAGACAAAATTCAGTAATGTAAAAAACTTTAGGTGAGCCAAGAAAGAGTAGCACAAAGCAGAATACAATTCTAGAACATGGTTTAACATTTTAAAAAGGCAGAAGCTTACAATTAAAGAGACTAAATTGTTACAGCACTGATCAGTTCATATATTTCTCATCAGAAGCAATCTAGAATAAAATTTCAATTCAAAATGCCATTTCTCATCTCTCTAGTTTTATTTCTTACCAGCTTTTGGTTTCACAAGCCCCACAGCAAGAATAGTTTCACTGAGTCCATCAAAATAGGCAAGGTCTCCTCTGTCAACAATTGAAGAAAAAACATTAGACACACAAGAAAACAAAGTCATATCTGAAATTCTATTTCATATTGTTGGGCTAAGAGTTTGGGATCAAGATCCTTGCTACTCAATAAAGGAAAACCTAGACCAGCAGCACTACCTGGGAGCTTCTAAAGGGTGGCTCTTGGGCCTCATTCAAAACACTAATGGAGACTCCATGTTTGAATATCCCCATATGATCAGTATGCCTATTGAGAAGCAGTGACCCAGATGCTAAGTGACAAATCATAAAGCACCAGTGAGCTTCTAATGAGGACACCGGCTACAGTAAGAAAGATATGACACTGTATTCACAGTAAAGGCCTGCATACGTACCCATCCTCATAGTTCCACATGAAGATGTCGCTGTCGATGGTGAGCCAGGCTCTGCTGATAGCAGGGAACACACCCATCATGCAGTTACATTGCATATCTGAGATTGTGTGGATGTAAGGCACAAAGAGCTCAGTCTCAATCTTCGGAAATGTGTTTCAATGACTATCAACTTTCACTTGAGTTCAACAATCATTATCATTTTGCCATTTAATAAAAGCAGCTAATTATCCATGCACTTACACATACTTTATATATAACCCTTAAATGAACTTACATACAATTCAGTAATACAAGTAAGGATTCTAATCCCGAAAACAGCAACTTTTCACATTTTTCAAATAGTTAAATACAAGCTACAAGGATACGTCCAAACTGCTCAACAAGTTCAGGTGGGAGAGGAACCCTTCGGATGGAACTGATCTCTGGAAGATTGGGTACAGAGAGCAAACCAGGTCCTTGCAGAGGATAATCCATATCTGACATGCCAGAAACCGTGGGGTTATCTACAATGGGAAAAAGAGTATTTGTATTAATAACAGAATGCTCATCAATGGGCACGGAGAACAGCAAGCCATCGAATAGTGTAGTGGGCATGTGAGAGTTCCACGGTGACAGGAATGAGAGTGGTTCTGAGCCGAGACACAAAGTAGGCCCGAGAATATTTGCTTTCTTAAATGACAGAGTACTTCATTTTTGCAAACTACTTTTTAGATCTTTTTTTAATTATTTAAAAGGCAGAGTGACATAGAGAGAAACACACACACAAGTGGTAGGAGCCCAAGCAGCAAAGTCTTCAATACCCTGCTGCCCTTCCTGGGGTGCTAACAGGAAGGCAGATGAGGAGCACAGCAGCAGGACACCAACCAGACATCTGATCCAGGACGCAGGTATCTAAGTGACACCACAACACCTGGCCTGAAAAATTCCCAGTTAACCAGGGAGCAATTACTGGTTGCAGTCTTGAATGGAAGGTTACTCCACGGCATAGGAAATGTTTAAGAAAAAAGCTCAGTGCTTCTTCTCAGTTATTTTAGTAAGGCTCAATAGAAAAATATAGAGAAATCTGTACATTGAAAAAATAATAACCAGGTAATAAAGATCATATATAGGGGAAAACAGCTTATTGTCTTCCCCATTTTTAAACACTAAAACAACCCATGTCTTTTCACCTTTGAATTTTCCCCATTATGAATATGACATATGCAAAAATTACAAGGAATGGGCCTGGCACAGTTGCCTAATGGCTAAAGTCCTCGCCTTGTAAGCCCAGGATCCATATGGACGCTGTTTTGTTTCCTCGTGGCCCTGCTTCCCATCCAGCTCCCTGCTTGTGGCCTGGCAAGACAGTCGAGGACGGCCCAAAGCCTTCGGACCCTGCATCTGCATGAGAGACCTGAGCGGCTTCAGATAAGCTTGGCTCTGGCTGTTGAGGCCAATTGGGGAGTTGACAAGCAGACAGAAGATCTTTCTCTCTGTCTCAACTTTCTGTGAATCTGACTTGTCAATAAAAATAATAAATAAATCTTTAAAAAATTACAAGGAGTATCTTCTTGGGAAGGACAACCAGTTCTATAAAGCACTTTCATCAAGCATTCTATTGCAAAGTGCAACAGGTAACTAGTCTACTCAGCTCGTATAGTGGTCCAAGTATGTGGGTCACCCTTTGCAGCTTCCCTAGGCACACTGGTTGAGAACTAGATCAGAAGTTGGAGCAGCTATATTTCAAACTGCCACCAATATGGGATGCTGGTGGCCTACAACAACAATGCTAACCCTAAAAGAAGGCAAAGCAAGTAACAATGACGAGTAATATCGTCAAAATGACAGCTGCTAACAGGCAATCTGGTACGTAACTGTCAGGAACAAATACTATCAGCTTGGCACCAAACCTCAGTGACCAAATCCTTGCCTTGCAAGCACCAGCATCCCGTATGGGTACTGATTTGCATCCCAGCTCCTCCACTTCCCATCCAGTTCCCTGCTTGTGGCCTGGGGAAGCAGCTGAGGACAGCCCAAAGTCTTGGGACCCTGCAACCACATGGGAGATCAGGAAGAAACTCCCGGCTCCTGGTTGTGGATCAGCTCAGCTCCTGCCAATGTGGCCACCTAGGGAATGAACCAGCAGATGGAAGATCTTTCTGTCTCTCCTTCTCTCTGTTAAGTATGTCTTGGCAATAAAAGAAATCTTAAAAAAAAAAAAAATACTCTTTGCTTCTAATATTTGTCTAACAAGTCTACCACTGAACAATTTTCATAAATCAAGAGAGGTGTCTTTTTGATTCAACTAGTGTCTTCATTAGCTTATCTTGGTTCTTGCTTACCCAAAAAACCTTGCGTCTTTCCAACACTTCTGTTTCCCTCCCACACTCCTCCAATTTCCACCTCACAATGGGGTCACTTTTTGCAATTCCTTTGGCCTAGAGGAGCTGGTCATAATTTAAAACTATTACACGAATTACTCTCCAGACCCCTTCTGGGGGTCTATAAAGTACTCTCTCTTCCTTCATCCTCCCTGTTCATCTGCACCTGATTTCGCTGCTCTTCCAACACCTTTCACTACTTCGTATTACACAAACTACATTAAAAAAAAAGTAAGCATAGATATTATAGTGCATTTCTTCTTCACTGACATCCTAACAGTAGGAATGAGCCAGAAGAAGACTCTGGCTAGGAGATCCTCTCTTATCGGGGAGCACGAAGCTTGGGTTTGGGTCTTTGCTGGGTTCTACTCCAACTGGGAAATTATCCTTCATACTTGCCCTCCAAACAATCCCCTAGGAAGGGGATGAAAACGGATGGTTGACAACGACAGGGGTTCCTTAAAATTACATTAGAACATCGTCCTCAACCTCCCAGGATCCTTTGCCAAGACCAACTCTGAAGACAAGACCACGGTTAAAAAGGCGAGGGTCCTTTCGGCTGAGAAAGAAGGGTGACCGAAGAAACAGGGACCCCCCAATCACTCACTTGGGGCAGACACCATGAGCAGCTCGGAAAGGTCGGGGTACATGCGGTCTTCTTGCAGCTGCCGGTCGATGAGGCGCCCGGCATTTTCCAGCGCTTCCTGCAAGGCTGCAGCCGACGCGGAAGCCTGCACAACCGGGCCCAGCAACGACGACGGCATCTCCAAAATCCTAGGTACCAAGCTCCGAAAGAAATCAAACACCAAAGACAACTGAGAAAAAACCAAAGACACTAGCTCAGAAACGCCGCCGACGGCGCGCGCGCCAAACGAGCGCTCCGGCGCCTGGTCATGACGTGCTTCCGGTTCCTCCGGGGGAGGAGTGGCAGACGCCGTTTTAGGACTGGGAAGTTGAGGCTTGGGACGTTGGAGGAGGAGCAAAGGGGTGGGAGACGCGTTCCAGTGGATAGAGAGGCTTGGGGCGTGAGGGACCCGGAAACTAAAAGAGGTTGTCCGGGGAAGACCTTGGGGAAGGGAGAAAGGGAAAGGAGAAGGACTGGGAGAGAAGGGGCGGGACGGGGGTGGGCGGGATGGGGAGGAGGAGGGTGGGATATGGGGCACGGGAGCTGCGGGCGAGCAGTGGAGGCTGCCGGGATGCCGGTGGGTTTGGGCGCGTGAGACTCTTCGGAGTCGAATCTCAACGTCTCCTGCGTGGGTCCCGCGCATCAGTTACTGTGGTGCTTCTGACGAATGCCTCTTCCGGCGTGCACGGGTACAGTCAGGAACTGTCAGAAGGAGATTGCACATAAACCAGAATTAGGCGACATTCCTCACGGAGTTAGGTGTTATGTGAACATTCTAGGCTTTTATCTTTGCTCTTTGATGTTTTTTGGTGTTGTGACCTATTTTAATGAAAGGAAAAAAAAAGGAAACACAAAGTATAACTATTTAGATGCACTATGCAAAGGTTTTCTTGAAAATTAGTGTCACTTGAAGAAAAACAATGGACAGTTCTTGTTGGTAACGATAAAATTAGAGCTTTGCTTTTTTAGTATGTGGAGGAGTCAGAGAATCTTGATTTCAAATTTCACTTTGCAAAGAACAAATACTGTGTTTTTGTTAAAAATTTTTTAAATTTATTTTTATTGAAAAGTCAGATTTACAGAGAGGAAGAGAAACGGAGAGGAAGATCTTCTGTATACTGATTGCCATCCCCAAGTGACCTGATCAGCCAGAGCTGAGCTCATCTGAAGCCAGGAGCTAGGAGCTTTTTCCAGGTCTCCCGTGTGAGTGCAGGGATCGCAAGGCTTTGGGCTGTCCTTGACTGTTTTCCCAGGCCACAAGCAGGGAGTTTTTTGAGAAGTGAAACAGCAAAGTTACAAACCCGCACCCAGAAGGGATCTGGCGTGTGCAAGGCAAGGATATAGCCACTAGGCTATGGCTCCAGACCCAAATAGAGTGTTTTTAAAAGACTGTTGCAATTACTCTCCATTTTCCCATTACAAAATTGAGGCCAGCTTTTCTTTATGCGCTCAAGTTAAACAAAAGGTCCCAATACATTGACAGCAGGGGCTGGTGTTATGGCGCATTGGATTAAGCAGCCGAGCCACTTGCAAGACCAGAGTCCCAATCAGACTGTCAGCACAAGTCTAACTGCTCTGTTTCTAATCCAGCTTCCAACTCATGTACTTGGGATTTGGGTTCCAACCACCTATGTGGGAGATGAGGATGGAATTCCTGGCTCCTGAATTTGCTTGACCCGGACTTGACTGCTGGAGCCATGAGGGAGATGAAGTAAGAGATGAAAGCTTTCTGTCTCTCCCTGTCAGTGTATAAATTGACAACAGATAGATAAGAAGAATCCAGCTTTCATTAAATCAAGACACTGCTATTCATAAAAGATGCAAAATACCATTTTTCTCGCTTTTACTTTTAGAAACTGTAATGACCTCACATCCAACTGTGTTATTTATGACAATAGGTTAGGTTTTTTTCTGATTTTTAAATGAGTTTACATTTTTCATGCTATGAGTTAAGAATTGTTTTTGAAGATTTAATTATTTTTATTGGAAAGGCAGATATACAGAGAGGAGGAGAGATAGAGAGGAAGATCCTCCGCCCAATGGTTCACTCCCCAAGTGATCACAATGGCCAGAGCTGAGCCAATCTGAAGCCAGGAGCCAGGAGCTTTTCTGGGTCTCCCATTCAGGTACAGAGTCCCAAGGCTCTGGGCCATCCTCAACTGCCTTCCCAGGCCACAAGCAGGGATGAGTTAAGATTTTAATAAAACATGTCGCTTACATGTTGAAAACTTCGAATAATTTTTAAGGCTCTTGGAAAGAGCATTTTCTAGTAACTCTTTTACCCACTCAGATGTTTTTGATTTCCTTCAGCATTACCTTAAAAGCCATGGAGTGGCTATCCATCTCTTCCTTATGGTGCACTCAAAGAGGGTGGAGTTGGAATATGTATTTTGAACATTAGTTATGACACCCATTGAATCACCAGCATGTGCTATTTGATTAGAATCAGAATTCCAGCTCCATTTCTAATTCTAGTTTCCTGCCCACTGTGCCCTGTGAGGTTGCATTGCCCTGCTGGGGGAGTTGGAGTTCTGGGCTCCTGGGCATTGGCCGAATGAACTCGTGGATAGGAATTTGCTTTCTCTGCCTCTCAAATAAATACATAAATGAGTCAAAATATTTGCAAATCCCGGAGAATTACCGAGGACTTCCCACAGAGAAGGATACAACGCCAAGAGAGGGAGCTCGAGGTTTTCTTTTTAGAGTTGTGTGCTTTTTCTCTGTGGTAAATCTCATTCTTTAAGGAGTGTGTAGTTTAAGCTTTTTCCGCCTAGCGTCACACCTTCGGCCGCATTTCCCCGCCCGCACTCTAGGGCGGCGCTGCTCCACCATCCGCCATGTTTTTGTGGAAGACGCCGCTCTTGGCGCTGGAAGCGACGCTGTCGCTCGGCGGCGCGACTTCCTGCCGGGTTTGTGGCGGTCGTGCCGCGTCTGTCTGGGTAGCCGGTGTCTCCAAGCTCCGCGGTCATGGAGGGTTCGGGACCTGGCGAAGGTGGGTTATGTGAGGCGGTCGTGGGCGGGGGTCGTCCGTGCTGGGGGGCGCCGCACTCACGAGGCCTGCTTTGTCTTTCACCGCAGCGACTGGCGCAGACGGTTCGAGTCCGGACCCGCAGCTGGCGGTCACGATGGGCTTCACGGGGTTCGGTGAGTTCCCAGATTGAGGACCCCAGTGTTCTCCGGGTAGGGTTCCCAGAACCTGGGGGAACGTGGGATCAGGCCGACCTGACACGGCAGCCGCGCGCACCTCTCAGTGGGGCGACTCCGAATTCACTTTGGCTGCAGTGTAGACCTTGACGTTTCTGTACACGGTTTGTTTGCCCTCCATGGTGCGACCAGCAGAAGGGACCCTGCAAACCAGAAGATGGTTTAGGGGACCCAGGTGGAGGAGGAGGTTTGTTGTTGGAGAGACTGATAGCAAAGGAGTGAGTCGTGTTCAGCAGCGGGCCATGAAGTGGACAGGGTAGGGGTTGTTCAGGACTTTTTGATTCAAGTCTGTCTTCTCCACAGTCTTCACTTGAGTCTCCGTGAATCGTAGTTGGAACACGGTGGGAGGCAGACAAAGATTTCAGCCGTGGTAGTCACACATTTAAACTAGGAACCTCGTAAAAATCAAGTTGTAAATATTTGCTTTCTCATTTCATGCAGTCACTCACTCCATGCACGCCTTGAGGATGCTTGCCACACGTGTCAGCATGGTGTCCCTCCGTGGGCTGGTTCACTTCCTGCCTGCTTTCCCAGCGTGCTCTGTAGGGATCTTTTCAATGGGTGGTGGGTCCCCAGCTGCTGGACCTGCATCCCAGGCGTCTGCACTGGCAAGAAGCTGGGATCAGGATTCAGAAGTGGGTGCGGAACCCAGGGGTTCTGATATGTCCTCACTACTAGACTAAAGGTCTCCCTCCCGCTTTTAATGGGTATTTACATTTGCAGAAAAGTAGTAATAATGCTTATTTTTGTTTGGTTTTTGTTCAGAATTCCCCCCTTTAATTTAAAAAGACAAGCATAGAAAATATAGAAAAACACAGAAACATTTTTTCTTTTTTTATAAAGATTTAATTATCCCTATTGCAAAGTCATATCTGTAGAGAAAAGAGACGGAGAGGAAGATCTTCCGTTCGATGATTCACTCCCCAAGTGACCACAATGGCCAGTGCTATGCTGATCCGAAGCCAGGAACTTCCTCCAGGTCTCCCATGTGGGTACAGGGCTCCGACGGTTTGGGCTGCCCTTGATTGCTTTTCCAGTGCACAAGGAGGGAACTGGATGGGAAATGGGCTGCTGGGATTAGAACTGGAGCCCACATGGGATTCCAGTGCATTCTACATGAGGACTTTAGCCACTAGGCTACTGTGTCGGGCCCGTCAAAAACATTGAAAGTAAAATGACTCAATTTCATGACCTGTAAGTGAAGACTTAAAATGCAGTTTGTGGGAATGGCATTATTGTGCAGCAGGTTAAACAACAGCTTGTGATGAATGCTGATTCCTGGCTGCTCTGCTCCTCATCCAGCTTCTTGCTAATGTGTCAGGGAAGGCAGAGAAGATGCCCTAAGTGCTTGGCTCCTGATACCCACGGGGGAGGCCAGAATGGAGCTCCTGACTCAAGGTTAGCCCAGGTCTGGCTCTGCTGGCCATTTGGGGAGTCAGCCATGAATGGAAGGTCTTTTTTCCTTTCACTGTCTTTGTGCTTTTCAATAAATAAATACACCTTTAGGAATTTAAATTTTCAGACTTTCATATATTGAGAATATTAGTATTGCATGGGTAAATTTACATTATTCGTAAGCACAGTGTTTTGAGGCTTTTCCCGTACTATTAAATAACTTTCTAGAGGCTGAATAGTAGACTTCACAGAGAGGTGTTGTAATATTTTTAACTTTTTCCAATATGGTTTGTAATTTGAACTTTCGTCAGCGAATCTAGATTGGAGAGTTTTATGGAGAACTTTACTTGAAAGACAAACTGCTGTCATCTGTTGGTTTTTAACTCCTGGGCCTGGGTCAGAGCTGACACTGGAAGCTGGACACTCCAGGTCCCCCGTGCTGGCAGCAAGAATCCAATCACTTGACAAGAAGGTGGAGTGTCAGCTGCTGGGCTAGATCACTCTCCCCTGAATAGCTTTCATATTTTACCCAGAGATTTTTCTGTTTATTGTCAGATTTCTTGGATGTATTTAGAAATATATACATCAAAAAGTTACAGAAATTTTTAGTGTGTGTATATCAAAGCTTCTCAATATTCACAACCATTGGTGATTGACAGGTTTTATTCCAAACTCATTAGTCTGTAAGAGTAGCATTTTTTAAATCTCATTTGTTATTGGAAAGGCAGATTTTTAGAGAGGAGAGACAGAATGATCCTCCATCCACTCATTTTCTGGGTTCACTCCCCCAGATGGCCACAATGGCTGGACCTGAACTGATTGAAAACCAGGAGTCAGGAGCTTCCTGTGGGTCTCTCACGTGGGTGCAGGGTCGCAAAGACTTGGGCTGTCCTTGGCTACCTTTCCAGCCCATTAACAGGACGCTGGAAATCAAGCTTAGTTCTTTGCTTTTTACATATTTTTTTGAGAGATGTAGAAAGAGATATCTTCCATTCTCTTGTTTCATATCCCATATGCTTACAGTTGCTAGTCTGAAACTCAGTCTGTTCTCCCGCTTGAGTGATAGGAACCCAACTATCCGAGCTACCTCCTGCTGCTTCTTGGAGTGGCATGATAGCAGGACTTAGAATAGGAGGAAGAGGGCTGGCCTGTGGCAAAGTGAGTTAAATAGTTGCCTGACTCACTGGTAGCCACCTGCTCTGAGGCCACTGGGTTCTAGTCCTGGCTGCCCCACTTGCCCAGTTTTTTTCTAATGAGCCTGAGAAAGCGGCAGGAGATACCCCAAGTGATGGGGTCCCTGTGCTCATGGGAGACCTTGAAGCTGCTAGTTCCTGGATTCTGCCTGGCATAGCGCCGACCATTTGTGACCCTTTGGGGAGTGAGCCAGCAGATGGAAGGTAACTCTGCTTCTCTGTAACTTTGACTTTCAGATAAACAAAAAGAATCTTTACAAAAAAGAACAGGAAGGGAGGAGCTGGCACCTGAGCCTCTAATGGGATGCAGGTGTCGCAGGTGATGTCCTAACCACTGTACCAGAACCTACTCTCAGGCCCAGTTCTGTTGCTTTAATTCATACATTTAGTGTTTGGTTCATTATGATTAAGATAATATTGTGAAGGTTTTAGTATCATTTTGTTATGTTTTGTGGCTGCTATAATAAACACAAATTTTAGCAACTGAAAACACGGCAGATTAATTGTCTCAGATCCAGGTGAGCTCCGTTGATTCGCTTGCTTCGGGTGTCAGGGCTGCCGTGAAGGGGTTAGTTGGAGGCAGGAGGGGCAGTGCAGTCATGGTGGGCTCCTCAGCAGGCCTGTGCTCTCTGCTCCCCGCGGCTCAGGCTGTCTGTTAGCTCCTTTAAGTTTGGCTCTTGAAGGTCGTCCTTTCGTCTTCAAGCCTACTGTAGTGTCCCCAGTCCTCAGGCTCTGTGAAGCTTCACAGGTCCCAAGGATTAAGGTATGGATGTTCTTCATTCTTGCTGTCACGCCAGTGTTGTTGTTGTTTTTTTTTTTTAAAGATTTATTTACTTTTATTAGAAAGATTTACCAGTTAGAAGAAGAGACAGAAAGATCTTCTGTCCGCTGATTCTTTCCCCAAGTGGCCGCAGTGGCCGGAGTTGAGCTGATCCAAAGCCAGGAACCAGGGGCTTTTGGGTTCCCCTGTGGGTTCAGGGTCCCAAGGCTTTGGGCTGTCCTTGACTACTTTCTTAGGCCATAAGCAGGGAGCTGGAAGGGAAATGGAACAGCCAGGACACTAACTGGCTCCCATATGGGATCCCGGTGGATGAAGCTAAGGACTTAGCCACTAAGCTATGGCACTGGGCCCAGCAGCGTTTTTTGGAGGGCTGTGAATTTCAGTAAATTAAAAGAGGTGGGGAAATTGGGCTGGTTATCGTACTTAGTGATGAGATTTCATTAACTATTCTTTGTGATCTCAGTTGTTTGAACTTTTTTTTTTAAAGGTTTATTTTTTTTTATTGGAAAGGTAGTTTTAGAGAGGAGGAGAGAGAAATTTTCCATCTTCTGGTTCACTCTCCAAATGGCTGCAACAATTGGTGCTGGACTGGTTCGAAGCCAGGAATTGGGAGCTTCCTCTGGGTTTCCCACATAAGTGCAGGGGCCCATGGACTCTGACCCCCGGCCGTTACCTTCCCAGTCCACCAGCAGGGAGCTGGATCAGAAGTGGAGCTTCCGGGACTTGAACTGGTGTTTGTATGGGATATTGGTGACACTTTGTATCATATGCAATGATACCAGCCTGTTTTTTGACCTTATGATTACATTGCAACTTAACTGTAAATTAGATGAAGTGGTTATTGCTCAAAATCAGTAAATATTGAGTATTTGAAGTTTGGCCAGGTTATTGCAAGATAATCAGTTTGCCACTTCCTCCTATTTTAGGTAAAAAAGCTCGCACATTTGACTTGGAAGCAATGTTTGAGCAAACTCGAAGAACAGCAGTGGAAAGAAGTCGCAAAACACTGGGTAAGGTCTTCACACTTATTTTATGATTGGTTTTAACACTGTATGTACTTTATGTCAGTCAGTTGACAATTTAAAAAAGTTAAAAAGCATTTCAGTATTGTTGAAAGACCGTATGTGCTGGTTCCTTTGGAAGCAGAACTTGAAGACATTTAAAATATATATTAGAAGTAGCAACTAAATAGGATTAGAGTACTGACGTCAGTACTGAAATTGTTTAACGTGTGTTCTGTGAACTAACAAGCATTCACGTTGATTGGAATCAGAATAGCAGTTCGTTACCTCTCCTCACCTTGATCTGACTCTCGTTTCGTTTTTTTCTTTTCCTGCTTACAGCGGAACCAGTATTTGGAAGGCTGGGCCAGCGGTGGCTCTCAGAGCTGTGCACACCACTGAATATGACCCAGACAGTGTAGAGATTGGGACACTGACTGTGGCTGCTGCTCTTGAATCCCTGCTTTAACGAGTTGTGTCAGCCCTAAGCTTTCATTCCAGATGGCTTGTGTAGTAGATGGTTGACAGTTCTCGGTGCTGCCCCCGGGGCATCCACAGAGATTTACTCTTGCTTTATATGAATCTGATTCAGAACTCTTTTCTTTCTTTTTTTTTTTTAAGCAGCTGGGATATGAACCGGCACCCACTTGGAATCCTGGTGCATACAATGCAAGGACTTTAGCCACTAGGCTATAGCATCGGGTCCCAGAGCTTTCTTTTTAAAATATTTATTTATTATTTTTATTAAAGGTTTATTTATTTATTTGTTTTTGTCTGAAAGACAGAGTTATAGAGAGAAGGAGAAACAGAATGAGAGAAATCTTCCATCCACTGATTCACTTCCCAAATAGACATAATAGCTGGAGCTAAGCTGATCCGAACGCAGAATTCAGGAGCTTTTTTTGGGTGTTCCACATTGGTGCAGCGTCCCAAGGACTTGGATCATTCTCTGCTGCTCTGCCAGGCCAGTAAGGAGCTGGATGGGAAGTGGAGCAACAGAACATGGGATGCCAGTGCCACAGGCAGAGTATTATCATGCTGCACCACCACGCTGGTGCCAGATTTATTTTATTTTATTTTTATTTGAAAGGCAGAGTTACAGAGCGGAGAGACAGAGAATGAGGGATTCTACCTGCTGGTTCACTTTTCAGATAACTGCAATGGCTGGGACTGAGTCAGTTTAAAACCAGGTTCTTTCAGATTTCCCACGTGGACTCAAGGGCCCAAGGTTTTGACCATTCTCTGTTGCCTTTCCTGGCCATCAGCAGGAAACTGGATCAGAAATGGAGTAGCTGGGACTTGAACTGGTACCTCACATGGAATTTTGGCACCACAGGTGGAAGCCTAGCCCTCTATACCACAGCATGGATCATTCTTGTATTAGAAAAAGAATCGGTGTAACTTGATAGAGTAAAAGGGGCTGGAAATTGCACTGACAGCACTCTTGGGAAAACTTTTAGTTAAATTATTATTATGGTTCTTACTATTTTTTATTTTAAAATTGTAAATTGTATAGCAGTAATATGTACTGTTTAGGCAGTGACTTTGACAGGAAATTATTCTGATCTTTTTAAGAATATTTTTTCATTAAAACAGTTTTGTTTTTTCTTAGATTTATTAATGTATTTGAAATATAGAGTTATAGAGAGTGAGAAAGATTAAAATCTTCTCTCTGTTGATTCCTTCCCCAGGGGACTTCGACAACCAGAGTTGGGCCCCTCCAAAGCTAGGAGCCAGGAAGCTTTTCTGGGTCTTCCACTTGGGTGCAGGAGCTCACACACTTGGGCCATCTTAGTCTGCTTTCCTAGGTGCATTAGCAGGGAGCTGGCCTGGAAATGGAATAGCTGGGACTGGCCCCGTGTGACATGTTGGCATTGCAGATGGTGGCTTTACATGCTATGTCTTGGTGCTGGCCTCGGGGTGGCTACAGCAGTCAGAACTGAGCCAGTCTGCAGCCAGGAGATTCTTCCTGGTCTCCCACGTGGGTGCAGGGTCCCAAGATTTTGGGCCATCCTCAACTGCTTTCCTAGGCCACAAGCAGGGAGCTGGAAGGGAAGTGGAACAGCTGGGACATGCCCATATTGGAGCTTGATACATGCAAGACAAGGACTTAGCACTAAGCTACTGTGCAGGGCACAGGAAGAATTTTTAATTTAAATTTTTTTTTTTTTATTGGAGAGTCAGATATACAGAGTGGAAGAGAGACAGGAAGATTTTCTGTCCGTTGATTTATTCCCCAAGTGGCTGCAATGGCAGGAGCTGAGCTGATTCGAAGCCAGGAGCCAGGAGCTTCTCTTGGGTCTCCCAGGAGCTCTTCCCAGGCCACAAGTGGGGAGCTGGGGAGCAGGGCTGTTGGGATTAGAACCAGCGCCCATATGGGATCCCAGTGCGTTCAAGGAGAGAACTTAAACCCCTAGGCCACCGTGCCGGGCCCAACAAATATATTCTTTGATAACATTATTATATGTACACACTAAGCTATTTTAATGTCCTTGCACATGCTTGCTTCAGCAGCACATATATTAGAATTGAAGCAATATCCTCGCACAATACATATATACACACGTTTTTCAGTATTCATAAGCCTTTTAGTGAATCCTTATATGGAGTGTAAATGTATTTATTTAAGCATGTCATATAAAATGAATAGTGTCATTGTTTATATATATGAGAAAGATAGGTAGATATTACGATCTTCCATTTGTTAGTTCACTCCCTCAAATGGCTGCAATGGCCTGAGGTAGACTGGTCCAAAGCCAGGATCCAGGTGCTTCTCGTGGGTCTCCCTCGTGGGTGCAGGGTCCCAAGACTTGGGCCACCCTCTGATGGGACTGGAATTGGCACATATAAGGGGGGAGACACCATAGAGGATTAGGCTACCACGCCACCATGCTAGCCCCAAGAGGATTTTTTATGTATGCATCCTGAATGTGGCAATTCAGACTGTAGCAATAAGTTGATAAACCATTTGACTTGTTTTGAAAGATTATTACTTTTACTTTACTTTATATTTTGAGAGCTAAAGAGCACTCTATTCACTCCCCAGAAACCTGCAGTTGCTAGAGCTCAGCTTGAGCTGAAGATAGGAGCCAAGAACTCATTCCAAGACTTGCCTAAAGGTGATAGAAAGTGATGTACTTGACCCATTTCTGCTCCTTAGGGTCTGTGTTTGTAAGAAGCAAGGACAGGGAATTGAACTCAGGTATTCCAATGAGTCTTAATATCGGTGTTATCTTGATATTGGAGTCTTTCCTTGCGCATTCATATGGTAGAGGAAAGTAAGACTGACTTAGGGCCCTAGTGGCAAAAGTCCTCCCCTTGTACACACCTGGATCCTATATGGGCACCAGTTCTAATTCTGGCCACTCCACTTCCCATCCAGCTCTCTGCTCTTGTGGGAAAGCAGTCGAGGACAGCCCAAAGCCTTGAGACCCTGCATCAGCGTGGGAGACCTGGGAAATCTCCAGGCTCCTGTCTTCAGATTGGCTCAACTCCTGCCGTTGCAGCCACTTGGGGAATGAATCATTGGATGAAAGATCTTCTCTGTCCTCTCTGTAGAAGAGACTTTCTGGTGAAAATTAACCTTAAAAGAAAAAAGACTGACTTAAAAAAGATTACATGAATTTGATCTTTCAGCCACAATACAGCTGGAATGGGGGGAGGTCAAAGGTAGTAGGAACTAGGTTTAGTTTTTTCATGTGGGTGACAAAGATGCAAGTTCTTGAGTGATTGTCTTCTAGTTGTGCATTTTCAGGAGTTTAGAATTGGAAGTATACCCAGTTCTTAAACCCATGTACTCTGATATTGGGATGCAGGCCTTCCAAGCTATGTCTTAGCTGTTATGCCAAATTCTTGCCCCAACTCTGACTTTTTTTTTCTTAAGGTTTATTAATTTACTTTGGAGACTGACAGTGGGAGAGGGATGGAGGGAGAAAGAGAGAGAGAGAGAACGAACGGATGAACTGCCTCTTGTTGGTTACTCTGAAAATGCTGTTAACAACCTGGGCTATGCCAGGCCAAAGACGGACCAGGAATTCTGTCCAAGTGTGCCATGTGGTTGGCAGGAAGCCAAGTACTTATGCCATCATCTCATGCCCCCATGCAGATTAGCAGGAAGCTAAATCAGAAGTGGAGTAGTTGGGATTGATTCACAGGCAACCTGATGTGGGTTACAGACAGCCCAGCCCAAGCAGTGGCTCAACTTAGTACACCCCCGTCAGACCTGGACCTTTCTCATAACTAGTTTGTGTATGAACTGTTTTGATTGCTATTATTCTAATAAAAATGGTCAAGTTTTATAAGATCTCAGTAAAATCTGCAGTATGATCTTGAATGCCTCATCGAAGCTTGAGGAATATCTATGACATGTTAAAGATGTAGACCCTCTTTTAGCATTGTTATGAGGAGATAAGCGGGTGGGGAGATTGTGTGCTTTGGAGGGATTATGAACTTTCCCTAGTATATAATTGGAAAATAAATGATGCAAGGTAGGATTTGTTTTTTTTCTTTTTAAAGATTTATTTATTTATTTATCTTTTTTTTTAAAGATTTATTTTTATTATTTTTTCATTGGAAAGGCGGATATACAGAGAGGAGAGACAGAGAGGAAGATCTTCCGTCCGATGATTCACTCCCCAAGTGAGCGCAACGGGCCGATACTATGCTGATCCGAAGCCAGGAGCCTCTTCTGGGTCTCCCACGCGGGTGCAGGGTCCCAAAGCTTTGGGCTGTCCTCGACTGCTTTCCCAGGCCACAGGCAGGGAGCTGGAAGGGAAGCGGGGCTGCCGGGATTAGAACCGGCGCCCATATGGGATCCCGGGCGTGCAAGGCGAGGACCTTTAACTACTTGCGCCACCGCGCCGGGCCCGATTTATTTATTTTTTATTACCAAGTCAGATATACAGAGAGGAGGAGAGACAGAGAGGAAGATCTTCCATCCGATGATTCATTCCCCAAGTGAGCGCAAGGGCTGGTGCTGCGCCAATCTGAAGCCAGGAACCAGGAACTTC